GAGGTCACAAGACATTTCGTTGAGTAGTGTTACATTGTCCCGAATCTAGTGAATCCTAGCTTGTTAAGTTTTGTTTTTACAGTTCTCAATGTCCGGGAATCGGCCTTATCACAAGCTATGTTACAAGGAGCAGCATCATCCTAAATGTGATGTTTGCCATAACTTTGTGAGTGATTCCGACCTTTTTATTGATATCATCTTCTGCAAACGATGTTATCAAGTGGTACCAAAGCTTAAATGTGTATGCGTGAAATTAACTCCTATAGATTCCGACGAATTCAGCTGGTCTCATTGAGTACAGGGCACATCCCTTTTGGATGCAAAAGTATTGTCCTTCACATGAGCGTGATGGAACTCCTCGTTGCTGTAGCTGTGAGCGAATGGAGGTCAGTTTCGATATGATATATCTACTAATAGGGAAACAATTCTAAGAGACGTTTTTGAGATTTGATGTTGTTCTGTGTGTTTGCTCACCGGTTACAGCCAAAAGATACAAAATATCTCATTCTTGATGATGGTCGAAAACTGTGTCTTGAATGTCTCGACTCAGCCATTATGGACACTCACGAATGCCAACCATTGTACCTTGAGATACGTGAGTTTTATGAAGGCTTACACATGAAAGTAGAACAGCAGATTCCTATGCTCTTGGTGGAGAGATCAGCTTTAAACGAAGCTATGGAAGGAGAGAAACACGTAAAAACCGCTCTTTATTTATCCTATGTTGCTTACATAAACACTCTTTTTGCTCTTGCTCATTTATTTTTAACTTACTTTCTATTTATTTTTGTTGCAGGGACATCATCATTTACCTGAAACCAGAGGACTCTGTTTGTCTGAGGAACAAACTGTCACAACGGTAAATTGCTCTCACTTTCGTAAGCAGCTATTTCTATCCGCCACAAATTGTGTTTGAATCAGAAAGAGTTTCTTGTAGGTGTTAAGGAGACCAAGAATTGGGGCAGGCTACAAATTGATAGACATGATCACAGAGCCTTGCAGGCTGATACGTCGTTGTGAAGTCACTGCAATTCTCATTCTATATGGACTTCCTCGGTAAAAAAAAAGAATTACTTCCCAACACATTCTTAAACCGACTGTTCTTTCTTGATGAGATAGTTAAAATATGTGTATTACAGTTTGTTAACTGGATCAATCCTTGCTCATGAGATGATGCATGCCTGGCTTCGACTAAATGGTAATTTGAAGAACCCTTCCTTCTTTTCTCGGTACATTAGTAATAATTGCTCTTTGATGTTTTGTTGCTCTCTAAATGTATGAGTAGGGTATCCGAATCTTAGGCCAGAAGTTGAAGAAGGAATATGTCAGGTTTTGGCTCACATGTGGTTGGAATCTGAGACTTATGCTGGCTCTACATTAGTAGATATCGCATCTTCTTCATCATCATCATCATCGGCTGTGGTCACTGCATCGTCAAAGAAAGGTGAGAGGTCTGACTTTGAGAAGAAACTTGGTGAGTTTTTCAAGCACCAAATAGAGTCGGATTCTTCGTCGGCATATGGGGATGGGTTCAGGCAAGGTAACCAAGCAGTTCTTACGCACGGTCTGAGGCGAACCCTCGACCATATTCGCTTGACCGGTACATTTCCTTAAAATGGGACTGAAACCGAACAAGAGAAAGAAAGAAACAAAAAAAGGCTTTGTTATAGTTTTTAGAGTATAGACTGAGGAAAAAAAAAAAAAAAGCAAAATGTATAGGTTCAATACACATTTTAAGAGTCATAAAGTTTCCACTTCTAAGTATAATTTTGCATGGATTTTATATATGGCTATTACGTCCATGAACTTTTACATGATCGGGAAGTCTAAAATGAACATGATCATTGCACAATTCCTTTGTTTTTTTTATAATTGAATATCAACATTAAGCAATGTTGGAATCATCTCTACATGCTCAAGACCATGCAGAGTTGAAATCAACGTTTCGCTTCTTATTTTTGGATAACCATATTTTCAAAATCTAAAATTTTACGACCACTAGTTTGACTTGATTTGGACGAAAATGGATAAAGTATGTACGAAAAGGAAAGGAAAACGGATAGACTTTGTATGTATAGATGATTCTATGGATTATATGGCTCTTCTATTCGCTGAGAGGACGAAGGTCAAAAACGTAGACGTTTTGAACGTCGTCATATTGATGATCTGTAACGAAAAGTCTAAAATATTAAACTATGCATGCATGCCATCTGTTAATATAGAGATAACTCTAGGAAAACAAATATACACACCGTGCTATCTCTTTTTTTTTTTTCAAAAATTTGCTCATGAAAAATATATACTTCTATTAAAATACTTATCTAAAAAAAATCAATCTAATATGAAAGCATTCAACTATTCAAGTAATGAGTAAAAAATGAAAATTGTTATAGGTGAAGGAACTAAACTTTATGGAAAAATATTATAAACGATGATTCCGAAATTTCATTTCAGACTTTCAAAACATCAAAATTTCGTATGGTACATTGAATATTATGATCGTTGTTCACGTGCTAGCTATAAATTTCGTCCATTGTATGTAATTAGATCGTATTTTATTCGATATCAAATATTTTGTAGCAGATTCAATATAATAAGATGAAACAAAAACAACCGAACTCATTAGTATTATTGTGAAGAAATGAATTCTCAATATTGCAGAACTCGGAACAAATCGTGGAGTTCTAGAAGACGAAAGCGAAAATGTCTCTCTTTAATTCTCAATCATTAAATTTTCAAAAAAGAAGAAGATATTATCAACAAATAATAGAAAAAGTGAGGGGGGAGAAAAAAACGATTTGAAGATGTGTATGAAGATAGACATAAGAGATAGGGTGATATGATCACACGTGTTCCCCACTTGCTCTTTAACTTGTCGCGGCGCCTCGTCGCCGTTTCTTTCGTTCTTTTCTAATTTTGTTTTTCTGTTAGCAGCTTCTCAATCTCAATCAATAATTTATGTTTCCAAATATTTTTATACGCTTTTGATCGACATATTTTTATTATAAAATATTTAACGTTTTTTTAAAAAACTAGCATACTCATCTTTAGAGATCGAATGGATTCTCGATTTTTTTTTTTTTATATACGCTTTTGATCGACATATTTTATTATAAAATAGTTAATGTTTAAATTATATTACGAAAACAAAGTTTACCTGTCCATTTAATGTTTTTTTTTTAATGTTTAGTAAATTGCAAAGAAGTTCTTCAAAAAATCTAAGCATACTCACTCATGTTTAGAGATCGAATGGATTCTTGATTTTTTTTTTCTACTATTAGTTTGAACTTTGAACACGTTTTAATGGACATGATATATTTCTGTGGCATGCATGCTGTTTTATTTCGTGAGCGTCATACCTTATAATTAACGAAATCAGTTAATGTTTGGTAGGCTCTCATAAAAACTATTGCTAATGAATCGATCGTTAACGGTGACTTGTCGAGAAGGAAAAGGACGTAAGGTAGCGACATAACGTATCAAACTTGGTAAGTGTTGTTTCTTCAGTTTGTAAACAATAGCCTTCATATGGTTCGGGTTGATGATAATATGATAATTAATTTTTAAAAAACTCTATGAATAGTCCTAAACAGCTATAAAATTTCGTGCGTTCGTTCGTCTCATATATGTTTTGGAACGTTCGTGCAAACAAAATAATGTTTTAGTCAAAAAAAAAAAAAATGTTTGAGTCGCAGTCCTTGCGGTACAAAATTTTATTGCTTAAGTAAATTCAAGATTTAGTAACCAGTACAATATTCATAAAGATATCATTAAATTCGAAAATCAGTGTTTGATGAAAGATGTCATCATCATCGTAACATGATGCCACCACGCAGTCTACTTGGCACCTTCACTTATTTAATAAAATTTTATTTCCTGGTTCAGTAAAAATTCTGGACCGTTGTTTTTGGCAGCCAATCGTACAAATATCCTACCTACGCCACAAAATTACAAATTTACAAATTTACAAACTTCTCGGTCTTTTCCAAAATCTATTACTAATAGGCAAGTAGTAATTATTTTAAGTATGCTTGACAAATAAGGGGAAAGATACCAAAAGAATGAGTTTAATAGTAATCAACTATCAAATGCAACTAGGTTATTTAATAATACAAAATTTACAGCATCTTTTTCAGTTTTACAACATCAACATCATGGAGTGGAGTCTCCTAGTCCAATTAGTTTCTCGTTCACTTTAAATGAAATTATCAGTGCCGGTAGTGGACAGAACCACTAAACTGGATTAGATTTGGTTAAATTCAATCTGAGGTTTTTAACCGAACAAATATGTGTATATGACATTTTCGGACAAACGAATTAGAACTAATCAAAGAAGACTAACATATACATATATGAATATGACGATGTTCTTATTATTAGATGGCATTTTCTTGGGAATTAGGCTGTAGTTCACGTACATGTAATTACTCGATAAAATGTTGGAGAATCATGAAAAAGAATATACCTAACAGACTGTACTAGAAAGGCTGAACATCTGAGGTTCAGCAGAGCATCAAATATACAGAAGAGAATATTCTCATTAATCATACCTCGACCGATTTCTTCACCCTCCTACTTTAAATTTTTGAAATTATTCTTTTGTTTCGTATTTTTTCTTGCGTGATTGCATTTCTTCTGAACAAAATACCAACCACGCACACAATTTCATATGAGGTCATTTTAGTTTAATGATGTCTTTCTTTAATTTTTATCGATATATCTCACAATCGCTCTCTAGATTGTCATGTTTGGTTATACGTCAATAATCCAGGTTTTAAAAAACTACTATATCAATCACATTATTATTAGCTCTTGACCTCCAATCAATAAAGAATTTTCTATTTTATTTAATCTAATCTAGTTAAGCAATCAAAGAATTCTAAACTTAAGATTCGAAAAGCTTTCCACAGACCCGGTACAATTCATCATGTAAATCAAATGGTCCCCATATATGTGAATATACACATATATCGCACTCTCCTATCTCCTTACGTTTTGTCATTTTCCTCACCCAATAATCCTATAAAAAACAATAATCAAGAGCAAGGGAGAAAGAGAAACACACACACACTAATATATATATTTAGAGAGAGAGAGATAAAAACAGCTAAGAGAGAGATAGAGATATGGTGTATGCAGGTTACTGCTTAAAGGAGCAGAAGACATGCGTGAGATGGGTCGAGAGATACTTCGACGACTGTCTTTGTAACCTAAACGATGACGTTTCGTTCGCACTTGGAATCGCTAGCCTTATCTGTTGGGCCGTCGCAGAGGTTCCACAGATCATTACCAACTTCCGTACAAAGTCTAGTCATGGTGTCTCTCTCTCCTTCCTCCTCGCTTGGGTCGCTGGGTCCGTACACTCATCTTCCGTACACTCATCTTCTCCGATTCTTATTATACTCTCTCTCTCTAACGTTATTTTTCCTGACTCTTTTTTATCAATCGGTGCAGTGATATCTTTAATCTCATCGGTTGTCTTCTTGAACCAGCTACCGTAAGTTACACAAACATATACTATTAGTAGTTTATACACTAATTGGTATAAAAAGATGTTAATACACTAAATTGTTTTCATTTGGATTATTTGTCTTCTCATTTTTTTTTGTTTTTGTCTTTTTGTTTGGTTTTTTTAATTGTAGTTACCGACTCAGTTCTACACAGCATTGGTAACATCACCGTCTACTCGCCGCATAAACATATGTCGCCACAAAGCTTACGTGTCATTTTCCCTTAAATTCAGTGTCTATTTTCGGATTTGTTTATTTTGATTCGACCGCTTAATTTTGTTATATTTATAATTCTAGCCTCCTAATTATGTTTTTTTTTTTTATCAACTCTTTGGTTATAGCTTTACACAGTGAGCACTGTGGTATTGGTGATCCAAACAATTTACTACGACTATATCTACAGACTTTGTACGCCCGGACGAACCAAGATCTGTCAAAAGGTACCTACTAATGTTTAACTGTAAAATTAAAAGTTAATTACATTATTATGTAATGATTAATTATACTGTGCATATTATACTGCGGGTGTGAAATTATGTCAAGGAGGAGGAAGATGAAGAGAGGAGACCATTAAAACCACAGAAGACGATGGGATCTGCCATTTCCATCCCCGGAGAATCTTACAAAGCTTCTCCTCGGAAAGAGTTCTATTACACGTACGGTATAGTAAAATAATTTTTATTTAGTTTACTCTAATTAATTTGATTACGACTAAATTTGTAGAAAATAAACCATGTATGAATTAATGCATTATTTTACTACATTGTCATATATTCTTCTTCTTTTTGCCTACTCTGTTTATTTTGTCGTTTTCGCAAGATTTTTAACAAGTAGATAAAAAGGTGATCATTTTTCAAAAAATATCATAAGATTTACTGATAAACCTCGAATATATATAATTTAGCTTTCGTGATTTTTCTTTAAAATATTATCTACACCCTCTTTATTTTATTGTGACAAGTTGTTTTTCTTATATATGTAAATAGGTTCTTAAGATGATTTATTAGGATGTGACACTTCACTATGGTGATGGATTTTTTCAGGTCGGCAAGATCATTGGCCGGAAGCGGTACGCCGCCTTTAAGAACATCATATTTTCGGGTGGCTAAGAGTGGCCCTTCGGCTATGGCGATAGACAGTGGTTCTTCCTCGGACGAAGATGAGACAATGTCGACGCTTCCTGTTGTAACGGCTAAGACCATCACTCAACCAAGGCCAATCCCAAGACAGGTTTTTGATTTTTCTTTTTTGTTTGTTCTTGGAAACTAAAAGCCACTTTAGGCGTCCAAAAGAACAAAGATTGACACATTTTATACTTCTTCATTCCTCTTAGGCAGGCTTTGGAACGTTCTTGGCTGCATCGGTTAGCCTTCCGCTCCAGGCCAAGAGCCTAGCGGAAAAGTATGCACACGCTTCAAGCAGACGGCTTCTAAATGTGTGTAACGGCATATATAATATTTTGTTGCTTTTTATTGTTTGGATCAAAAATGCGAAAAAAAATCATTTCAAAACATTATTGTGTCGATGTAGGAAAGAAGAGTAGAGCATAGCGCATTGGGACAATGGTTGGGATGGCTAATGGCTGCCATTTACATGGGCGGTCGCATCCCTCAGATTTGGCTCAACGTAAGCCACTCTTGTGACTCATCTTCTTTAAAATTCTTCTATGCTTATTGTTTATGACATTGGATACTAATCTGATTTTGGCACGTGACGATATATTTCCACAACTAGATCAAAAGAGGAAGCGTCGAGGTAAAATAAAAATCGAAAATAGACCAGTTCGACAAACTAAAATTAAGTAGCATGTGATGTAATTAACAAAATATGGTTCGGTAATTGGCAGGGTTTGAATCCACTTATGTTCATCTTCGCGCTTGTAGCCAATGCAACATACGTTGGCAGTATTCTTGTCAGAACAACCGAATGGGAAAACATCAAACCAAATCTCCCTTGGTTGCTTGACGCTATTGTCTGCGTCGTGCTCGATCTATTTGTATCCTTTCTGATCATTTTAATATGATATATATATATATTTTTTTTTTAAACATTCTCGATAGGTTTTGTTCCGCTACCTTAATTCCAAAAATCACAACAGATCATATTGCAGTATATCTACTACAAGTATTGCAGGAAGAAGAGCTTAAAAGATGAAGAGGAAGACGGCTATGGAGACTATGTGAAAGCAAGCAAAACTTTTGTTTCGTGAATCACAAGTCTTTATGTTACAACGATCGTTTGATTTTTGTTTGCCTTGAGTATTGATTCGAGAGTGTATGAAGTCTGCTTACCACCGGATTTTATACAAATAAAATATTGATTTTAAAATGTATCAATTAACTAATAGTTCAAAAATTATCATTTAAATCTTTTTGTTTTCAGTATTTGACCGTTTTCTCTCCCGTTGACAAATTATAGGTTGACAACGCATTAATGAATTAGAAGATAGATTAAAAAGGCCCATTAATAAGCCCTAATTTCTTTTTTTCTGAACAAACAATAAGCCCTAATTCCCCTAGATAGACTTGACGCCCAAACTATACAAACCGTCTTAAAAGCCCAATATAAGAACATAAGGCATATAATTTTACGCTGTAAAAAGAGAGCATCCATCGCTGATTACTACGAACAAGAGAGAAATATGGCGTTTAATATTACAGATCCGGTGGCGTTTCACCGTGAGCAGTCGGAATATTGGCGTCGAGTGAAAGAATCGGACGTAAGTGTCTAATTGTCTTTTTGTTTAGAGTTTGGTGTGTTGGATGATTGTGATTTAGTCAAGCTATTGTACACGTAATTAACCCTTAATCATACACACGTAATTGTCTTTTTGTTTAGAGTTTGGTGTGTTGGATGATTGTGATTTGGTGAAGCTATTGTACAACGCTGAATCTTTAATTTTTAAGCTAATTATTGCAGTTTTGTTAACCAAGGATTTAGGGTTACGACTGATCTGTTTTGAACAATTCATAGACTGTTGTAACTAAAGTCTTAGAAATTCTTTATGCTTACGCATCTGCTAGAGGAAATTGCTTCTTGGGTTATGTGATCAAACCTAATTGCTAACTGATTGCTTGCAGGGTTTTGATCTCGAGGGTATATATGCACCGCAAGGAACAGGTGTTATGACGTCAACCTACTGTGAAGATAAGGATGGGTTTAGGTGTCCTGGCATAGTCGGCCTTTACGCTAGGTTGGGACTACATCGTTACAATCTGCTGGAGGTAAAAACACGACAATCGTATAGTCTCCTCTATAGCTCTTGTTGCTTTATTTACATGTTGTATCTATATGCTATACAAGATTCAACTTACCATATTCTTCTTTCTTGATATGTCAGGGTACAAACTTAGAGCTCACTCGTGTTATCAAATTCAACCAACTCATTCATTGTTTGTCTTCCTACTTCATTACCTTGTTGGCTTGCGATCCAGTTAGGGGTTCGAACAACATAGTTTTTCAAGTGGAAGTAGATGAAGATAAGCATCACTGTTTGGGTTTGACCGTGTCGATTGCTCGACCTAAACGTGAGTCGTCCATCTCCACCGTTGAGTCGCCTCAGGAGGAGTTACTCTCCTCCATTGCTCACTTATTCCCCACCTCGCCATCGTTCACCCTTGAGGTTCCCTTCCCCACCACTGAATCTCCCTTTTCCCCCACCATGCAGTCAACAAATGTTGATCATGATGAATTCCCAAGTGAGCCTTCACATGGGCTTCTTCCTGTTGGTGATGACAAGCTGCCTGAGTGGCCCTCTACGCATGCTTTGAGTGACAGCAAACGGTTTCATTTGGTATGATTTCATATTTTTGTCTTTGTTTTTTTGTTAATTTTCCCTTGTGATCATTTATTTCGTGACTCATACGTTTCTATTGCTTTTGCAGGTGGAGGAATCGCAGTTGCGAGACAATGATTGGATCTCTATATCTTTGCAACTTCAAGTTTGTTTTTCTGCTCATGTAGACCAAGCCGTAAGTATTCTTTCTCTTCTTTTATGATTGTTATGCGAATGATTGATGTATACATGCCTATGATTGCAATTGATAATCTACACGGTTTGGTTTGGTTTGAATATTGTTGTCCCTCCAGTCCAAGTTCAAGTTGAAGATTGTCAAAGTGGCGATAGAATCTATTGACAAAGATGTGGAGCCGCGCAATGCCAAAAACGTATTTGTATACATAACCTTTACGGGTTTAACCTTTAAGCGTTTGGCCACTCACAGTTTGCATTTGGATCGCCCAGTGTATGAGCCTTTGGAACATAAAGCTGTAATCAGAAGACTGGTCGATGAGCGTACAGGAAGCTTGAGCCTACTTGGTGGCTTTTTAGATCAAGACCATCTCTTTATCCCTCCCCCTATGGTTAATGGTCACATTGACTTTGACTCTGAGTTTATTCGAAGTTGTTTAATTGATTCAATGATCTCAAACGAAGAGCAGAGGAGAGATTTGGTGAGAAATTCGGGGAGAAATTTCTAATCGTCTACCAAGTTGTTTCAAAGTGGATTTGTGTTAAATACTATTTTTATTTTATTTTCCCTGGTTTTCCCGGTGTGCGTGTGTTTTCAAGTTTGTACTGCTGTTTGACTACAATAAGTTAATGTATGTGCTTCAGTTTGGTATATATTTTTATCTAGAGCTTTGATATTTTTTTTTTAAAAAAAAAAATCTATTTGAAGTCTCTCTCAAATTTTTTTTTACGCTTTGCTGACAAATAATGGAATTGATTGAATCGTCTGGTTTTTAGAAAAAAATGGAGCGTTGTTTAAGTAAGTAATCTGTGAAACATTTTGACACAAATCACGTATATTCCATGTAGAAATATTTTAGATTACTCTTCTAAAGTAGTCCATGTCGATATTTTGGTAAGTTCTCTCTATCAAGTACAATTTAGGAAAAAATGGCTACACCAGTACGTGTATACATTACTGGAATAACAATTGAAAAACAAAACTAGGGTTAACAAGAACGAAATAATTAGAACAAGTTTTTAGCTTTTCAAGTGACAGAGAAAAAGGTTTAAATTTGTTTTATTGCAAAACGTAAAAAGATCAAACCAGGAGCCCACTTACGAAGAATGTATGTATGGGCCGCCAGTGACAAAGTTAATAATTATTTTGTGTTATTGTTACGGCGTCGCATCGACGAGTGCATTCTCACGTAAAAATTAAGAAAAAGCAACAAAATGGCACCGTTGAGTACAGAGTTTAAACCCCACGCGCCGATGCCATTGCATCCGCCTTTAATGAGGTGCATCGTAAGAACCCCAGCGTGAGACACGAGATTACATCCCACCAGAACCAACTGACAATTCACGACAAACGAAGGAAAGGCCGAACCGGGCAAACCGAATCCGATCCAAAATCTGTAACCGTAAACCACCGAGTAAACCAGCGTGGTCGATAGAATGGCTAGAATCTGGTACGATTGCGAGAATTCGAGCCAGAGGAACGACGTGAAGGCCATGGCGGAGTTGCAAAAGAGCTGAGACACTGCGAGTCTCCGACGACGGAAGACGGCGAAGATCGTACGGAACATGTGGAGAAAGCGTGTGAGGTAAAAAGCGTAGGACCAAAAGAAGACCCGACCCGAGGGACGAGTCCCTTGAGGGAAACAGAGGAGCCACTGTAGAGGAGTGGCGGTTTTACTCCGCCGCCAGAACCACCGTGTGTCACGGATTTCTGCGGCGGTGGAGAGGAGGATTCCGGCGAAAATAGTGGCCGAGAGAATTGACATGAGAAGGCTGTGGATCTCGGGGAAGTGACCCAAAGGAACGGAGCGGCTACGGCGGAGGACGGCGGAGAGGAGTATGTGGAGGGAGGAGGAGACGACGATGTAGAGGGAAATGGAGGTGATGAGGAAACACCACGTGGTGCCCCATGATTGGCTGTGGCCCCAACGGAATCCGACGATGTATGGATGTTCGGAGAGGTAGTAGGTGAGAGAGTTAATCAGAGCCGTTGACATGGTTAGATTTTGATCGGACGGTGGTTGTGATCTCGGTGACTCTTCTTCTTCTTCTCCACTCTCGTGTCTTTAAAATCGTTATATGTGTGCGTGTGCGTCTTTTTCACATGTAAAGCTCTGTTTCTGCCCTTCTTGTTTTTTAAAAGATTTAATTCATTTTCATTTTGCAATAATTGGTGTAAAACATAGGTCACAAAATGGTCGGTCTTGTCATGAGACTCATGAAAGCAAAACGATGTGGACCAATTTTATTTGTCACACATGTGCTCGGTACGTGACAGATTAAATTAGGTGTATGATCTATGAATCAAATCTTTGTAAAACGGTTATAAGAACTCAAGATTCTTTGTCTAAATTGGATTTTTTTGATATCGTCGGAATAGGAAACCATATTTGTATATCTCGGAATCAAAATGGAATCAGGAAAACGTGTCTTACCATATACTCGCATTGAAATAATTAATATTCATATGAAAAAGGAGGTGGGAAAACCCAAAAACTTCTGGACAGGACAGAGAGTTTACGCCTTCACCGTCAAGAGTGAAGACGGGAAGTTAAGGAGATGAGAAAAAATAGACGTATTTACATTTTTTAATGTAAAATATGGGAATATTCCTCGGGCGATTACTTCTAAGATGGATTATCGGCAATTGATGAACAAGGGTATTTGATAAGAAAAAAGTCATGCTAATCGTTAAACTACCTCTCATTTTCTACTATTACGTACAAGTAATTTAAATTTAAGATAGTTAATACGTATCAAACAAACGATTAGATATTAGTTGTTTCCTAGTCGTTTATGTGGCAAGAACTGTAATACATTTCTTTTTTGGTTTCTTGGTTAATTATGTCCACTTGATATTAGTATTAGTTTACTGTATGCCGTAAGTGACATGTGACCTACCAACCTCATAATTTTATTTACACGGTCGTAATTGATTTCTCGTTAATTAATTTTTAAAAAGTGGCTTGGACGGTGAGCTTACGAGTTACTACAACAACTACTCCCACGCGATACATGTTCTATCAATCATTTATGCAAGTCCGATGAAATAAAATTTAGCAACGTTATACAGATTAACACATACTTACTCGTAAAAAACGAAATCGATTGTTTATGAGAAACTAAGATTAGCATTATTGAGATTTCAAAAAAATTCAGAAATACACTTGAGAAATGAAAAGTTCATATGCATGGAGATATTGTAAGAATTTAGAAAATATATGTCGGATATGATAATATTTTTTAGTTTCATGTTACATAGACATTACATTCGATTTGTCATCTGCTCTTCCAAAATCTTACGTTACATAAAGCCGCACCTATTATTAGAACTCTCTTTTGCTCTTCTTCTCTATAGTGACTTGTTCGTTTACACAATTTTTAGGGGGTTAATTTATCTTAATCAAAAGATCAATATGTTAGAGTTCCAAGAATCTTGGAAACAGCAGCTGAAGGCTTTGGATGAAACAGCTTCTTCAGCTCATCGTACCTCCCAACATCAAAATCTTGAGATCTCATCAGTTTCCTCTGTTTAGCCTCAAACCTGCTTTGGTAAAACCCTTCAAAGGAAGGCTCTTTCGATGTCCTGAGGAAAAACGCGTAACAGGCCATGAAGTAAACCGATGTGACATAGAAACAGATTGGCTCCATAACGTCCCATGTGAGTTCCCAGAAGGTTAGCCTCATGAACACTGTGGTCTGGATGATCAAGTAACCTAGACCAGCCCAAAGCTCTCTTCTCACCAAGGAATGTGCTTTCTCGTCGATCACAGTTTTTATGGCTTCAAGCTCTTTTAGCTCCTTTCTTCTTGGATCGTTTGGGTTACGGATCTGTGGTAATGGAAGCAGGCCCTCGATGGATTTGGTTACCTGATCACACACAAGACAGAGACAAAAAAAAAAACAGAAAACTTTTAGGTACAGCAAGAAACATACCACCTTTTCTAAGCTTTATTAGCATTCAAAACACACAAGACAGCTTATGATCAATTATTCACCCTCGTATGAAAGCAACGATGACCAAAGAAACCGTTGTAAACAGAGAACAACCCCTCCTAAACCCAAATCAATGATCTTTCCCACCATTTGAGTCACCCAAAATATCAAAAATAAACAGTGAATATCTCTCTCTCTCTTGTAAATTTTTCTTTTTTTGGGTTTGGTATAAAATCATCAAGGGATGGCAAAGGCAAGGGTTTAAGAGGACCCATTAAGCTAATCAACCCAAGATTTTTGTAAAGGAAAACAGGAATCGCAAAAAAGTTGTGATCGCCATAGAAAGTGTTCCTCTTTTGTCTCCACCTCAAACTGGTGACACCTTCCTACGTGTCTCTGGTAAGTAAAACAGAGGAGGATTTTGAATCTCCTGTTGAAATTGGAATCACAAGAAATAATAAAACCGTATAAAAAAATGTATCAGTTTTCGGTAGATTCCAAATCAAAAATCAAACCAACAAAGACACTAAAAACTTTGGGAACCCACTTTCTCAATCTCACACACACACACAAATGTCATATGCATTTAGAACAGAGTAAATATATCAACATGTGGCAGGCAACTGCAGATTCAGAGAATTGAGTATAGATGATGATTTACAACTGGTGAAATGAAAAGAGGGGAAAAAAAAGTTACCTGATCAGGCCTTAAGCAGACGGAGTTCCCCAAAACGATGACGTTTCCTGAATCGTCGAGCATCTTCGCGATCCAAGACCCCTGAGCAGGATCGGAAGAAGAATCACTGCACAGACGAACGAAATCGGAGTAAAGGATCCAGCTTTTCCCGGTCTCCATCAGCTTCGTTTTCACGACTTCGATCTGCGCAGCTCTTAGCAACTTCTTCGCGTCTTGCACAGTAAGCCCCAACGTCTCCGTCTCCGTCTCCGCCGCGGATTTCGTCGGAGGCGAGAGTCCGTCTAATCGAATCCGGTCCTTGTTCATGTCCATTTCTCGAAGCTTCTCCATCAAACTCTCCCGAATCGGCATCTTCGGAGTCGTCGCACCCATCCAGTTCACGGCGATTTTGTGCAAAAACCTCCGGGAAGTCGCCATATCATCAGGCTCCGGATCAACCGTTGCTTCTCCTGGATCTCTGGGAACCCTAGTTCGCACGGCTAACGAGGAAGACGAAATACGACAGTTCATGAGACCTTGCGACGCCATTTTCGAGATACTGAACAAACGCTGCGAGAAAAGCTTCCCCATCGCCATTGCCAAATCAAAATAAAGTAAAAATAAATAAATCAAAATCGAAATCCCAAGAGAAATAGTGAATTCGATACTTTTGAAAAATGAATCAGACAGCAAGAGCTTTATATAGGTAACCAAAGTCCTCTGTTTCTTTGTCAGAAAAAAGTCCTCTGTTACAAATTTTAGTTTACTTTCTTGTAAATTAATTAAGTGGACCCCGGTACACGTCAGCAGATATATATCACGACTCACGAGCATTTCAACACTCGCTGCCTTTTCGTGAATACTTCAAGAGATATTGGATAGCTGACTTCCGTCCACGTGGTTGGATCTATGTTGGTGATAGCTTGCGGTGCCTCCATAACCGTCAGATTTGTCATTTTAGTTTTTCCTTTAATAATAATATCTCAACAGATTTAAAAAAAGGCGGAAACGTGTCGCCACATATTTCTGTTTTATCTTTTTTCACATCTAGTAAATGGTTAATGTTAAAAACTCGAAAGAGATAACTGTTGTGATATGATGTGATGTGTACCATAGCATTTCAGTCAATTTGTCTTTATGGTCTTAAGTTTCAGTCAGCCAAATCTCCTAGACAAGGAAACAAAACGTGTCACAATATTTTCTGTTTTACCTTTACATCTATTATCTACCTAGTAAATGCCTAAATGGTAGAAATTGATAAAAGAGATGATCTTTAATTATGATGTAATGTGGACATAGACCAGTAAAGTTGAAACAATGACGTGTTGCCACATTTTTGATTTTATCTTTTACAACCAATAAAGAGATTAGAAAATGGTAATGTAATATGTACATATTCATCTTATGTAAAACTTTAGATTATCCCGTTCTAACTATGATACGATAAAAAAATAATGACTTTACATCTTGTATATAAAAAAAATTCCCGAAAAAAACTTGTACAGTTTCTAAAAGTATAGGTTATAATTTATTTAAAATCGAATGGTAACTTTTATTTACCATTATTTAGTATATAAAAAAACAAAGTATAAAAAATACCCGTCAATTAAATAAATGTAATGGTTAGTCCGGTGACCTAATAAATAAATGTAGTTCGTTTCTGTTCTCTATCCGGTTGCGTAAACAATGCTGGAAAAATGCAAATGACAATTTGTTTCATTGCGCAAGTGGTCAGGTTCCAGCTGCAAATTATGTACTTTTAATATATATACTAGCTATTATAAAGATATTGTTCCTATGTTTACAAATTATTTTATGATGTTTACCAATACAAATATATATTTCAATTTTGAAAATCAACTATTAAAGTCTTATTAAAATATTATTATAAATCTGGTCTAAAAACAGCTGCCTAATTAAAAGCTTCACAGTAATATCAAGCAATTTTTAATGCAGAACTATACCAATTTTGGTTTCACTTTCCGGATATTAATAATAGTTTTAAAGGTTTACGAACTATACCAATTTTGTAAATATTCATCTTGTCACGCATTCTCATTCTACAAACCACTACATCAACTAGAGAAATCAGATTCTGTAATTTATGTTGCGGTTTTGTAATTTTCACGTTAGTATGTTTTTCCGAATGTGATATTCTCATTAGACGAATATATGCGCATGCATGTCTTCAATGGATAGGAAAAGGAAATAAATGAAAATGAAAAGCTTAATTCAGAAAAAAACATGAAAGATATTATTAAGAAAGTGAGAAAAAATAATTCCTAGATGTTCACGCTATCTGCACCAACACCACAAGACACGGGAATTCCAGAAAAGAATGGAAGCCATAAACCCTTGATTATACACCATAAATCTAAATTTATGAGTACGTTATTCTTTTTTTTGTTGGCTGGCATGAGAAATGAATACATTATTCAAAACAAATAAACAAAAGGTGTAGATACCAAATCCATTCACCGCTCGTACAATTATAAGATTCGGGTCGAATAGCACATGATTCCAATAAAAGACTTTGCCAAAATCGATGTGTATGCAGTGTGATATGATGTTGGGTTGGTGGCAAAATATATGCTAACCGAAGTTAAGGTTTGAGATATTTGGGTTGATGTCAAAATGCTGAGGTTAAGACTAGTAACTTGTATAACTCGTAAATAGAAGTAATATTACAGCAAATATTTTTGTTAATCGATAGAGACTAGAGAGAGTCAGAGACAGTAAAATCTCCTACATGTAGATTAAATCATTCATGTGTGATAAAAAGGCTCATAAATAAATAAATGGCCTATTAATGAACTTTGGGAAGACATATATAATTTTATGCCGTAAAAAGAGAAAAAACGAGAAATATGACAAACGAATACATATTCATAATAACCAACTGATGTATCATTGCTCATTTTGCACATGACTGCTACAGAGCTTGACCATGATCACAACATGATAACCCCGCATACATTCAACTCCAGGTCCACATAGAAGGTAATATATAGCTAAGGCTATCTACATGTCTTATACACCTCAGGATACATAACTAGATCTTTGGCAATTGGGTGCTTCTTCAGCTCCTCTAAAACTCCTGGCATCTTTTATTACTATATTTTCTGTTTTGGTTAATAACATTGGTTCAATTGTCTTCATATGATATTTCATATTACCAAAGAAAAAGCATCTTTTATTATATTTTTTATTACTATATTTTCTATTTTGCGTGTCTTTAAAATTTGTAATTTTATTTGACCAGAATCAAGTTAAATTTATATTAGCATTTGTGCTTTAATTAATTATCCATTTTGCCTTACTAACTATTGTTACCATATATTTAAAATTTTTGCCCTAACAATGTACCTCGATAGCCATAAAATCTTCGAAATTTAATTTGGTTAATAACAGTAGTTTAATTGTCTTCATATGAGGTTTTACATTACCAAATATATAATTTGTTTCATTTTTTACTGTATCATTCTGATTAAAATTGATCAAGTGCCACTTGTCGATTTCCCAATTTTGATCAACTTACACTAATTATATACTTTTACTTGATTTTCTCCCTATTAACGAGCTTATTCTGCTTTATTCCGCTCTTTTAACATTTTGTCTATGTATTTGGATTTCTATGGAGTTGTCAAATGTTGATTATGATGTGTTCTCGAGTGAGTCTCCATATGGGCTTCTTCCTGTTCTCGATGACAAGCTGGCTAAGTGGCCGTTTGTGGATGCTTTCACGAATAGCAAACAGTTTCATTTGATATGATTAAGATACAAGATCATATTTTTGTCTTGTTTTTTTTTGTTAATTTTCCTTATTTCGTGGCTGATACATTTTGCAATGGAGGAATTAGAGTTGCGAGACATTGATTGGATTGGTATATATTTGCAACTTCAAGTTTGTTTTTCTGATCATGTAGACAAAGCCATAAGTATTCTTTCTCTTCTCTTATGATTGATATGCGTATGACTCATGTAGACATGGATGTGATTGATATTGTTAATCAACATGATTGATATGCGGGATGAGTGAGCATTTGGAACGCAAAACTATGATCAAACGACGCTCAAAGACTGAGAAAACCTGTGAACATCTGATACGATCCGTTGGGCCTAGTGGGCCATGAAATCTCATTCTCACCAGTTAACGATTTAAGCCTTTTTCCATTTGGTAGTATAGTAGACGCTTAGTAGAATCATCATTGAGTCATCTTAAATTCTTAATAGAGTGATGATGGAGATAGAGAGAGACTGTAAGCTGAATGATCCGATTTATTGAATGAATTGAGAATTACAAAAGATCAAGATCTCATGACGATCGGAACGATGAACTCATCTAGTTCATCTCCAAGCTCATAACGCTACGGATAATAATGTTCATAAAACTTCCTGATTGTAAAATGTAGACGAAAGCTATCTTTATACGAGCAACAATAAGTCTTCCGTTGACTCTTTGACTTATCTATTCCAGCTCAGCATGAGTCCCGTTCACACTGTTCTGTACTCTATAAAACACATTGTCCATCGTCAGCTTCAAGCATTTGACTTAATTGCTACAGAAACTAAGCATTTGACCTAACTGTCACAGCCACAGGAACTAAGCATTTGATTTGATTTACCTGTTACAAGAACATGAATCTCTCAATATTAATCCATTACTATCCAATATTTTTAGTACACGGAAACATAGAGTCTACACCAACAACAAGAGAGATCATTACAAACAATAGAATTTGTTTTAGACTCTCTCCAAGAATTCTACAATTCGATCTGAAACAAGACCAGAGAGAAAATATCTAATGATTCCGACAAGAATATCAAAAAAAAAACACAATTTCAGTTCTGTCTATTGGCAATGTAATTAGCCAAAGCCAACAACGGAGCCACCTTGTCGGAATCAAATCCTAAAAGCTGATCACGAGCATCTCTGTTCAATTTCTCAGCGAACTCTCTCGATTTCTCCAAACCCATAATCTTGGGATAAGTCAATTTATCAGCAATCAAATCTTTCCCAGCAGTCTTCCCCAGCTCTTGAGAAGATTTCGTCACGTCCAAGATATCATCGACCACCTGAAACAACAACCCGATACACCTCGCGAACTTCCTCAGCCTCTCGATCTCATCGTCGCTTCCTCCACCAACGATCCCACCTAACACCGCAGAGGCCTCAAGCAACGCCGCCGTTTTGTGCAAATGGATAAACTCCAAATGCTCTAACCCGACGTCGTTTAAGTCCAACCCTTCGCTGCTTATATCCACCACTTGTCCTGCTACGAGCCCTTCGGTTCCAATGGCTTTAGCCAATTCTCCCACAGCTCGAACCACTCTCACCGGAGAAACCTCGGAGCTAGTCGCCGACGCTAAATGCTCGAAAGCGAAGGAGAGAAGCGCGTCTCCGGCCAAAACGGCGACGTCTTCGCCGAACACTTTGTGGTTCGTGGGTTTTCCGCGGCGGAGGTCGTCGTTGTCCATACACGGTAGGTCGTCGTGGATTAACGACATGGTGTGGATCATTTCCACGGCGCAAGCGGCAGGCATGGCGAGGGACTCCTCTCCTCCGACGAGCTCGCAAGCGGCGATGCAGAGAACGGGTCTGACCCGTTTTCCTCCGGCGAGGAGAGAGTAACGCATGGCCTCGTGGATCTTGAGCGGCTCACGGAGGGGAACGGCGGAGTCTAAGGCTTTGTTGACGGATTCGGCTTTGGTGATGATGTAAGACATGAAATCGAAGGAAGAGGATTTGCGATTGTCTTCTTTTGTGGTGACGACGGAAGAGGAGACGATGTAGGAAGACGACGAAACGGTGCGTTTTGAGTTGATGAAGATGGGTTTAAGGGTCATGAGGGAGGAAGATCTGGATCTGGCTGTTTTGGATTGTGTAAAGAGCGATGAAGTATAAGGACGACGTTGATGATTGTGGTGAACCCATGAACCCAGAGTCACTGAAGCCATTGCGATTTTCTGGGAATCTGCGATTTGGGATTATTAAAAAAAAAAATGATTTTTTTATAAGACTGGGAAATTGGAGTCAAAATCAATCAAGATTTGGGTTGGCCATTAGTGTGGCTATGAGCAGCAGATAGGGTTGTGCGACGGAATGGGCCTATTAGTGGTGGAGATGACTATGTTTTCCTTTTAATTAAAAAGCTTCTTTATTTTCAGTTTACTTTTGCGTTCATTCAAAAACTAATTTTTTGTGAGTATGAAACCTTTTAATTAGATATTTTAGCTTAAAAAATCGATTGATTGAAAAAAAAAAAAATCAAAACCCCCCCCAAAAATATATACTTGTGCTTCAACACTAATTGTTTCAATATCCGAATTTTGAAAAAACGTGAAAACACAGTTTTTAGAAAGAAAACGAAAGTCCAACTAAAAAAAGTCTTCCATTTTAAGTGGTTGATCATTTTTGTTGATCTTTGACACGAAACTAGTAAAACTGGCCTGAAACATGCTAAACGGTCAATTCCTTGTGGATTTATGACATTGATTTTTGATATCTATTCGGCTGTAATTAATCATCAAGAGCGCGCAAATCTCCAAATTAACTGTCCAAGATAATTTGATGGAGGATATTACAAGCCTAATGGGCCTCATGGGATAAATGGGCTTAATGGACCGAGCTGCGTATCAACAAACAGCTAAGAGTTCTGATTCCTTTTACTCAGCGTCGAGAAAAAGCTACGATTGTGTATCATTACAACATTTTCTCTTCTGTTTCTTCGTCGTTTAGCTCCCGAAGACGAGAACCCGGTGGTAGAGAGAGAGAGAGAGAATCGGCGACCTTTGATTCGCTCGTAAATTGTTCCGATTATCGTTTTTTCACCGAAATTAACAACTTGTAAGCTTTCTTCCTCCATTCTCCTTTGTTTGACATCTTGGGTTTTGCTTTCGTTGTTCGACCTAGTCCGTTTTTTTTTTCTTCCCCGATTCATGATGTGATGATGTAGAAAGTTGGATTTTTTCTTCCTTCCGACTTATTATGTGACTATTTAGGAAAATTTCCAATTCTTAAGCTGTAAGTGGAGATCAACTTGTCTTAAAAACGCGCTTTCCTTTCTTAGTTTGCTTTAGGGATCTTCGATCTATTGTGTGGAAATTCTGATATATCTCCTACAAAATAACTGATTGTTCCCGCTTCGAATCTGCAATATATTTCGATTATGAGTTAGTTGCAGCTGTGATTTGATGAACCAAAAAAACTTTAATCATGAGTTTGCAAGTTTAATGAACCAAACGATTTATTGATTCTTTGATTCTGTGCGAGTTTCTGAAGAGGTCAGAGGCAATGATTGGGCTATTTAAAGTAAAGGAAAAGCAAAGGGAACAAGCTCAGAATGCTAGTAGAGGAGGAGCTTCTGTGAAGAAGCAATCTGCTGGTGAACTTCGTCTTCACAAAGGTATCTTCATATATATATTCCCATTGATGTTTCTTTGTTCCACAAAATTTTCTTGCTTTTTGGTCTCTTGTTTGAGATTTATTACTTATTGGTGTTTTGTTGTTTCAGATATATCAGAGTTGAACCTTCCAAGCTCTTGTACGATATCTTTTCCTAATGGCAAAGATGATTTGATGAACTTTGAAGTGTCCATTAAACCCGATGATGGATACTACCAGTTAAGTAGAGCTTTTTTACATATGCGTTTTCTTTAGTCTCACGATCATCCTTATACTTGTTGGAAAACTCATTTTGTTGCCTTCTTACCAACTAAAAACAGTAATGGTACATTTGTGTTCACATTCCAAGTGTCTCCTGTGTATCCACATGAAGCCCCAAAGGTTAAATGCAAAACCAAGGTAGAGAGAATTCTTCTTTTGTGTTACTTATAGTTCTCTCTATCTTTACCTCCCAATTGCTTGTTCATCATATGTAAAAGATGTTTGTTTGTTTGTTTGTTCTCTTTTTAGGTTTATCATCCCAATATAGATTTGGAAGGAAACGTTTGCCTCAACATCTTGCGTGAAGACTGGAAACCGGTTCTTAACATAAACACAGTTATCTATGGACTCTTCCATCTTTTCACGGTAAGATCATTAGCCGCATAGATCAAGCTTACAAGGTTTGTGTTATGTATTTGCATTTCGTGAACTGAGTGTTTTGTTTTTCACAAAGGAACCCAATTCTGAGGATCCCTTGAACCATGAAGCAGCACAAGTTTTAAGGGATAACCCAAAGCTGTTCGAGACCAATGTCCGGAGGGCCATGACCGGTGGATATGTCGGCCAAACCTTTTTCCCGCGCTGTATCTAATGAAGCTCTGTTTCGTCTTCTTCATCAAGCAAAAAGATAAGAACCGAAACACTTTATCCGCCATTGTATTTCTTCTTCTTCTCAAGGACCTTCGTTTGTTTGTTTGATATTGTAAAATTACATTATGTGCAAGAAACCCTTTTCCTTGGATCGACATCTTATGAACTTAGTTCGTGAGAATTCGACAAAGGAGAGACTGAAAGGAACTGAAAACTCAAAAATCTGGGTTGTATAACATGTTTTATCATTTCTTGGGTTCCTTTCCTTTTAAATTATCTTTTTGATTTCACTCAAAATAATGCTTCGTTAGCTGTTCGGTTCGTTTTTTACATAAAACAAAATTTAGATTTATTTGAAGATATAAATCTAAAATTACGAAAATACACCGTCGATTCCGGTTTGTTTCAAATTCAGGTCGATTTAGTCTCGGTTTAAAGTTATTGCTATTGAGTTGGTTTCTTCGGTCCGGTTTATAAGAGTGGTTTCAGAATTTATCACCATCTGTGGTATTAAAAGAATCAAAGACATGAGCAAACTCAAGTCTCTCAGACCATTTGAGTTTCTTTAGAAGTCGCGGTTTTGGCGTTTTCTCGATCTTTCTGGAAAACGAAATGCAACGGAGTGTAACAGAGACAACATAGACCAAAGGGAATCGCCATCATCGACAAAAGCCCCTTGGAGAGGGCACCAGCTTCACGCACAGAGGAACCTTTCAAAGGATCAATACCTTTTGAATCATACCCAAACATCTTCTCCGACAGAATCCCGACCAAAGGCGCAGCGAAAGACGAGAAAGACCCTTCGATGGCTCGGTCAAACGCGTAGATCATCGTACGGTGCTTAGGAGGAACCACTTCCGCAAACATGGGTGCGTTAACCGCTGATCCGCACCAAGTTATGGTGAGACCCATCAAGAAGAGAGTGAGTGAGAAGATCGAGTAGCTCTCTGTGCTCTGTGGGATTGCTTTCAGAAGAATAACCGAGAAAGGGATTCCCATGAACGCACTGAACTGCGCACACATCACTCTACCGGAGTTTGGGAAAATCCGAGACATTCTGTCGGCGATTAGCCCTCCCGTCAGTGATCCTATCGCTCCTCCGGTCGCAAACACCCCAAGCAAAGCCGCCGTCTGGTTATGATCAAAACCTTAAACAAAACAGTAGTAGAGAGTTCAAGGTCTCGGTAATATAACTTTCAAGGTTTGTTTTGTTGTGTTGGAAGTTATATCATTTACCAATAAGCTCAAACCACATTGTGAAGAAAACCATTGCAGTCCACGGTAACGAACCAACGATCCCTTGCAAGACGATGACCTGAAAGGTTCGTACTTTAACCACTGATTTTGTAGCCGTCCATGAATCGTTCCACACCGAGGTCTTATGAACCATTGCTTCCTCTCTACAGTTTACAACAAAACCAAATCAACGTTTTGGCCTTTTAGAAATCAGGTGAAAGAGAGAGAGAGCCTTGACTGTTGTTTTTTTTTACCGTTCGATGTTTTTCTTCCTCGGATCAACGACGAAGAGCAAAACGAGTAACCCGATCACTGCACTAAGCATTGCCATCAGTATGAAAGCACAACGCCATCCCGGTATGCCCCAAAACTCTGAACCGGCCATAACCGTTGCTACAACACCTCCTCCTATACCACCAATTGTACCAATGAGATGCAACATACCGAAACCAGCTCCTCTCTTGCCATCCATATAGCTATCTGCGATGAACGATTGAAGCGCCGGTATAACAATCGCTAATCCAAACCCATTCACTGCTCTCCATAAAGCAACCTAAGTCGCAAGTAAACCCAAAGGATCACTCAAAAAACCATTTTGTAACTTTGGAAATCTTTAGTTTAAAAAAAACACAGATCAAAAAGAGTACCTGAATGAAGTAGCTGCTGGCTCCAACTGCAGCAGTTGATAAAGCCCAACAGAAAGTACCTATTGCAAGAACAGTGGGACGATCATAGGTAATGACAAGAACTCCTGCTAATGGCGATGCGAGTCCTTGAACAAAGTTTCTAACGAATGTTAAGTAGCCTAAATCTGATGGTCCTGCGTTGAAAGCTACACTCACTTCTTTGTAGACGGAAGGCAACAGATTCTCGTCTGCTCGCTCCATGATCGCAGCTAAGTTTATTAGAATCAGTGAAATCGAAACCCCCAAAAACTTTCCTGTTCTGTACAAAACAGAGGACAAAGGGAAACTTTTTCAGTCTTGTCTGATTCAGAACCACTGAACCAGCGACATTGAAACAGTTAATCATTTTTGTTTATCACTATTGTACATCCATAATAATTAATCGTTTAAACAGATCCCGAGACAATCTAATTAAGAAACCTAAAGTATAATAAACAGATTCTGAATCGAAAAAGATAAAGCCGGAAAGGAAAAAAAAAAGTCAAGAAAGGAGCTAACTTTATCTTCATGTTGTTAGTACGGAGGTTGCGAAGGAACAGAGACCGGAGGGATCCGAAAGCGGCGGAGACGATACCGGAACTAGTTCGAGCACGAGCTGCACGACCCATCAAAAATCAAAACTTGAGCTCCCGATTAACCGGAGCCGGAGTTTGGCTGCTTTCTATAATATCGGATCTAAAAATCGGACGGCCAATCGAATTCTCGTACCATTACCAATCGAAGACCCGCCCAATATTAATTACGGTATTTTGTATATTTCAATTTTTTTTTTAATTATATCGATTAGAATATGGTATTTACAAGTAAAATAGATTTTCAATTTTGGCACGTATCTTATCAAAGTGGGTGGATCGTTACAGGGGAGAAGCGTCGGAAGAACATGCTTACATGAATCTGTATTATTTTTAGGATGTGAATAGATTGTGACGTATAGTGTTTTAGTGTAAGCTTTACAATATTTTGGTATTTTTCAAAGTGTTTATAATTTATCCCTTTCTGTGAAACCATAACTACGTAACTGTGAATTAATAATATGATTTCAAAGTATGTTTGTAGAGTGTGAAAGGGAGAGATATTGAAGTTTTCGACACTTACAAGTTACAACCAAAAATCTTCTTTCCCACTGTCCATTTAACAAGACTCCGGACGATAATTTTTCTCCCCACCAATTTGATATGAAATAGCCACAAATCCTTGTTAAGAGTATATACATACTGTATATATTTATTGATAAATGTATTTATGTATTCTTCCAAATCTGAAGAGGCCATATTGAATTAAAGATTTGAATTTATTTGGATACATTCAAAACTTGGGAAGATTTTATAGAATTCAAAGATTTAAAGTCATTTGGAAATCACTAGGAAGAATTCAAAGATTTAAAGATCTTTGAACATATAAGATGCTATTTCTATCCATTGATTGTTAACACTAATATCATTTCAAATTGTGTATATATTTTTTAAGGAAATCTCTATTTTCCAATTAAAAAGTGATTTAAAAAATAATATAAATAGCTAATTTAATAATCTTGGGTAGTGTTGAACAATTTAGCAAATGTTGAATACAATAAGAAAAGATTTTTAAGTTTTTTTTTTTTTAAAAAAAATCATTGATACAATAAGGTAAAAAATCCCAAATCATTGATTTAATATGCCCATAAATAGTGTATTTGATTTTGTATAAACATATTGTAAATGTGATATGTATTTTTGATTGTGTACTCGACATATCTAAGTTTAAATATTCGTTCTATCAACCAGGCCAACAATTCTCTACCGTTCTATCGACTGAGCAAAAACTCTTTTAGAATCTATTCCACATATTCATATAACCAAAATTTATCGTAAATCTTTGAACATTGCACCACAAATCAACGTGGTTCAAACGGTACTGAAAGAAAGTTCCATGGACAAATGTACACATCTGTTGGAAATAAGTGCTTGCCTTCATTACCGAACAAGTATAGCACAACTATGCATGATAACCACGCATATACACATAAATTGAGTATTGCATTTATATTTTTTTTTTTTACTTAGAACAAGAAACCGAAATCTTATACAAACGCATAAATAATTGTAAACGCAACTAACCGATGCATTGAACAATAGCGACGATAGTTGGTTTGAGACTCAATGAACGGCCGCACGATTAATGACGTTATTAATCAATTAAATCCGAGTAGATTAAATGTACATGTCCTCGCCGTACAATTTGAAGTTTTGATAATATTCCCCCACGTGAATGATCTGATCCAATGTCACTGACAGATTGGATTTTTTTGCATCACCAACTGTTGTATTTTTAATTTTGTAGTTTTTTTGGGTTTGTGAATATGAATAATAAGACGTGGTTTTTATATAATGAGCTTCATTTTATTGGTACGCATTATATATATGCAGTAATGAATGGAAACATTTTATAAAATATAGTATAAACTTAAGATTTTGAAAATTTAATCGGTGGGTAAATTAAATAGAATTGTTTATTTAACCAGAGAAAGAATGGTTTTTAATTATTAGGCAGTGTGCTGTAATAGTAGCATGAATCCAGCTGGGGATTCTGCTTCCTGTCTTTGCTCACGCCCAACTGGAGCCGCACGTGCTCCGACCACGATGACCAAATTGTGTTTATTTTATTAATCTCTTATTTTTATGTTTAAAATGTTTTTAGATTTCCTAATTACGTAGATACAGTTTTCAAATGACATCAAATTATCCTTTCTGATGTATGATGATTTAAAATTTTATCAAACATATTAGCTACAGTAAATTGTTTGGATTTTTAATGAAATGAAATTGAGCTAAAACATCAATTATAGTAAGATTAATCTTAATTATTTCGATTAGACAACTCGAGGAAATTAGATAAATTCAAGAATTTGTTTGTGGTACAATACGACAATATGCAATATGAAAACAATGCAAATTATTACTACTAGAGGCAGAAGGCAGAATAAAAAAATACAATGTGACAAAGGCAAAATAAAAATACAAAGGGAAAAGGAAAAGATACCAATTCATTGAATAGTGAAGGGGGAAACAACGCGGGGACCACTGCTCGTGCGTTACATTAATTGGACACGTGTAAGCTGACTTCAAAATCGGTCCCACGCTTAGACACGGATCGCACGTGCGGAGACAAACAAATAAACAAAAAAAAAGTTGAATTTTATTTATATAATCAGACGATGAAGAAAGTTGCAGCCAATCCGCTCGGGAGTCACCAAAAAGAAAAACCCAAAAAAGCAAATAATTAAGAAAGAAACTCTCTCTCCCTCGTGCGCCAGACTGACAAAGACTTCCTTCAGAGCCAAAAAGCCAGAGATGAGAGAGAGAGAGAGAGAGAGAGAGAGAGAGAGAGAGAGCTTCTCAATGGCGGCAGGAGGAGGAGGAGGAGGATCATCGTCGGGAAGGACTCCGACGTGGAAGGAGAGGGAGAACAATAAGAAGAGGGAGAGGAGAAGAAGAGCCATCACGGCTAAGATTTACTCCGGTCTTAGGGCTCAAGGTAACTATAAGCTTCCTAAGCACTGCGATAACAACGAGGTCCTCAAAGCTCTCTGTCTCGAAGCGGGTTGGATCGTCGAAGACGACGGCACCACTTATCGCAAGGTGATTTTATTTCATTTTTTTTAACTTCTCGCGATTTTTCTAGATCAGAATTCTGAGCTTCTCAAATGATTTCGTTTTAGATCGGAAAATTTCCTACTGCTTTGTGATTGTTTTGTTTCCTATTCACTTCAATCGTCAGAGATTCTGAGATTTTCCGATTTGGTTTTTCACTGTTTGATTGGATTGATTTTCAATTTTTCCGACGGGTCGTCTTCATAAGATCTGATTTTACGAATTCTGTAATTTCCGCTTTGCATTAGCTGATTTCGAATCTAGATTTAGCTAATTGCATCGTTTGATACTTTGATTATTGGGAATTTTGGGGAAAGTCTGTTCCTTAGCTTTCTTGACTAGACCAAGCAAAATCATTGACTTTGACTGTGAACTTCGAGTTTGATTCTGTGTGTAGCTTCTGTCACTAAAAAAATTGGCTGGTTCTTGAATTGTGCAAACAGGGTTTTAAGCCGCCGGCGTCAGAAATCTCAGGAACTCCGACGAACTTCAGCACAAACTCTTCAATCCAACCAAGTCCACAGTCATCTGCTTTCCCAAGCCCTGCACCTTCCTACCATGGAAGTCCCGTCTCTTCCTCCTTCCCGAGTCCATCCCGATACGACGGAAACCCTTCCTCGTACCTTCTCCTCCCATTCCTTCACAACATCGCTTCTTCGATGCCAGCGAACCTCCCGCCTCTTAGAATATCCAGCAGTGCTCCCGTAACTCCACCTTTATCCTCTCCTACTTCTCGTGGCTCAAAGCGGAAACTCACTTCGGAACAGTTACCAAACGGCGGGTCTCTGCACGGTTTACGGCATCCGCTTTTCGCTATCTCAGCTCCGTCTAGTCCTACCCGCCGTGCTGGTCACCAAACACCGCCTACTATACCGGAATGTGACGAGTCTGAGGAGGATTCGATCGAGGATTCGGGAAGGTGGATCAATTTTCAGTCTACAGCTCCTACTTCACCAACATTCAATCTCGTTAAGCAGACATCTATTTCCATTGACATGAAGAGATCAGACTGGGGTATGTCGGGAATGAGCGGGAGAGTTTCGGAGTTTGAGTTCGAGAATGGAACAGTTAAGCCATGGGAAGGAGAAATGATTCATGAAGTTGCCGTAGAAGATCTCGAGCTCACCCTCGGCGGCACTAAAACCCGATGCTGAGAAACCGAAACTCGGAAACATGAAAAAACAGTTTGAAAATGGTGACAAAATTGGTCTCCTCCTTGTGATCATAAAACAGAGCAAATCGTCGGCATTGTACAGGAGCTCTCGCGTGGCCGATGATGGTCGAAAGCAAGTCGGAAAAGGGTCGAACCTTTTATATACAGTTACATTCTCCGTTTATACTTGGAAATTTTCTTTATGTGGTGATAATGTTATTGGAGATAGATGATATAATATGGGTTTTTGGTCACAGGATAAAGAATGGGTTTTGAAAGCAATTTGTAGAGAGACTAATAGTGTATTAAGAGCTATATGCGGATACAATCATATCCAAGATTTTAAGATTTTTGTTTGTTTGTCTTTCTGAACTATTGTGTTGTGATTAGTTTAGAGGTTGTTGTGTTGTGGTGTGTGTTGTGTTTGAGTTCGGTGAAAAGAAGTGTTTTGAATAAAACGAAACCTCCACGAGCGGAGAGGATAGTGGACCCCTACCATGTGCTCTCTCTTTTTTTTTGCTGGGACCTAAAACAACTAACTTACTTCTCCCAGCAATTTGCAATTATCTTTCTATTTTCTTTCTTTTATCATATATGGAATTTATATTATTATTATTTGTTATCGCGTGTTGTATAATTAATTACTTTTTTCATATGTCGTAATTCTCACGATATAAGACAACATTTTCATTGCCCATTGGATGAGGCAACTATGTGATGACCCACGTTGGGTCCACGTGAGAAATTTCGGTGACTAAGAAACTTTGGACATGTAATGTGAAGAATTGATGTGATTAATTATTATTTTTTGTATTGTTTGGCGTTTTTGTTAACACTCTCTCTCTTAAGCTATATAATCATAATCATTTGCCATTCTCATTGACACATTTCCATTTAATTACATAAGTTTAACAAAAGAAGAGTTGTGCGGAAAAACCAAATTTCCCTTCTTGTTTTAATGTTATTGTTAATTTGGTGGTGCGAGACATTTTTTTTGGGTAAGAGACATTGTTCATCGACAATAGATACTAAATGAGACCATGCCTAACTTTACTTTAATCCTCATGCCTAACTACAATAAGGCCAGACCACCTTTTTTAAAATGTGAAGCAACTATAGTTTACATTTATTCATATAAAGAAAACGATATACTGTAACTAGTAAAACTCAACAAGTCACAAGATTGCATTTTGTAGCTTTGTCCAAAACAAGAAGAAAAAAAAAACACATCGAAATTCATGTTTCTATATGCTTGGCTCATCTCATCTTAACACGCAAAACAAGCGACGACCCAAACACAATTAGTTCAACAGTTGAATAATAGCATTTGGTATACGTTAGGTTTAACCAAATGACAGTTCCATTAATGAACTTATATAACATGTTTCCTTTTCAGTTTAATAAATGATTATTATGTTACGATTTTCACTCCGTTTTAATCATTTATTGCAAAAAAATGTTCATCCTATATATTCAATTCAAATCACTCAATCACCAACACACATTCTCATTTCACCAATTGAAGAAGGCAAAAAAAAAGTCTTATAAGAATGGAGTTTCACGGAGTTTTAGTGGCTAGTCCAGGCATGGGCCACGCTGTACCCGTATTACAACTTGGCAAACGTCTCCTGAACCACCACAGATTAGACCGCGTTACTGTATTCCTAGTCACAGATGATGTCTCGCACTCAAAATCCCTAATCGGTAAAACGTTGACGGAAGAAGATCCCAAATTCGTGATCAGGTTTATTCAGCTCGACGTTTCGGGTCAAGATCTCAGCGGTTCGCTTTTAACCAAACTAGCAGAGATGATGAGGATGGCATTACCACAGATCAGGTCTGCGATCATGGGGTTAGAGCCGCAACCTAGTGTTTTCGTTGTTGACTTGTTGGGAACGGAGGCTTTATCAGTGGCTAAGGAGCTTGGGATCATGAAGAAACATGTTCTTGTTACTACCAGTGCTTGGTTTCTAGCTCTTACGGTTTATATGGCGAGTCTTGACAAGGAGACGTTGTATAAGCATTTGAGTAGCAGAGGAGCGCTGTTTATACCGGGATGCAATCCGGTTAAGTTTGACCGGGTTCAAGATCCGAGTAATTATGTCCGGGAACTCGCTGAGTCTCAGCGAATTGGAGCTGAGGTTATCACCGCCGATGGGGTGTTTGTGAATACATGGCACGGTGTGGAGCCAGGGACGATCAGGTCTTTCTTGGATCCAGAGAATCTCGGTCCGGTTATGAGAGGAGTGCCGGTTCACCCTGTTGGACCGCTGGTTAGACCAGCAGAACCGGATTTGAAGCACCACGTGCTGGACTGGCTTGACTTACAACCAAAAGAGTCAGTTGTTTATGTTTCTTTCGGAAGTGGTGGGGCACTAACAGCCGAGCAGACAATCGAGCTGGCTTACGGTTTGGAGCTGACCAGGCATAGGTTTGTTTGGGTCGTTAGACCACCGGCCGAAGACGACCCGTCGGCGTCAATGTTTGTTGACAAAACCAAGAATCAGAAAGAACCACTTGATTTCTTACCCTACGGGTTTTTAGACCGGACCAGAGATATCGGTTTGGTGGTCCGGATATGGGCCCCGCAAGAGGAGATCCTGGCACACGAATCAACAGGAGGGTTTGTGAGTCACTGCGGATGGAACTCGGTTTTGGAGAGTATAGTGAACGGTGTGCCGATGATAGCTTGGCCTTTGTACTCAGAGCAGAAGATGAACGCGTGGCTTGTTTCAGAGGAGCTAAGGATCGCGGCACGGGTGAATGTTGGCGATGGGATTGTGAAGAAGGAAGAGATCATTGAAATGGTGAAGAGAGTGATGGATGAAGAAGACGGGAAAGAGATGAGAGAGAATGTTAAAGAACTGAAGAAGACAGCAGAAGAAGCTCTCAAGAAGACTAACATTCCATCTGCTTACTTCACCCAAAACTAATTAGTGAAAAAATCACCAAAGTTTTCTTTGTAACAAAGCATTTAACGTAACATTTCTATATGAGCCAAGAAGATACAAACAGTGTTCAAGAACTGACAATCTTGTAGGAGTAAAGAGATAATTAAGAAACATGAGTTTTTCTTTATTTTGTGGATATCTGAATAGAAACTGTGTAAATGACTTGAAATTTCTTTTGGTTTAACAGTGAGGAGAAGTGAAAAAGCCATTGCTAAACATCTAATTAAGAGAAATCCGGGAGGGATTCAAACCAATACCCTTACAGGTTCCGTAGCTTTCTTGAGCCATTCCATTTGGGTTTGGTTCATGAATGGGGCCAAGATGTCCTTGCATTTCAAATGGTATGTGTTTAACCAGTCGACCTCTTCTCGAGTCAACTGCTCTAGATCGATAAGTTTCACTTGATACGGTGCCTACGGAGAGAGAGAGAGAGAGAGAAATAGAGCGTTACTCAGACATGCATATTGATAACAGAACCAGTAACAGTTAAGAGAGAACGAGCAAGTACCCAAGTGATATGCTCGAATTGCAAATAGCCCTTGTCGCCAAAATTAAAATCGGTATCAGCATCATTAACAACAAGAACATTCTCCAACCTAATACCAAAGTTCCCATCTTCGTAGTAACCAGGTTCTGCAACATAAAAACACACAGATTTTTAGAATATGCGGTTAATCAAAGGGGAGAGAGATATCAAGATGTTACTTTTTCTGGGAAGAAAGACTTACCATCTGTCACAGTCATGGTAGCTTGGAGAGGCACATTCCTAGCGCTCGGTCTGAAACTAACTTGGTGAGGTCCTTCATGAACGCAAAGGTAAGAGCCGACTCCATGACCAGTACCATGTCGATAATCCAAGCCATACTTCCACAACGGAGCTCGAGCAAGAATATCAAGTGTATAACCTGCATTTCCAGATATAAATCAATAGTACTCTTCTTTAAAGTTGAAAACGAAACTAAAATACACAAGATCATAGATTACCGTTTGTTCCTTTTGGAAACCGAGCATTTCCGAGAGCAACATGACCCTTGAAGACCTAAGATGCAAATCATAAAATAAAAGTATAGCTTATTCTGAATAAACAAGAACTCAATTTTTGTTAAAGTCATCATCGATGAGTACTCACCGCGGTATAGCAGTCCTTCTCATGAGCTGAAGGTTTTCCAAAGTGAACCGTTCGGGTTATATCAGTTGTTCCATCGAGATACTTCGCACAAAAGACATTCAATGAAATTTTATGAGCAAAGAAGAATTTGAATGAGCTTATAAATATTTAGTCAATCATGTGATGTAAAACCTGTGCTCCTGAATCACATAAGTAAATTTTGTCTGGGTCCATCTCGGCACAAGCCTCTGGCTCTGGTGAATAATGTATAATCGCAGCGTTTGAACCAACAGATGATATTGTAGGAAAGCTTAAACCTCTAAAATGCTGCAACCACGTGAAAAAAAAAAGAGAAATTTCATTCAAGAAAGAATTTAAACTATCAAGACACTTTCACAAATGAACAATAAATCATGTTACATGCGAACATTACCTCTTTGACAGCTCGAAGACTTTCAAGCTCATCGCTCACAGTCACTTCAGTAAGCTTGGAGGTCTCACTAGTTTGTTTCTTTTTGTTTGCCTCGGCTTCCACAAAGTATCCAGATGCTCCATAGAGCTCCTGCATCTGTGGTTTCACAAAAACGAGCGTGCATGAAACAATGATCAAATATCATATTGTTCAAGATTCGAAAATTATTTCTTTTTCCGTATATTCAAGTACCTGTGTATCGAGCCAAACAAGGAACTGGACAACTGCTGCACCATCACGAACATGTGCCTTCTTCATTCCTTCGAGCTCAACCGGGTTCTAACAAAAGAATGGGCAGAGGCAATACAATATAAATAGAACATAATTGCGATAAAGAAGCTAAGAGAATTTCACTTTTTACAAAGAGTATTCATTATTTACCTTCAAGGCTTTTGCAAGGGACAGGGGAGATGGTTGCAGAAGAACCTTATCAGCATCCAGTTTGGAATAAAGAGCATAGCAACACGAAGCAGGGTCCAACCATAACCGATCAGTCTGGTCAGAATCAATCTCCATGTCTTTCGTAGTAGACTCACTTTTAGAGGCAAATGATGAGAAAAGCTGGTCAGAAGCAAGCAAGGCCACATCTGAGATCACATCTGTGTACTCTCGGACTTCTACACCAAGCCCTTTGAAATAAGCACTTGTCTACATATTACAAAACAGAATATTATCAAAAAGTTACAGAACAAGAACAATCTACAGAGCAAGTATTCCAAAAAAAAAAAATGAGAGTCTAACCTCATCGGATACTTTCTTTTTGTCCACATAGAGGAACGCAGAGTCGGTTGTAACAATGGCAAATGCATGAACAACCGGACAATAAGCAACATCGGTTCCACGGATATTGTATAGCCAAGCGACCTGCAAACAAAGGCCGGATCAATACATTACAATAGCAAAACTGAGGACAGAGATATCATTAGGAACTCCTAACCACACACACACCTCATCAAGAGCAGCAATGACCAAACCACGCGCACTCTCTTGCTTAAGCTTTGCCCTCAAATCTTTCAACTTCTCGGAAACAGAACGGCCAGCGAATTCCAACGGATGAACGATGACCGGACTCATCTCAGAAGGCGGACGGTTTTGCCAGACTTGGTCCACGAGATCAGTTGTTGTCGGGATCAGATTCTGACTCTTCTTGGCAAAAGATTTCGCCCATCTATTCGCAGTGTCTACCGAAACACACCATGAGTCAACACCTATGTTTGCTTCTTCGGGAAGATTCTACATTGTCCCAACAAACAACAAAACCAGAAGCTAAATCAAAGAAACATCTCAGAATGTATCAATATAATCAATATATATGGGTGACTTACATCTGACATCCAAACTTCAACAAGAGGATCTTCTCCCATACGCATTAGTGTCCATTCTTTGCTAAGTTGTTGCATTGCTTGCAAGAAGTAGCGACCATCAGTCCAAAGCCTCGCTTCGTTTTTCGTGATAAGTGCCAAACCTAATATCCACCCATCAAATTATGAGCAAGTCTCGATCGAATATTCAAATAACTAATTTCAAATCCAGAAAAGGACAAAATTTGAATCAACCTGCACTTCCAGTGAATCCAGACACGAACTCGCGGCGTTTGTCTCGTGCAGAAACATACTCGCTCTAAGTCGACGGCAATTGAAGTAGGACTCGATTAGATTATATAAAAATTGAAACTTTGTCTAATCTATGATGAACAGCAAAAACATGAAATCAAGTAACCGAAGCATAATCAAAGATCAGATCGTGAATCGAAAAGGGTAGTTAAAAAACAATCAGACCTGGTGATAGTCTTCGGAAGGGACAACCAAAGCGTCAAGAGGAGGAGAGTGAGAGGCCATTAGAGACCTCAGGGAAGATAGAATCTCGGACATGTCGGTATCTCTGTTCAGAGAGAGATTGCCTTCTTTCGGTGATTTGTCTCGAGGACGAACACAGCAGATGCAGTGGATTGATTGATTGATAGATAGATAATAATAAAGTACAGATACAGTTTATGTTTTCCGAGGAATCCCAATGTCTGACGCAACTAAATAGTAGTAGTAGATATCTTCCCTATATTATAGCGATTTTAAAATTTTATCTTTTGTTCTTTTTTAAGAAATTGGTTTCTCGATTCAACAACTCCAATGAAAATAATCTTAAATTTAATTTTACAAATTTTTAAAAAAATAGCTCAAATATTTATTTGTAGAGAGATTAATCAAGAGACAACAATAATAAAGAAGAAAGTATATACACACAACCGTTAACGTAAGAACCCTATGATGGATACTACAAGGTTCTTCGAAAATGATGAAACTAAAAACACTCGGAAAAGAAAGAAATCGATGGAATTGGAAAGAAAAGAAAGATTTTTATATGATTATTTAACGGGAGAAGGAATTGAAAAAAATAAAGAAGCCATTTCTTGTTTAAGGTTGTGCAAGTCTCTTGACAATTGCAGCCATGTAGTTTCCTTGATGTTCAGCAAGAGCCAGTTCTGTTTCTGTTGCTTCTCTTGAGCCATCGCCAGCAAACACACCTGCTCCATAAGGAGAGCCTCCACGGATCGAGTCCATCTTGAACATTCCAGCTCCAAACGTGTATCCTATGGGCACGAATAGCATCCCGTGGTGCACCAGCTGTGTGATTGCTGTCCAACTTGCAACCAAAAAAAAAACACGACTTGGAATCAGTATGTGAATTCCCATGAGATGCAAGATTCCGCATTGTTATGCTTCTCTATATCGCTTTGTGTAAAGGAACCAAGCAAATAATGACTGACCAGACACTGAAGAAACTAACAGCAACAGTCTCATGTCTAGAAACATAGCAATTTCGGTGCTCAGAAAGTGAGAATCTAACTTAATAAAGTTCAATTAGCATACTCGCAAATCGCAATCCTGTCATACCAACAGAGAGAAGAGCGTACTCACTATAGAGGCCAATCCAATTGAGTTGTGAAACTATACATCTCCCTTGAAATCAAAGATCAAGCAAGCAATGCTACTGTGCTACAGATACAATCCACCATAGACTATAAACTCTACTGTACTAGATAAAGTACTGACCACACAACAAAGTTTCAGGTTTATCAACCACCTAAAAGATAAAGCTGATGGCTTTCTATATCTGCATTTATTTCACATGATGACTCAATCAAAACACAAAGCTTTGATGAGAGCAATTGAATACTTGTACTCCAATTTCAACTACCCAAAATTGCAATTACGAAAATGGCAACGAGTATAAGAAGAAAGCTTACGCAGTGGTCTCTTGGCCACCTCCCTGAGTCCCTGTACTGACGAAGAATCCAGCAGGCTTACCGGCGAGTGTCTGCTCTTTCCAGAGCTGTCCCGTCGAGTCAAAGAAAGCCTTCATCTGCGCAGCCATACACCCATACCTCGTCGGGAATCCAAACAGAAACCCATCAGCAGCCGCCAATTCCGCCGCCGTAATCTCCGGGATCTCCGGATCCTTTGGCGGCGCCTTCATCTGCTCAACAACCTCCTGCGACAGAGTCTCCGGCACTCTGTACAGCGTCGCCTCCACTCCGTCGACGCTATCCACGCCCTTTTTCATCCTCCTCGCCAAGCTCTCGACGTGACCGTACATCGAATAGAACACGACGAAGATCTTGAGCGGCGGGATCGTCCTAGCCGTAATCACTGGGGTTGTTGTTCCCGCAGTGTTCGTCGCCGTCGTTCGATCGCCGTCAACGGTGGTCCGATCATCCTCAATCGGGATCGGAGCATTAGGAGTGTCGTCGTCATCGATTCCGGGACCATCGCCGGTGGTGGCGAGAGACGACGGCTTCTTCTTCTTGCTGGGAACGCATCCGCCTCCTTTCCCCATCGAGAAAATCTCCCAATTTTCCGTCAACGATTAATCGATTGATTATAAAATAAATAAATTAAAAAAACAATCACCTGAAAGACTCGACTTATTAAATCACACCACTCTAATTATCGCAATTTAAAATGGGGTTAAGTCAGGATTTAACAGTCTACTACCGAGACTCGGATCAATCACAGTCAGGTCCACGAAAACGGCGCCGTAAATGTTACGGTAAATATTGAGTTGATATTTGGGCTTTATTTTGTTGGTTTCATACAGTTGGGCTTTGTAGCTGTTAGCCCATCTATTATACAGAAGAAGCCCGATAATATAAGTGTAATAATACTTAGGTTAATTCAAATTGGGCTTATCAATAGATAAACATCTTTATGCATGAGTGTATAGTGCGCGTATATTTTATAAACTTTTTTTTAATAAGTTTCGATTTGCTTTAGAGAGTATATTTTAATTCGGTTTCAATAAATAAACATCTTTATGCATGAGTGTATAGTGCGTGTATATTTTATGCGTAAACATAATTATATATTGATGGTTATAATATTGCAACTGTAATTGATATGATGATTGCTTTCTTAGTGGCTAATGGGATGGTGTCCTTTGACTTGTTTGAAAGCGTACTATTTAAAATCTCTCACGTAGTCAAATTAACCTAATACCACCCTACCTACGATCTAGAGAAAAGAAAATAGTTGCATGAAAATTATCAATCATAGTGTGTCACAATTACAAAAAGAAATAGAAAATCATATGTTAGGAGAAAAGTTAATAGACTCATAAAAAGTCAAATTTCAGCTATTGGTTATAAGTTATTGAGATTCCAAACTCTACTGGTAGAAGTTAAAAAGATGCCATTTGAAAATGTTGAATATCGAACATGTTAAATTTTGGGTAAATTGTAGAGTTATATAGAGCTAAATACAGATCTTACCTGATTGGTTAATGTCGGAAAGGGGGAATATAATTTTATATCAACCAATATAATAATAATGCATTAATGCTTCGATGGATTAATAGCTTTATTAATTTAATAACAATTCAACATCATGCTTCTATGTTGTGCCATGTATCACCTTGGACCACCATGAAAATCATACAAGATCGCGTTTAAAGCTGCAAAAACGAAAATAGAAAGAATATTGTAAATTGAGAACAATAAAGTAGGAGAATTTTTCTAAAAATAATACGTTAAAAAACTTAAAACTAATAGCCCACGAATCTAGGACCAAAACCAAGAGCAATCTAGAAAAGCCTCCTCTTTTAGCTGTCATTGGGGACGCCTGTCCAGTTAGTAGCCATGCCACGTTTTGGAAAACTATTTATGGAAATTTATATTCTTATATTAAGGAACTAATGACAAGATTTGTTTAGTTGCTAACCATGTGCTTAAAGCTCTCATCGTGTTATGGGATGCAGTAGGAACCAGAGAGACAGGTTGGACCTCGAAAGCGGCAAAGGAATGAACAAAACCGTAGAGGGACTATATATTATACTGTTTTTAAGTTTATTTGTGGAAAGTATATTTAACTTTTACACCACGTGAGTGTTTTTTGGACCGTCCACGTCGTGATTTGTCATTAAATGTTTAATCGTAAAGATTGTGGTGGTGATTAGTGTCTTAATCGAGTAATTGAGAATCTTTAATTCTTATTTAAAGAACCAAATTATTTAATTAGGCTTAGCTGTTTAGAGGTTTTCATGCTTTTAATTCACTACAGAAGGATCCACAGATTTCTATTGGATTTTTAAACCAACGAATTTCAACAACCAACTACTTCAAGTATACTGATAATCAGAGAATAGAAAAATGGAAAATAACATTTGGGAACAAGAATTAGCACCATAATCATTGAATTATTGTATTACCAATAATGCCAATTTTGATAAATTGTCCTATATAACAATAATCAGCATAATGAAATATTTGTTTAAAGTAAAGTAAAAATATGTTTATTGGTTTGTTTTATAACAATAATCATTCATAACACATTCAAGTGTTCACCCAAAAACAAAACAAAAAATATTTTGAGTATGCTTTATTAGTATATACTCCTTCCGTTTTTTTAAGTTTGATGTTTTAACTTTTTTTTTTTAAAAAAAAAATTGATGTTTTAGATTTTAAATAATATATTTAGTTTTTCAAAAACTTGTTAACCAATAAAGAAGAGAGAAGTAGTACTAATATATTATTAAAAAATAAAAAATAATTAAAAGTAAAATAACAAATAATTATTAAAGTATGTTTTAATATGTGTGAAGATGTAAAACATCAAGTTTAAAAAAATGGAGGGAGTAGCTTTTAGGGCCCCTAAATTTGCATTTGTTTATTAATGAGATAGCGAAAATATTACTTACTGGCGTCGCTATCCGTTTATTGGTGAAACGTGGAATAGGTCAATTTCTTTTTTACTTTCCAAAGATTATTAGTATTTGACAGAAAGGTAACCAATAAGACGTGAGAGAGCCATGCAGCGTGCGTAATATTATCTATTTCAATTTATATAGTAGGTAGCTTCACAATTCACAAAAGAACTCTAACTCGATTGTGCAACATTAGTAGTTAGAGCTGATTTAATTTGATCCATAGTTTTTTAAAACTAAGAATTCGATTCGCTCCATACGATATGGGATCGAGTTATCTTGTTGGCTTTTGATCCAGCAACACTTTTCTACGTATTTCAAATTAGTAAAAGAAATAGTATATAAACATGTATCTGTATGTATTTGCATATGCGCCTTGTATTAAAAGAGTTTAAGGCATCGTAATTTTTTTTTAATTATTACTCATGCTCGAATTAAGGCGTAACTAACGGAAAATAATTAATGAAAAAAATATTGGTCTAGCTAGCTAGAAATAGTTTTCTCCAAAGAAGTTACTTTAAGACAAAATCTTGTTGGCATAAACACAACAATTAATTGTTGGCGGAGAAGCAAAATTAACTTATCGTATATAGTAGTATAAAATTATAAAAAGGCACCAATTAAGATACGACTTTCCGATTAAAGTAGTGTATTGGATGAGAGAGCATACGAATGTAACTTTTACTTGTCGCAATTTATCAGATAAAATTCTAAATTATTGTGCTATACTGAGACTACAGTACCTAACGTCTATGTGGTGTAGCTTTAGGAGTTAGGACCCTAAATTGCTATACATTTGAGTGTACCAATGAATGTGCACATAACATAAGATATCAAATTCTTTCCGTGGGTCTAAGATTTTGTAGCCTTATATATAGTAAGTGCGAGTCACATATCTCAAGTTTCTGGTAATACACATTATATAAGATAATGTACTTTTATAGTAGAACTAATACTTCATCCATTTCATAATAAGTGTCATCTGAAGAAAATGTATATGCATTCTATAACTGGATGTATTTGGATGTTTTGAATTTAATACATCCAGATACATTGCAGATATATTTTTTCCAAATAACACTTATTATGAAACAGAGGAAGTATAATCTAAGCTGAAGACTGGAGTAAAGGACCTATGGTCATCCGTTTCCTGCTAATAACGGTAAAAAGAACGTACTATTTTCAATGCTAACCCAGCAAATTCAAATCAATGCAGATCTCAATATATTTCTCTTAAACTCGAGGTTAATAGTAATTTACCCCAACCCTTTCTATGTTGGGAATGAAGTCAAGTGCTTGAACGTTAATGCAAAAGGGTCAACCATAGTATTTATTTTGCGATCCGTGCTCATTTAAATTTGGGCCAAATTGTCACTCCCTTAATTCGTGGTGTGAGTAGATTAGAATAAGTTACATATACCTTTTAGTAAATAGTATATAGAGATTTGGGTTGCTGATGGCTTAACGATTAAGAAAATATCCGGAAATGGTGAAGAAGCAAAACACAACGAGGGTCCAAAAGAAGTGTGGCTGCTTAAACTGCTACGTGTCCGGAATGAACTCGGTTGGGGCAAAATATTGAGACTCGCACGTTTCTTCGTTTCGTCTCATTTCTCAGTTAGGAAATCTCTAACGACATACGTGACGAGTCATGTTTAAAACAATTCAATTTACAATTCAAATCCATTTTGATTTGGTAGATATTCAATCAAAACGTGATCTTTTTTTGTGACGCAGACTATTTAGAGTACAAGCAAAAGGCCAAACGGTTCTTTGCGGATAAGTTTTTGCCTCTTTGGGATAAATGTGTATAAAACATCCCCCCTATGCTTTCTCTCCTAAATCATCTTTTCTCTTTTGTTTTTAAATAGCTGGATTAAGTACTACTAGTAGTTAGATGATGGGCGTAATTAGCCATACATTTTCCCTAATGGAATTTAAGGTCAACACTTTGTTTTTAAATATAGTTGCAGCTAGCCAAATTTCCTTGATGATAAAACTTAAAAAAAAAAACTTAGTTCGGTTTAGTTGACTTGGTTTTATATCAAATTATATAGATGAAGAAATAAATCAAAGAATCTAAAATATATTATTCATTTCGAATTTTGTTGGTATAATTTGAGTTTTTTTATTCATCTAAATGCAACTATTAACTTAAGCCCGAGGGAACAAAAACGTAAATGTAATGAGTCAAAAAAAAATGTAATGAGTCGGGTTCCGTGATTAAAAAGTTTTCGGACACGTGGACCAACAGAAGATGTGGAGAAACCTCCCCCATGTTCTCCCCTGATCATCATCACCTTTCCTTCTCTTTGGCATGTTAAACTGTTCACACGCACCTTCATGAGTTTGAGGAGCTTCACCAAATTCATTTCAAATACAAATTTTGCTAATTTACAAAAACTGATCCGCACAATACATATGTTATTCCACTAACATTCATAGGTTTTTTCGTTTTTGGGTTAAATGGTAATATATAAAAGTTTTCTTCATAAAATATAAATATCAAATGTAGACAAAGAAAGACCCTTTCAAAAAAAAAAAAAGGAAATATAGACAATCTTATCATTCCGAACAAACAACAACACCTGTTTGATAATAACAACAAAGCGACTAGTGAGGAAGAACCTTAACAAAAAATGTTTTTTTACAAAAAGCGTATGACAAGCGACAGAAAATCATGTGACAAAATATATCGTATAACTAGAGAATTTAGTACTAACGCCGTTGTAAATTCGATTGTGTGCATGCATGAATTGTAATTATTCGAGGACGTCAATTTTAATCCTTATATGTATTTAGCAAATGACTAATTATCATCACATACCAGACTTTTTTTGGGTGGTACTTTCACTATCAATATTTTGGATTTCAGTAAATACGGGCTTTCTCGAACAAACAAATTTTGTGTATTGGGGAGGTAATTGGAGGAGAGATGTAAGTGTGGGATTGGAAGAACATGTAAAGAAGTAGAGAGCATGGCAGTGTTCTTAAAGCAGACACAAACACTTACGAGAAGAAAGAGGGAGACAAAAGACTTTGGCATCCATTGTCTACTTCTCCATATGCTTCAATTAAATTAAGACTTTAATTACTTTATAAACTCTTTAAACTATTATATACGATACGTTTCGTTGTGTTGTGATTCGCCACGTTTCATTGTTGTATACCTTTCATATGACTCCCCATTATGTTCTTTTGTCCCCCCAATTTTTTCTCTCTTTAAAGTTTACACCTTTTCATTATTAAGAAAAACGTGATACATAAGACAATGGAGAGAAGAAGAGACCATCGTCTAGGACCAATATTCGAATTTATTCGAACAAAAATATTATGTTTTGAAAAGAGTGATAGATAGATGGTCCCATATATACAAAATGATAATAACAGTAACTATTTTTATTACTTGGAAAATCTGACCAGATGATAACTATTTCATACCTCTTCACTCCGAATTTTCATCTAATTAAAATCAAAAAGAGAAACCCTTAAAAACAAACACTATCCTTAAGACATACACGCACTTACAAAAAAAACAAAAAAATTTGTCCTCAATTTAGGGGGTCCATTAGTCCAATATCTTTAAGAAGAGTCCACATCTACAAGTAATTAAAATCACGAACATGGTTTTAAGATAATTAACTAAAACTAGTTATTAATGATTTACTTCGGAGTTGGAAGATGACGACAAGTCTACACTCCATCCAAGTCTCCAAACATTTTAAAGTTTCTCCATCCTTTTTCTCTTTTGACCCCCAAGAATATCCTCTGTGCCTTTCGAGTTCGACCAAGCAATTTTAGATTAATACACCAATTAATAAGTTTTGGATGAAGGAGCCATATCACCCCCATGCCCCATAGGATGAAAATTTCAATAACAAAAATAAATATGACTTTTACATTATGCCGTTGTGATTATGTTAAGTTAACTATGAAAAAACTCACAATTTTGGCTTATTTTAAATTTTTTACAGCCCTAAACTACCAGCGAATAGAAGAAGGGCGCCAATAGTCTTTACCCAAATATATTAAACAATAAGTTTTAGCCATTGATCCCTAAGGACCCTAACCACGAATTAAACGAGAAAAGACTCTAAAGTAGTAATGAACGGGCTTGATTGGGTCGTGGAGGACACGTAGACCGATGAATGTCCTCTCCATTGGATAGCACAGTCTCATATGCCAAATAGTCCATTGTTTATTGGTCTGCTTTCCAATTTTTTTTTATACTAAAGGTTTCTAGAGTATTATTTACTACAATAGATTAGTCCATATCATTTTATTTTAGTACTTAATAAAATTTTCGCTTTGGTGAGTTCACGTGACTAAATAGTAAGCTTTCGACATTCTACGCTCGTATCAATGGCGTGTAACTAAATTATGTAGTTGTATTTCGCAAGGACCGCAACATTTGAACTAAAAATTCCAATGGGTATTAACCATTTAATTTTTTTAATATGTGTCCCTCAAATGGAGATATAATAAATCTCAATTATTATTTCAATGTTTTGGTGATTTAATTTAGTATATAGTCCGGTCAGATTGGGATCCCAATATTGTGTTTTTTCTTACTAATAATAATACTACACAAAATGATGAAGGTAGTTTTGTGTCTGTTCATCACAATGCAGTGCTGCACATGGCCATGTGTAGTTACATTCGTTAATTACCTAAGGCCAATCTAATCCTTCTCTTGAAGACACTATCTTGTATCTCTTTTGCAGAGTGAAACGTACATATCTACGTACGTATACAATAAACTATTAAAAAGTATTTTTATAATTTTGTGCGAAGATAAATGTAAAATATAATAAAATTGCGGTACCTTTATATAATTCTCCTAATTAAGCCACCGGAGTCACAACGAGGCTTATTATGAGTGTAATTATGTCCAGTGGCAGTTCCGTAGTTTTAAAATTACAAGAAGCCCACATCAGGAAAATGACACATCATACCCAACACACACACACACAAAAAAAAAAACTCATTTCTTCGCACCTACACTCTTTATAAAGCATAGGTCTTCCTCTTCCCCAACACAACTTCTCACATCTCATAAAAAGTGAGACAAATTACGACAGAAAGAAAGAGAGTGAGAGATCCAAGAAAATGAACCACACGGTGGATGATCAAAACATGGCTTTTATCTCTCAGTTGTACCCTGATGTCTACACTCAGATAGTACCACACCAAGGTTTGTCCTTTATTTTGTTGGTTATTTAGTTTATCTTAAATTTTCTCTCTTTTTTTTGAAGTATATTTTATTATCTGAAATTTTCAGTCATTTTTGTTTTGAATTTCGACAAAAACTAAATTTCATGGATTTCCTTAAAGTGTAATTTGGTTTATCTTTTAATATTAGTTTTTATCCGAAAGTTTCCATGTTTTGTTTGTTTCAAAGTCTGGAAACCAAGACGTTATACAAATTCAAGTTGATTATCTATATGAGTCTTTCCCAAAAAAAGAAGTTCTCGACCAACACGCGTACACCTAAAATATTGATATTATCTAACGTGAATGTGAACACACATCAACAAACTAAAAAAGTAAAGAAAAAGTTCAAACTTTATATAACATGTTTCTGTTTTTAGAGCATTACTAATTTATTTTTTAGCATTACTAATTTGCTTTGAATTAATTATCTTGGTTCGTTGAAGAAGTGAAGCCACCGAAGCGGAGGAGGAAGAAGAGCAAAGCAGCGGTGGCTGCCGGAGATGGAAGTTTCTTCAGGAAGAGAAAGCTTACGGATGACCAAGTGAACATGCTGGAGATGAGTTTTGGTGATGAGCACAAGCTTGAGTCGGAGAGGAAAGATAAACTTGCGGCGGAGCTAGGGCTTGACCCTCGCCAAGTTGCTGTTTGGTTTCAGAACCGTCGTGCACGGTGGAAGAACAAAAGGCTCGAGGAAGAGTACAATAAACTCAAAACTTCACATGACGACGTCGTCGTTGACAAGTGCCGTCTTGAGTCTGAGGTATTTCTTCTTTTCTTGATTTATCTTTTCTTCTTGCTTTTTGTTTCTTTCTTCAAGAACATTATTCCTAACTTCACTAAACTGCATAATCTATTTTTGGGGTTTAAATTGCATAATTTAGTTATATAGTATAATACAGTATTACAACATAGTTTGTACGATCTTCTAAACAGCAATTTAAGATATACATTATTTTGGTAAAACAATCTTTAATTGGCATAAATGAACGTAAGCTCAAGGCTCGATGATTTTTTATTTTATTTTTTAAACTATATATAAGACAATGACTAGAGTTGAGAACAGAAGAAAAGCGACATCCATCCAACAGCAAATTGCCACCACATTACACAACATCAGAAGAAAAAAACTTTTAATTCAACAAAAAAAAAAACATAAATTATGAGCTCCGTACAATGGTATAATCTTTCATTTGTCTTTGTCAATGGGTTCAAAATTCCAGTGGAGACCCACTAACAGAAAATTTAATCACATGTTTGCGTCGGTGATTAGTTACTTAATTAATGATTAGTTTTACGTTTTTTTCCCTCAGGTTCTTCTGCTCAAGGAACAACTCTATGATGCAGAGAGGGAAATCCAAAGATTGGCAGAAAGAGTAGAAGGAGGCTCGAGCAACAGTCCGATTTCTTCTTCAGTTTCCGTCGAAGCCAACCAAACGCCGTTTTTTGGAGACTATAACGTCGGAGACGACTGTGACGACTATGATAACATGTTTTATCCGGTGCCGGAAAACAGTTACATCGATGGAGCGGAATGGATGAACCTATACGTATAAAATTACTAGCTTATTGTAATCATATATGTCAATTAGTGTCGTGATTTAAGTAAATTAGTAGATTATGTAATTGTTGAATTTCTAATGTACAAATACAATGACGATGGGCTCTACTCGCTAATGTAATTTGGAAAATTTTTATGTAATGCAACAGTTGCTAAGGAAATTTAATTTTGAGGCACTTTGTTGGAGTACACAGTATTAAATTCGTAGCAAAATCTGTATTAATTAAGTTATTAATAATTATGATAAGTTACTAATTTGGGTTTTCACCTTTTTCTATAGCATTTGAATTATTCATATAAACTAAGTATGTGTGTCATATACATATTTTTTTTGTTACTTTGTATGATGTTTTTGTTAGTAGTTTGCAATGTATGTATAGTTTTCGCAAAATCAAATTTTACACTGTCACATAATTAAGGAAAAAGCTTATCATATAAGTACTTGTATCCTTATGTTTAATATAGATTAATGATATATACTGTTTAATATATGAAGGTATGGAAGTTTTTGAATTTTTCGTTGTAGAGAATTTCTGATTATTGAATTGGATTATTCATTAGTCTATTGATGTGTACGATTCATCCAGAAAAGCGACTAAGACAAATCGTAGTTACGACTTTAAAATTATATCTAGCCTAGTAGCTGTCTCCAAATTTCATTAACCAACTAAAAAAGTACGGCTCAAATATGCGCTGCGCAAGATTTCAATTCTTGATTTTCTTTTTAATATATATTGTACAAGTCGAGAAGATAAAGGACTAGATGACATGCACATGAGCAAAAACAATTGTTAAAACTTTTTATCTCGATGGATAAGATAAGAGTTTGCCAAATTTAAACAAAAGAGAAATGCCGATAAAATATACCTAATTTCGGTACACAACATTATGAGTTATAAGTTTATAGTCACTTTTTTTTTTTTGATAAAGAAGTTTATAGTCACTTTTTTTGTTGTTGATAAAGAAGTCTATAGTCACTTGGCAACTAATGGCTGAGTAAAGCTTATAATATGGCTAGCTAGAGAACAGTCATATTAGTTTTATAGTTAATCTATTCACCATTATCATCAGTGGTACTAATCCTCTAGTTTGATTGACGCAGTGAAGATTTTTAAAGAATTCGTTAATCTGTCCCAATTTAAGTGGGCTACTGGTATTTTATATGAGCCCTTTTGGTTCAAGTGTTGTTGGTGACATTTATTTTTAGATGGTTTATATAAGCAAAACAAAAAGATGGACTAGTGAAATTATTTACTTGAAGAAAAAAAGAAGATATAATATTAGCATAAAGTAACTATAGTGACACTCTCTCTCTAATTGAAACTTAGATATCAACAACGTATTCGGAACATAAAAATGTTTGATACATGAATTGGGGATCTTTTGATACGTACATCTTAAAAAATATCAATATATTTGTTTAAGTCGTTTTGAACTTTTGATATAGACAAACTAAATCCTAATTCAAATTATCGACCGACAAAATTATGGTCTCATGAAGCCTAGAAACGGTGGACCCACGAAGAAGTGTTTGGCGAATAAGTGAAGGATTTGATGTAATTTGGGTAAATAGAGAGTGAAGTGCAAAGCAAACGTAGTGTAATAGCTCTTTCCTAAAACGATTCGTTTAAAGCATTAGTAACCAGTTTTTTCAACACATTCACTGTATCTAGTGTGTTGTATTATATAATGTCTGAGTCGTCATATGATAAGATTAAAAAAGTTTATCACCTTTTTTCTGATATGGTGACCAATCACATCACCCACCTAACGGCTAATGCTACACGAAAGATGGTATTTTTATTTAGGATAAACGATCAGTTTAAACTTTAGTTCAAAAAAGAAAGAAAGATAAACGATCAGTTTTGGAGTACACTGAATTCTGATAACTATTATACCTTTGTAAATCTATTTTAACCAAATATAAAGAATTTTGGCGTTTGAATCCATTGTTAAAACTCTTAAGTTCGCCATCGGATGAAATTGTTCTCTTTATCTTAACCATCATTTTTTTGTCGGTTGTCACACACACAATTCCAAATTTGTAGAATCGATTTATCAAAAAGATAAGTGTTATAATAGGTTTCTAACTGGAAACTAATAAGTAATAACTATAAGAAAATTATTTTTAGTATTATAGTATTATAGTATCGCACACAATTGCTAAAAATATCAAAAATGATTCATCTTTGACAGCACCTAATAACAAAAATTAATAGTAAAGGTTTGCAATATTAAGACCAGGCCTGATGGGCCAGTAAATGTCATCTAAATGTTTACGGAAAGTAGCCCATTTTCAACATTAGTTTAAAATTACGGATCAAATAATGAGATTTTTTTTAATACAAACAAATATATATGTTCTAACCCTAAAAAAATTCGAATTAAAAACACTATGGATAAAGAAGAGATCACACTTGTTAATTTGTTTTTAACAAATTTGAAGATAAGTTTCTGTTCACACTTGAGAGGCTCCTGCTTACATATTTACATGAAGGGAGAAGTATTTGATAACAATAAAAACCGGACACTGCTTCTTATATAGTGTATATCTTCACAACTACAAAAAAAATTATTTAGTATATCATTTTATTGCTAAATAGTGAATGATATTTTTTTTTTTTGAACAACCATAGTGAATGATATTAATTGGGATTTTCCTTTATGAAATAAATGAGTAGATGAGTCATACCAACTGTAGCTACCGTGTCAAAACCTTATCCAGTAACACGTGTACAGCTGGACCTCTCCTTGTCGCACGTGTCAAATCAACAAACCCTAAATCCCCACAAATTAAAAAAAAAAAAAAAAACTTTCCTCTTTCTACGCATTCTTCTCCTCCTATCGGACCTCGCCACACCAGATCGGAGAATCTCAACCCTCTTTGTTTTCTGTTCCTTTCTCTATCTTCAGTTTCCCGACAGCTTCAATAATGAACAACTAAGAGAACCCTAGAGAAACAATCCGAATTATCTTCTTCTTCGGATCTGCGACCGGAGTTTTTTTTCTTCTTCTCTAAGGTCTGTCTGATCTGTCGGAGAGGAGAGAGGACGTGTCGGCATCTTTGTCTCACTCTCTCTATAAATTAGGTAAAATCCTAGCTGGACTTCCACATCACTCTGTTTTTTTACCTCTCGTTTTTAGTCTAAATTCTGTATGCAAACACTCTTGCATGTACAGATGTGGTCTCTTATGATGATTTGTGTGTTGAATTTGGATTTGAATTCGTCGAACAATTCTTCAAATAGAGAGGAATTCATGTAAAATTAGGTGCTGGGAGGTTGTACTTACTCTTGTTCTGTTTTAAAGTAATCACCTTTCTCTGTTTTGCATAGTCTCTTCTTGGGTTTAATGTATTAGTTTCGATGTGGAGTACCTAGCATAAGCTTCATCCTTTTGAGTTTCTGATTCAATCTTCATGCGTTGACTATATTCTCTGTTGAGGTCACTTCCTAAATCTTTTGTCTTCTTTATAGACTGCGTGACAGCTCACAAAACAATGGGAACGAGCGAAGAAAAGACCCCATTTAAGCCTTCCAAGCCAGCATCTTCGGCGCAGGTTGGTCCTTCTCTTCTTCTTCCTCTCCCTCTCTGCCTCTTTCGTTTTGTATTGGAAATTCTATGTGCCTCAGCAATTTCAGTTGGATTACATTTTTCGTTAATCTGCATGTGTTTGATGTATATATCTCTTTGCTTGTAGGACATTCCACCCACGCCGTATCCAGACTGGTCAAATTCAATGCAGGTTCGTGTGATATGCACACTTTTTGGGTAACTATTTGTGTAGCGTCTTCCTTTCTTGAGAAGCAGGATAGAATAATAATAGTATGATCATTTATCTTAGGCTTATTATGGCGGAGGAGGGACTCCAAATCCTTTTTTCCCATCCCCTGTTGGATCTCCTAGTCCTCACCCGTATATGTGGGGTGCTCAAGTAAGCTTTACATTGTTGATGTGATGATGTTATGTAAAAAAAGGTCTGCATCTTTGTCTTTGGATTGGCATTAAACTTGAGTTTCGTCGTTATCTGTTGTTCAATACTTTCAGCACCATATGATGCCGCCTTATGGGACTCCAGTTCCGTACCAAGCAATGTATCCTCCAGGGGCAGTTTATGCCCATCCTAGCATGCCCATCGTAATCTCCATACCATTTACACCCATTCAAGTTATCGTTTGATGCTTTTTTACTCTGTTACGGACAAATGGTAAAAGTAAAAAAAAACTTGCTCGACATCTTCTCTGTTGTAGCCTCCTGCTTCTGGTCCAGCCAACAAGGAGACTGTAAAGGACCAAGCTTCTGGCAAGAAGTCAAAGGGTAACTCGAAAAGAAAAGGTGAAGGAGGTGAGAAAGCGCCTTCTGGTTCAGGGAACGATGGCGGGTCTCAAAGGTGCGACCTTTTCAGTGTGTTTACTTCTTCAGTTTGATAGTTTGCAGTTGATGAGGAAGCTTTGATGTAAAATTATGATTTCTCCGTTTGTGCAGTGATGAAAGTGTGACAGCTGGTTCATCTGATGAAAATGCCAACAACCAGGTACCTATACGAGTTTGAGGTGTTGCTTCAATGCGTTGTGAGATGTTTAATTGAGTTTCATGTTAATGTAGGAGCAAGGCTCAGTGAGAAAGCCGAGCTTTGGACAGATGCTGGCGGATGGTAAGCTTTTCACCACCTCAAGCTTATGATTTTCCTTTCTCCTTGTTTTCTTGACTTGGTATAGTTTCCTTAAACAGCAAGTTCTCAGAGTAATACTACCGGTGAGATCCAAGGCTCAGTGCCCATGAAGCCAGTGGCCCCAGGGACTAACCTGAATATCGGGATGGACTTATGGGCTTCCCAGGCTGGTGTACCTGTGAAGGTAAGAAAGACCAAATCATCATTCATCTTATCTTCACGTAGAAAGTAGCATTTCTGATTCTGTGTTTACCTCAACAGGATGAACGAGAGCTCAAGAGGCAGAAAAGGAAACAATCTAACCGTGAATCCGCGAGACGGTCCAGATTGCGGAAGCAGGTAACGTACTAGTACCATCTCTGTGTTAGTAATATCACTTTTTGCTCTGTTTCTCATGAAAGTTACTCATTCCTTATTATACACACACTTTGACTAGGCGGAATGCGAACAGCTTCAACAGAGAGTAGAGAGTTTGACGACTGAGAATCAAGGCCTGAGAGATGAGCTCCAGAGACTCTCCGGGGAATGTGAGAAGCTCAAGACTGAGAACAACTCTATTCAGGTAACAGACTCAATTCCAAAATCTTTTTCTATTTGTTTCCCTCGGCTTGCATTTACACGTACTCGTTGAATAAATTATACAGGATGAGTTGCTCAGAGTTCATGGACCAGAGGCTGTAGCTAATCTAGAACAGAGTGCTGCTGGGTCGAAAGATGGTGAAGGAACAGATTAACACTTAGGAAACATGGCAGCAACACTTTACTTTTATAACGAATTATTGGGATTTTTCAAAACCGGTTAAAAACTTATTTGTAAACCAGTCTAAAGTTATTTGAGATTACACGACTATACAATCGTTTGACATTTTTGTGTAATAGAGAGATTCGACATAAAAGTCTGTAAAAGCTGCAAAGCTACGACTACACTTGCTTTTATTACTAGTCTTCGTGATCGGATTCAGATTCTGAGTCTCGGTTTGTTGCCGGTTCGGGGCTAATGCTTGTGATTTCTCCTTGTCGTTGTCTTGGTGTTGCAACTTCATTGCCTGAACAAGCAGGATAAAATCCATATTCAATAACAAACCTGTATCATCAACTAGGGATAGAAAATTATTTTGAGTTTGGAAATAAACCTGATCCCAAGATTTTGACTATCATTGATCGCACAAACCGTATTTCTCCTTGGTGTGACCTAACGACTTTGACCTGCAAATGTTGAGTGTTTATGAAGCATTTTGTAAAGTAAGTCAAGAATGTGGAATCGTCCGAGTTCTGAAGCACACGACACTCTTACCATTTCCTCATATGCTCCATCCACAAGGCGATCCACTTTAGTTTGGTGTCGTATGAGAAAAGGACGAAGGTGGTGGTTATATATTTGTTTAGCTCCCTGTTCACCGGAAAAGTAGGCAAAACTGAGAATAGCAGAACGGATCAATAACGAGTGGATGGTAACAAAGATTCGGGAAAGGTACCTCGATGGTGGGAAGTTGAAGCCAGACAAGAAACGCAAACTTCGCATGATAATACAGCGGGAACCTGGAAATATACAGAGTACACTGCGTATCAAATACTCTGGATTGATATAATCGATAATGATGTATACTGTATCCTAATACATTTATCTGTTTCTTGATAAAGTTCGTTAGAGTAAACAAGAAACCGTAAATCAAACTAATAACATCACAAAGGAATCAATAAACCATCACTTTAACTGTTATATGGTTTTGAGATGTCAACCGTACCAAGAAATGAGCTTGTCCGTGAACACTTCAACAAGGCTGAAAGAACCATAAGCTGCAAAGATGGTGGAAAATATCAAATGCCACGTGAAAGAAGGGCAAGGGAGATTTGCCAAAAAACGGCATACGAGCCACTTGAAGAAGAGAGTGACAATATTCAACCTGCCCAGTAAATAAGCCATTTTCGTTGCTCATTCTCATCTCTGCTCTCTATTGCCTTGAAAGTGGAGTACACAGGCAACCCGATGCCAATGGAACAGCTGAGGAAACAAGATTCAGGTAATACAGCAAAAGTTTCCTTTAAAGAACCCAAAAACAAAACTTTTCTATTGATACAAGAGAAGGAATACAAGCATCAATCACATACCGATCAAATCACCAAAATTATCCATCTCACTGATTTAGCATTTTTGCTATGACCATACAATTGGAATTTGGTGAGACGAAAGAAAAAAACTCACCATGCTGTGCGAAGTACGATATTGGAACCAAGTGGAGAAAGCAATACACGTAACCCAACCTGCGATAACACAATTATATCCCTCAATCCAAATCATGTATACATCAAATTTGAAAACATCCGCTTCTCCAATCGGATACAGAAAGTAATCCAAAATACCAATCATCCACAGAAGCTGATTTCACAAACCCAGAAGACAAGCTTTGTTATCAATGAAAAGAATAAACCAGAAGACGAAACGTTCACAAAGACGTAGACTTGTAAGCAAGGGTTGCGGGAATTTTGAATACGAACAAGGCAATACGAATGAATAAGATCACATCATCCACCCGACAAACACAACATATCCAATCAAGGAATCTAAAAAGCTGAGAGGAGAGATTACCTCGCTGGTGAAGCCGGATCCGAGAAGCGCCATAGATGGAATCTGTGAAACAAAGCCGCTCATCGGAGATTCGTAACTCGGTTTATCAGATCGACGAGCTAGTTTTGAATTGGGATTATTGAATGATGGAAGACTCTCACCGGAACAGAGACTCTCCTAATAAGAAAGTTTTTTTATTTTATTTTTTCCTTATTTAAACTAGGAAAAGAGCAGAGTTAATTTGCGGTATATTAAAAATTAAATTAAAATTTATTTAAAATAATTATAAGTAAAAACATAAAATAAAAATTAATAATAAAAATATAAACATCCAAAATAATTTATAATGATTAATATAAAAAAATTATATATATTTTAATTATTAACAATAAGTTTTAAAAGGAAATGTACAAACTAATTAAGATAAAAAATGATTACTACTAATTATTAATAGAAAAAATAAGAAATAATAAGATATACAAATTTTTAAATATGAAAATATACAATCTAAAAATATAATATATGTATGCAATTTTTAAACTATTTTATAATTATTAAAAAATTCATATTCACAAAAAAGTGTAAAGCAAAAAGTAAATATATAAGCAATCTTTCAATAATAAATCTACTATAGTAAAAAAGTAAAAGTTAAACCCAATTGATTTTTTTTCTGTGGTTTTAAGCAGTATAAATAGCTTTGAAAAGACACAAATAACAGTTGTGATAGAAAAACGCAACCATTTATAGTGCAAAGACGCAACCATAAATTTTGAAACGACACAACTTTTAAAGTGCAAGTAACATTTATTTGGATTATTATTATAGGTGGAGTGGTTTTTTATGTGATTTGAATTATATAAATAATTCGAATAGACCCAAATTATCTGTGATGAAAAAAATGCAACCATTAATAATGTAAAATACAATCATTTATAAAGAAAAATACAAATATTTATATTGAAAGTATGCACCCACAAATTTTGAAACCATACAACTTATCAAAATGCAAATAGTCTTTCCAAACACAACCCTTGAATTATTAGATTTGATGTTATAAAAAAGAATGTTGACCTTAATTAAAAACTTTCATTATTTCAAAGTTTATTGTAATAATATATTCACTATAGTAAAAAAAAATAAAAGTTAGACCTAAATAATTTTTTTATGTGATTTTGAACGATATAAATAGTTTTGATAAGACACAAATAACAGTTGTGATGAAAAAATGCAATTATTTATAATGAAAAGAAACAACCATTTATAATGAAAAGAAACAACATTTATAATGAAAAGACGCAACCACAAATTTTGAAACGATACAACATTGTAAAGGGTAACTGGCATTTATTCATATATTTATGTTTTGCAAGTGACATTTATTCGGATAGTTACCAGTCTTGTCACCGGTCACCATCATAGTAAGAAAGTAAAAATCAGACTCAAATAATTATTATAGATAGATAAAACATACATTAAAAAAAAATTAAAAAAATATTTGGCTTAGTAGAAAGAAAACACAACCCTTGAATTATTAGATTTTATATCATATAAAAGAATGTTGACATAAAAACCTTTCATTATTTCACAACTTATTATAATAATAAACTCATTATAGTAAAAAAATAAAAGTTAAACCTAATAAACTTATTATAGTAAGAAAATAAAAGTTACACCCAAATAAACTTTTTCTGTGGTTTTGACCGATATAAATAGTTTTGAAAAGATACAAATTATAGTTAACAAAAAGATACAACCATTGGTAATGAAAAGACACAACCACAAATTTTAAAAAGACAGAACTTTTCGAAGTGCAATTGGCATTTATTCAGATTGTTATTATATATAGATTAGGAAACAAGAAACACCCAAATGATTAACCGATTAAGTGAGGGTTATAAACTTATAATAGGTTTGTTTATTTTAATGATTTGATTAATTATAATTTGGTGAAAGTTTTTTAATGGAGTTGATCTCTGGTCAATAATACTTCAGAAACTATAATTTGCTAATAATACTTTGTTCTAACTTCTAATTTCGAGATAATATTTTAAATGTATTAATCGTACTATTATTTGAGGAGATTCCGATTTGTTTCATAAATCCGACTGTTTCTTAATTTTATTGAACCATTTGAGTGACTTGGTTCGAATTCTATGTGATTTTAAAAAAGTTTATGAATATAAAATTGTATTTGATTTTTAATGTAGTATATTTCCAGTAGCTCGTAATTCAATCTAAGTAGATTGGATAACTTCTTCCCTGCGATTTGGGTTTTGCAGTTTCTAAACACATGTAGTTGTCTAATAAATTTGTACCACTTTTGTTCAAAAAAAAAATTTGTACCATGATATACAATATTGGAAATTCGACTCACCAACTCATTATTTCACTGCTCACCTAAATCAAGAGAGTATAACATCAACTCATTATACTAATTTCGGGAAAAGTCAGCCACTGTTTCACGAGATTGACTCTAATCAATCAACCGAAACATCAAATAAGGGCTGAATCAAACTATTCTGCATATTATGTAAGAATTATTATTTAAGGGCTGAATCAAACCATTCTGCATATTATGTAAGAATTTATATATTCATGATTTTTGTAGAGCATGGAAATATACTAGAGCTTCTTTCAACAATTCATCGTTTAAAAGTATAGAAGTTTTTTTTCACTAGTATCTTTGTAACTTCACATTCTTATTTATAGTTGTTTAATTTCAGAAGACCTATAAATAAATAGAATAAAAAAATCTATTTACATACTGCAAATTTCTGAAATTCTTTATTTTATTTTTAAAAAAATAATTATTACTTATATTAATATTAATAGATAGGAATTACTAGTTGAACTAAATAAAAAAAACCAGTTACCAGTTCAACCAGTAATTTTTATTAAACAAACAATCTTAAATTTGTTTTAGCTCCTACTAAGAGGAAGCACAATGAACACCAAAAAAGATTAAAACGTGTTCCATTAACCTTTTTTTGAAGGGAAATTTATACAATTCGATTACACTATCATCATCGTGTTAAACCAAACCAGTCTAAATCTACACTCCAGAGTTCAGATTCGGTTATCTAAAACCGCCAAGCTGACGTGGCAACAAGTGCTCTTCCGTGCCAGCACAGCACTAATTCTCCCTGTCGTTTTGCCACGTGGAATCCTCTAACCTGTGCCTTTTCCAGTAAACACTCAGCTTGAAAGTCGGCGAACTGGCTTAGCTGGATCGGCCTCATCCCGGCGGCGCAAAACGCTTCCCGCCAAGTCATCTCGCTGACGTTTCTCCTATCTGCCGCCGATTCCACCGCCGCGACGACTTTTGGTCGTAGAACGAACGTCTCCACAATCTTTTTCACCAGATCTCCAGGAGGAGCGGCGGCGTCGAGCGACTCCAACACCATCGTGTAGAACTCAAGAGCGCTAATAAACTCCCGCCGGAACGATCCAGATCCGGCGATCTCCGTCCATCCTTCGCTATCGACGAATACGACAACCTTGGGTGATACTCTCCGTAAATTGTTCACAAAATCGGCGATTCCACTCAGGCGACGGAATATCACCGGGGATATCAGGATGACAGTTCTCTCTCCATCAACGAACCTAATCGCCTTGAAAGACAACATCTCGAAAGTCTTCATCAGGACGAAGTCAATCTGGAAACGAATTTTCATCTCCGCCGCGAATTGAGTTAGGTTTTCTTTCACTAGCCTCGTCTCGACGGCGCACTCCTCCGCTACAACCGCCGTAACTCTCAGAAACCCGCCGCCGGCAGATTTCTCTGCGATTTCCCTCATGAGCGATGCGTATTGACCACCGAATCCAATCTCGAAATCCACCACGTGGACGAACGGAGAGGACGACTGCGAGCTCAGGGAATCGAGGATGGCCTGGTTCGCCGTGAAATGAGAAAAGAGAGGGATCGGAGAAATCCCGGAGTACTCCTTAATCGCTCGGATCTTCTGAACAATCTCGGACCATGAAGATAACCGGGACGGATTCCGGTTTGATCCGGTTAAAAGCGAACCGAGGGCTTCCTTGAAGTAAAACGCTGCTCGCTGTAACGGTCTACCCGCCGGAGATCTCAGGCGTTGATTGAGCCGTGACAAAATCACGTGACCGAGTTGTAACTCGTCCGACTCGACACAATCCACGACTCGGATGAGATCCTCAATGAAATCGAATCCTCCATTGTCGACGCCATCGAGAGAACTGAACCCGTACCCGGGAGTCTGGTTTTGACCCGGGTAAACATCGGATGGCTCGAAATCCGACGGTTGAATCTGATCGGGGAAGCCAGGGAGATTGGAATCGACGGCGTAGAGTGGCCCGATTGCGGAATCGGAGGTCGTAAAACCGGTTTTCAAGGGAGTAGGAGCAGAATCATCATCGAGCTCCAATTCCTTCATGATGGAGTCCCAATCCATTGAACGCATCACATGTTCGTCCATGGATAACTGATTACTATCAGTGCTGTTATTGTTGGTCGTGTTCGTTGGTTGGTTTTCCTGAGGAGACATTTTCATGTTAATAATTAAGAAATTTGAAGCAACAAAAGAACCTTTTTTTCTTTTCTCTCTCTCTCTGTGGAAGTTTGGAAGAAAAGGAAGAAGAAGGTGGCGGGGCTTTTGAAAGCTATGATTGCTAAGCTTTTTATCCTTGAGGAAGTGCGTGCGAAAAAGGTTTTTTTCTTTTTTTTTTTAACTTGGTAACCGTGTCTAATCCGGGTTTTTCTGGTTTCGACTTTCGAGAATAAAAAGAAAATCCAATTGAAATTGATTTGTGTTTTGATTCCGTAAACAAAAAGGCAACCGGTTCACTTGGTTTAACCAAATTTGACACTAAACACTGTTTTGCATGCACTTGGTGACTGCGGAAAGTTAGAATACATGTATAATAATTGATATGAGTAGTTCATATATGTATACATGAATAATAATTGAAAAGTGAGAGAGATTTCAGATGATTTTTCTCTACCTTCTGTAATATTATTGTTTCTCCAAAGCTAAGTTAACACAACTAGCAAACTCTCCAGCTCTCTAAAGGGCTAAAATTCAAATAAAGTTCCTCTGCTTTTTTAAAAAGAAGAAATCATTCGATTGAAAGAGATAGATAAGCTCCACTATCATGATCATCAAGAAGGTAATTAAAGTTGAAAAAGGAGAAACAAAAAAAAAAAGAAGTTAAAAAAGGTTAATGATTTCTTTTCTTTTGTCTGGGTGGGATTTTTCGAGTATTTTTCATTTTAAAATATTAGACAGTAGTATATTGATGTAGTTTTTTATAGTCATGAAATTTTGAAGAAAAATGAACTACTGTAGTTATATGCTACGAGCCTACGACTGTAGCGTATTTTGATACTTTGTTATATGTATATGAGCCAAATATTGTGTAGTTTCTTATACCGTATAACAAATATTCAATACATAAATTCAGAGAACATATAATTGGAGTTATAACCAACAAACTTTTTCTTGTTTGTGTATACAAAATGTCAAATCGATCTGTGAACGGACAATAATTCCCGGTGCTTGCGACCAAAAAGGAAAAAAGAGTGACCACTGGGCTTTATGTGGATCCCACATTTGGACACGGTAAAAAAAGAAGGGGGAAAGTGACCGGGCCCACAGTGGGCTTACTTTTGAGGTAACTTTGTCGGGAAAGATCGCCATGGAAGCCCATGGGCCATTGAATATATTTTGATTTTTACCGTACAGAGATTGACTGATCATTAAGTCAGCGCGTAAGAATCACGCCCACTTACCTATCCCCCCACTTCTCTCTAGACAGAAAGAGAGGAAGAAGAATATGTTCTCCTCATCACTTATTTGCTTTCATTTTCATGGCAAATGATCTTTTCCTTCTTTTTTTTCCTCTCTCTGGTGTACCAAGAAAACTACAAAACCAATTCCGCATTATTTTGAATATACCCTTTTGTTTCATTTAATTAGAATTCCTTTATGATACTATAAATCATTAACCGAACGTAATGCAAAATTCAAATCTGACTAAAACAATAGTAAAATTAAATATATTCTCCTATTTTTATATTGTAACCGTTTAGTTTAATCATATGATTCATACAACGCGATTATTGCGCCTATATATGTGTTGTGGCTCGATATATTGTGCTATGATATCAACATTTGTGTTGTGTGAGCTGGTAATATGAATATCATGTATGATACAATCATACAAAAACACCGTCTAGTTTAGTATTTTATAAATATCGTGGAGCAAAGCATCCTCTCATTATTAAGAGTTAAGACGTTATTCAACCTTTAACTTCGTGGAGAAAAGCTTCCTCTCATTATTCAACTTTTCTCTAACATAAATTCAACTTTTTTTTTCTTTTCAAGCTGCCTTTTTAGTCTTTAAACTTTAATTAACTGTTATAAAATCTAGATTTTGTGCGTTATAGCGGCTCAATATAGTTGTTTATTTAATTGGCAGCTCTTTTTAGTTGTTTATTATTCAATTACTGACTAAGTCCCACATTTTATAGTTGTTTAGCGTGTGAACGCCTTCATGCAATATGGGGTCCACTTGTATCCTAATCTCATGCTTATTGGTTAATTACCTTACACATGAAATGAAAGACCATAAGATTATATAGTTCTAACTGCGCAACAAAAAATCATTGATTTAGCGAACATAAACCATTCGCCGAATGCAATTGTAATGTTGTGTAAAACTCTTTGCAATCATGCTGACTTCTCTCTCTGCTACATGTAGATTAGAATCTGAATTACCTCGATAGAAAATTAATCTTGTAAAAACAAAAAGAACGTAGAAACAATTTTTATTTTTGTTATCATGAGACAAATTAAACACACATATAGATTAATTACGTTCATTATCATTGGACAATCACTTTTTGTTTTTTGTCAATATTTTCATAGAGCTACTTTACTTTGGCTATGATGGACTATATATATTATATCGGTAACAAACGTCTGAAATGCAATTAAAAATTTCTGATTGATTAATATCTGCATATAATACTGCCTCCAAATAGAACAAAATCTTATCTTACCAACATGATTAGGATTTGGCAAAAAAAAAGAAAAAAATTTGAATATTTTCATGATGAATAATATGTTTGTAATTAAACCAAGTTCTGTTTATTACACACGTGATCGTATGTTGAAAGAAACGAATGAACAATCATATTTTATATTCCCACTCTGACAAATATTCTTTTACTGATCGACCAATGGATTCTCTCGTTACCAAAATTGCGCCACTGCCAAAAGTTTCTTTCTTATTCCTTTTTCTGTATTAGTAATTTTAAAATATGTACTAGGCAAACAATGTAATCTATATTAATTATAATGTCTCATAATTAACATGTTTCGAAATCTTAAGTTGTTTGTGCAACTATGTGGTAGTAAAATTATTATTTTTTCGTGATTTAGTATGTCAATTTAAGTTTTCTAGTCAATTATATAAATCGAAACAACTACCCACGGAAAAAGAAATTATTTATATAAAGAAAACTAAAAGCCATATACTTAGGAAGTAAGGAAAGGAAGGAGAGGCCGATGATCCACGACACTCACAGACGCTTCTTCCCTCTATTAAAAAGAGAGAGGCTTCATACTCACAAAAGCAATAACTTGTGTTTTTTAGTAGATTCTTATTTCATGTCATTCACAATAATGTTGAAAATACTTAAATAATGAAAATAACACATCGTCTTCCAATAAAATATCATTCCCATGTATGAAAACAAAAAAAAAAGGTTCGTACGTAGTAACGGAGAAAATGTTTGATTTCGAGTTTATAACTATGTATTCAAAAGTCATACTATCATTTGTCAGTGACAATCACCTAACAACTGATATAACTATGCATCAAAAGTAATCTTACGTAAAATTTTGAGTTTCAAGTCTTTGACCAAATCTTTTTTTTATTTACACCACTGAGATTAAATTCCAAATTCCCATTAATCAGTTACATACTTACATGGTCTGTGTATTGTAGTAGACCAAAGTATGTGTATTTTACTAGTGTAGATCCGTTTCCATCTAAGTCGATTGGTAAGCCTCTTAATTAGTTTGTTAACAATTTAGAGTAGATTTTTCTTTTTCTTTCTTTCAAATGTAAAACAGATTCGACTTATTTCTCAGAAAAAAGCATTGCATTTTCTGCTAAAATAATCGTTGTAATTATTTCTCTGATGGGGATCACAAGTTGGATCATGTAAAAATTGAAATAAGAATTCAGTTAAAATTTTAATTTTTTTTGAAAATAATATATGTATATATCAATAATATATGTACCGACAAAAAATGTTCAAAGGAGAAAAGAAATGGAGGATCAACTATTTTGCAACACATTGAGTAGTCACAACATGCTTTGGAGACTCTTCCCTTCGAGAATATTTTACTTTACACGTTTTTTTATTATTGATTTAGACCCTTTTGTTATTATTATTATTTATTGTAAAACGATATTGCTGGTTTTTAATAGTATTTTACTTCACTAATCCATATCTTGATTAGTCTTTGTCTAAGAAAAATCAAAATTCACTTTGATTCTAGATATGTTTACGGACTTCACTAATCCATCTTAGTTATAAATAGAAACAATTTATAATATTTGCACGTACGTTAGTGTCAGATGTGACAGTGATTGTAGAAACGAGAGCGTATACTCTCCCAATACGTAGTAGAGCCAAACATGTGAACTGTTTATGACCAAATAAGGTATGATATAACTTTGAGGCTTGAGGTATAAAAGCTTTTTACGAGCCAGCAATCAACCTAACACACTCGAGAAGACGAGTCACGTACGTTCTCAACTTCACTTCCATCGAATATATTTGTTCTCATTCATAAAGTCAAACACAATTCCTAATTCAATTCGCATCATAGTTACTGTCTTTAATTCCCATACGTTATAAACTTTGTTTGATTCTTTTTTTGTGTGTGGGTATTTTCCCATTTTTGGCAGCTTACCTGTGTAAACTTTGTTGAACCGAACACTCTTATAATTCTGTCTTTTAGATGCTTCTCTCTTTAAATCATTTTTTTGTTCGTACAAGATCATGATTGATTCTAAAGAAAGCAAGTAACTAATGGATCAATAAGAAAAAAAAAAGACCAATATTAATTATAATCTCTCATAATATATGTATTGGTACATGATTATTAGTAGCATGTGTCTTGGAATTTAATAATAAACTTCTTCACCTTTCTTCATTGTTACTGAGCAAAATGATCAATCTCAAATAACCCAATAACTAAATGAAACATACTTGTAAAATAGTTTTGTTTAAAAGAATATGGCCACATTTTTAAAAAAATGTTTTGTATAGTGACGTTTTATTATTTTATAAAGTGGAAAATTTTCGATGGGTCCAATTATTGATATTTTTGGGCCAATGTAATGTATACTCTTCGGCGAGAGGTACTCAAATATCAAATCCATGTAAGTTACTCAATCGCACTTGCATGCACACGAGGATTGGGATCGTCATTCCAATCATATTTTCCGGTGATTGGACGATGTTGAAGTTCAAATTGTGTTTGACGACATCACGATAACAAATAACCGTGAACGAACAACTATAAAGTTGGTCTCGATAGGTGTCCGATCAATTGGAAAAACGATAAAGACTACTAGACGGGCGAAACCCACAAAAGCGTAAATCGATAAATTCTTACATGACACAATAGTAGGCATATGACACAATAGTAAGCATGCATTGTAACACGACTTCAGTGAAAAATACAATTTCAACCCGTGACATATAATTGGTCTTGCGATACAAACTATGTATTATCTCTCTTTGTTGTTCAGACATTTAATACATTATCATCAACGGTTCTTATCATCCCGTTTTTTCGAGTTTGTATTTTAGCGGGTAATTTGAATTGTTATGAAAGAACAAGTCACTTGTCAACCTAAGGCAAGCACGTGTTTAAACAATCAAGACACGTGGTGATTGTAGAAGACTTCGCAGTCTCTTTCTTTCTCTATTCCCCGTTCCTTTATATTATAACGATTTAATGCGCTTTCCATTGAATAACCGAAAAAAAGATAAAATAAAAAGAGAGATGACAAAGTTTACGACGGTAGTGCCACTCTCTGTTCTTCTCTTTCTCTTAATCCTCTGCAATGAGTCGTGGGCTAAGTCAAAGCCTGAGAAGCCGGAAGAAAACGACGTCGCTGCTGTACCGTCATGTTGTGGGTTTTCGTCGCCTCTTCTGATAAAGAAAGATCAATGGAAACCAATCTTCGCGACCAAGTTTGGACAGATCTCAACCGTTCAAATCGGAGATGGATGCGGAGGAATGGGGCCTTACAAAATACATTCGATAACTCTGGAGCCAAACGCTCTTTTGCTCCCTATTCTTCTTCATTCCGACATGGTCTTCTTTGTCGACTCTGGTACATAAACTCTCCTTTGATTCTGCTCTAAAGATTATCCACAGTTAGTAGTGTAAATACTCAGTTTAGGGTTGACACGGTTTCAGTTTCGGTTTGTTTTCCCTATTTTGGTTAAGCAATTCGGTTTTGGGCAATGTTTCACTTGTATTCAGAGAAAGTCCAATTTTGTTTGGTTTACGGAATCGTTTTTGCGGTTTGGCTCGGTTATAGGAAGTGGGATACTAAATTGGGTCGAGGCGGAAGCGACGAGTTCCGAGATAAGACGAGGGGACGTCTACAGGCTACGTCCCGGTACGGTTTTCTACTTACAGAGCAAACCGGTGGATATCTTTCTTGGAACCAAACTTAGGATTTACGCACTCTTCTCCAATGCCGAGGAGTGTTTACATGTGAGTTCTTGTGTGATTCTCATTTTTTGTTTCATTTTCTTGACATCATCGTTCTTCTTAATTATGGTTTTTGTCTTCCGTGGATGCAGGATCCTTGCTTTGGTGCGTATTCCAGTATCACAGATCTCCTGTTTGGTTTCGATGAGACAATTCTCCAGTCAGCTTTTGGGGTATGTAAATGTTTATATACGTGTTACGGATGATGTTGATGTGACTTGAGGTGCAAGATCCGAATATATGTATATCTTGCTTCTCAAGTTACTCTTGTAGACGCTCTTTTCGGTTGTGATAGTTGAATGAACTGATTTGTATTGATTAGGTTCCTGAGGAGATTATTGGGCTGATGAGGAACCGTACACAGCCGCCATTGATCGTGCATGATATGCTGAGCACACCTGGTGAGGCCAACACCAACACGTGGCAGCTCCAACCGCGATTACTCAAACTCTTTGCCGGATCCGGAGATGTGAGTGAAGACTCGGTGATGGGACCAGCAGAGAACAAGAAGAAGGAGAAGAAGAAGAAGCCAAAGAAGGCAAAGACATTCAATGTTTTCGAATCCGAACCGGATTTTATGAGCCCCAACGGTCGTACTATAACGATTAACAGGAGGGATCTAAAAGTGTTACAAGGCTCAATGGTTGGAGTTTCCATGGTGAATCTCACTCAAGGATCGATGATGGGACCCCATTGGAACCCGTGGGCCTGCGAGATTTCGGTTGTGGTGAAAGGTTCAGGAATGGTTCGGGTGCTTAGGTCTTCGATTTCAAGATCATCATCGGGATGTAAAAACATGAGGTTTCCGGTAGAGGAAGGAGACATTTTCGCGGTTCCACGGTTACATCCAATGGCTCAAATGTCTTTCAGCAACGAGTCGTTGGTGTTCGTTGGGTTTACTACTTCGGCTAAGAATAACGAGCCGCAGTTCTTAGCTGGGAAGACCTCGGCTCTGCGGTTACTTGACCATGAGGTACTGGCCGCGTCATTTAACGTGAGTAATGTGATGATTGATGGATTGTTGGGAGCTCAGAAGGAAGCGGTTGTGTTGGGATGTCCTTCTTGTGCGGAAGGAGAGTTGGAGAAGCTTAAGGTGGAGACGGAGACGAAGAAGAGAGATGATGAAAGGAAGAAAGAAGAAGAAGAGGCGAAGAAGGAGGAGGAAGAGAGGAGGAAGCGAGAAGAAGAAGAAGAGAAGAAGCCGCCTCAGCCTCAGCCTCAACCTCAGCCTCAGCCTGAGCCTCAACAACCACCGTTCCAACCGCAACCACCACAAAAACCACAACCATCGATGAGAGATGATGAGAGGAAGAGAGAACAAGAAGAGGCTAAGAAGGAAGAGGAAGAGAGGTGGAAACAAGAAGAAGAAGAAGAGAAGAAGTGGTCGCCTACTCAGCTTCAGTGGCAAGCCTAAGAAGGAGGAGAGAACGTCGAAAGAAAGCTTTAAGTAAAGAGTGTTTGCGTTGTTGTTGATGGTCGAACGGTTGGTATGGTGTCTCTTGTTTTGCTTTCTTGTTTTTAATTGCTAATGTTTGTTGTGTTGCTTTCTTCTTTTGTTTCTTTGTTCATGTTTGTATTGTATTATTATGTTTTGTTTTGTTTAAATGTTTGTAGATGCGGAACGTGAAATAATTTAAAGATTTCCGAAGTTCAGAGCAAATGTTTGCTATGTTTGTTTTGTTACCACAATATCTTTAAGGCTTGGATTAAAATAGTTTGGTGGGATGATAACTTTACCGATATGTCTTGGCTAAAAATATGATAAGTGTATTTTATACTTAAATTTATAGAAATGTGACAATCTTTGGGTACAAATTCAAACTCAAAATCAAGTTCAAACCTTGTTTTGAGAGGAATGAAGTTATCGCAATCTGGTCCCGATCGAGGTAAACCACGAATTACAAAGGTTTCATCACAAACTTCCTCGAAAATCAGAGGAAAAAAAACCTAATACATACTCAAATCAACTTGAAATGTTTTTCTGTTTTTCTTCTCTATATCAAGAACTAGACAGCTCTAAGACTTTTTCAACTCATACATACATTGGTTGGGCCAAAATAATATCGAATTAGACTAGGACCGGACTGGATCCTGATTATATATATACGAGGCGGGCCCATTTAAATAATTGTCATTGCTGACGTGTCGTAATCCTTAATAAGACGATAAATATGACATTGACAAATCTACCCTCCTGGTCGGTCTCCTCTTGTTTATTTAATAACAGAATAATCCAAATCGCCCTTAAGAGATTATTTTCTGCATCATCCCTTTTTTCGAATCTCGACGGCAGAAGCCAGAGGAAATTTATCTAAACCCTATCGCCGGTAAGAGTGAGTGAGAGCGTTGATTCTAGGCGAGCAGATGTCTGACTTCGAAGATCACGAGGGTAACGGCACGGCTGTTGACGGTTTCTACGCCGGCGATAATGGTGGCCGCGGCGGCGAAATCGAGGATCACACAGACTCGAAACCAAAGGTACTTTTTTATCTGATTATGTTACAATCTCCCAGCCTCCGATTGTTGAAGGGTTTGTCTTTATGAGTTTCAAATCTACGTTTCTTAGCATCTATGCGTAATTGGATTCGGTTAGGAATCGAAAGAGGTGAAACAATTGAGATGGTTAGGTTTAGTGCTGCTTCCATTGATCTACTAGCTGGAATCTACGATGACTGATTTCGCTTAATAGATAGTTCAGTTTGGGAAATTGGTTTATTCATCATGTTTAAAGTTTTAGCTTAGTTCAATTGATTCTTTAACTGTAATTTGACGTGTGTTTGTTTGTTTGTGTAGAGTGAAACGCGTGACAGTGAAAGAGAGCCTTCAAGAAGTAGAGATAGAGAAAGAGAGAAGGGCCATGATAAGGACTCTGAACGAAGCAGAGACAGAGATGGAGATAAAATCAAGGAGAGAAGTAGAGACAAAGACAGAGATCGTGAGCGTCATCACAGAAGTAGTCGTCACAGAGATCATAGCAGCAGGGAACGTAGTGAAAGAAGAGAACGTGGTAGTAGGGATGACGATGACTACCGCCGAAGCCGCGATCGTGATTATGATAGGTGACTGTTCTTGAAAACGAAACTTTCTATCTTTACAATTTCGATCTTTGTTTTTGTTTTTTTGGAAGACACTAATTTGGAGGCCTTTTTTTTACTTTACAGGCGTAGAGATGATCGAGGAGATAGACGCCGTCGTCGGTCTCGTTCCCGATCAAAGGATAGATCTGAACGCAGAACAAGGTCGCGTTCTCCATCAAAAAGGTAACTTATAGTTCTCTTTCTCAATTATCGTATATGAAACTGATTGTTTAAATCCAGGAAAATTTTCTTACAACAATTTATATTCTTGCAGTAAGCGGGTCAGCGGATTTGATATGGCACCTCCAGCCTCTGCAATGTTAGCTGCTGGTACTGCTGTTACAGGTATCTTTTTTTTTCTCTTCAATTTAGGATAATGTATAGTTCATTCCCAATGCACGTAGTGGTTTTAATGAGTTCTGTTTCTCCCAATTAATTAGAAAAAAAATGTTGTTGATTTTTGTAACCTGGGATATATCCTTAGAACTAAGAACTTTTAGTTGTTTGGTGTTTTTCTGTGTGTTTCTTGTTTGCTCTTCTCTTTTGGTAAGGCAACATTGGGTGTGATCTGGTTAGCTCTTATATACAAGGAGGAATTGCTCTAATGCTTCTATGGGTATTGCTCATCCTCAGTACATATCACTGGTTTTGTTCGCAAATGTTACCTCATGAAATTCTATAACCGCCTTTGGCTTTTGTAGGGAGAGTGAATTAGGTGTTCTCTCATGTGCTCTTCTAATGTATTAGCCTGTTTTCCTTTTGCAGGCCAAGTTCTTCCCCCACCACCAGCTCTTCCAGGGGGTGCAATGTTTCCCAACATGTATCAATTACCGACTGGACAGGTCTGTGCTCATTACCTTTTTTAAAATCACATATTGATTTCTTTCTTGGATTAATAATTCTGTGTCCTGCAGCCATTTGGGGGGATCCCTATGATGCCAATTCAGGCTATGACACAGCAGGTTAGCTTTAATTTCCGAGGATTTATCATATCATATATGTTAGACACTCTGTGTTTCTCTGTTTCTAACTATGTTTCCTTGTTTTACTTTATATGTCTTTAGGCTACTAGGCATGCTCGCAGAGTGTATGTCGGTGGGCTTTCCCCTACGGCGAATGAACAGGTCAGTATCCACTTTATTTCTAGTTTTTTAATTACTGAAATATGTTCCACCATTTGATACTAACATTGGTTATCTTTGCTTTCCTGTATTGCAGTCTGTGGCTACATTTTTCAGTCAAGTAATGGCTGCTGTTGGTGGAAACACTGCTGGTCCAGGTGATGCTGTTGTTAATGTTTACATAAACCACGAGAAGAAGTTTGCTTTTGTGGAGATGCGATCTGTTGAAGAGGCAAGTAACGCAATGTCTTTGGATGGGATTATATTTGAGGTATGTTTTAATGTTTTACCGTCATACCAATTCTTTGGTTGAGTTTTAGTGTTGGCATTTCTTTGGTATATAGTTAACATATAAGAATCTGAATACTTTTTTTCCTCTCTTTCCCAGGGAGCTCCAGTGAAGGTGAGGAGACCTAGTGACTATAACCCATCTCTAGCTGCATCTCTTGGTCCAAGCCAGCCCAGTCCCAATCTAAACTTAGCTGCTGTTGGTCTGACTCCAGGTGCTTCTGGTGGGCTTGAGGGTCCAGACCGTATTTTTGTTGGTGGGCTTCCATATTACTTCACCGAGGCACAAGTCAGGGAGTTGTTGGAGTCCTTTGGAGCCCTGAAGGGATTTGATCTTGTGAAAGATCGAGAAACTGGGAACTCTAAAGGATACGCCTTTTGTGTGTACCAAGATCTCGCTGTTACAGATATCGCATGCGCTGCCCTGAATGGTATCAAAATGGGAGATAAGACTCTCACTGTGAGACGTGCTAACCAGGGAACAATGCAACCGAAACCTGAACAAGAGAGTGTATTGTTGCATGCACAGCAGCAGATTGCTTTACAGGTAAACTTTTTTATTTATTTCTTAGCGTATTGGAAACGTTTTAACAGATTTGAAACGTTTCTCTCTGTATGGTTTTATCTAATGAAAGACTTGTGGTTTTTTCTCTTGTTTCAGAGGATTATGTTTCAGCCTCCGCCGGGCGCACCTGCCACAACAGTCGTATGTCTGACTCAAGTTGTTACTGAGGATGAGCTTAGAGACGACGAGGAGTATGAGGATATAATGGAAGACATGAGACAAGAAGGCGGAAAGTTTGGTAAGAGACCTCTCTCTCTATTACGTTTTGAGATCAATTTGGAGATATAAGATTAAAAAGCATATTGATTTGGCTCTCTGTTTTCTTGGTTGTATATGTCTGTTTTACAGCCTTTTGCTATAAAGAATCAGCCCTAACATACACAGACTGGAGACTGCATAAAAACCTTCTTATCTTTTTTTCTTTTTCACCAAAGGCCACTCTTTATTAGAAGAAAAAAAAACTAACGCCTTTTTTTTTGTTGTCTCTGTTTGATTCTCTTGTATTCGATATGTTTGTTCTTTAACTCTTTAAATGCAGGTGCATTGACCAACGTTGTGATCCCGCGTCCCAGCACCAACGGTGAGCCAGTGCCAGGCCTTGGCAAGGTTTGTACCAGAAACCCCTTCTCTCTCTTGTAAATCTCTTAATATTTCTGTTTAGTGGGGAATCTCACTGTGGATATATATATGTGCAGGTGTTCTTGAAGTATGAGGATACTGATAGTTCGTCGAGGGCAAGAAGCGGGATGAATGGTAGGAAATTTGGAGGGAACGAAGTGGTTGCTGTGTTTTACCCAGAAGACAAGTTTGATCAGGGAGATTATGGAGCCTGATGAAAGGAGTCTTCTTTGTTTGCTTTCTGTTTTCCAAGTACACGTTTATTTTTGTTTAAGACCCTTTCTACGTGATTTTAAGACTTGAGAGATGTGATGATTTATACATTGTTTGTTATAAACACCAATCAAGGTTTCGTTTTGCTCTTTCTCTCTCTCTCTCTTAAGTATTCATCGTATACAATTCAAAAATGAATGACTCAGAAGAACATTTTTCTCTTAAGTGTGTTGTACTAAATAAATAAAGCTACATCCATTTTTGAGTAAGTTCTTTTGTAAATTTTGTCTACAGAGCGAATTAGGAAAAAAACGACTACAGTTGTAAAACCTTAAACCCTAAAGGCGTCTCTTTTTTGGCCTTCACTCTCACACATTCCGTCTATTCTAACGCCTCTGCAAATGGCTTCTTCTCGTCTCTCTCTCCGCTATGTTCGCCGCTTCACCACAGTCGCCGGAGATGCTACGACCACCGTAGACGTCGCCGCTCCGTCTTCCGGCAAGATCTCTGTCTCCAAAGCTAAGTCGATTCTCCGGAAAGTGCACGATCCCGACAAAGCCCTTGAGATCTACTCAAATGTCTCCGATCACTCCGTTTCGCCTGCTTCCTCTCACTACGCCCAAGAGCTCACTGTCCGTCGCCTCGCCAAGTGTAGCCGCTTCTCAGACATTGAAGCCCTAATCGAATCCCAAAAAAATGACCCCAAAATCAAGGAAGAGCCTTTCTACTCGAACCTTATCAGATCTTACGGACGAGCCTCCATGATCGATCACGCCATGAGAGCTTTCGAGCAGATGGATCAGTACGGTACACCAAGATCAGCTGTTTCGTTCAACGCTTTACTCACCGCTTGCCTCCATTCCCAGAAGTTCGATAAAGTCCCCCAACTGTTCGACGAAATCCCTCAGAGGTATAAAAACATCATCCCTGACAAAATCTCTTACGGTGTATTGATTAAGTCGTACTGTGACTCTGGTTCCCCGGAGAAAGCCATTGAGATTATGAGACAGATGGAAAGTAAAGGCATGGAAGTAACCACCATTGCCTTCACCACCATTTTGGGTTCCTTGTACAAGAAAGGTGAACTCGAGGTAGCTGAAAGCTTGTGGAAGGAGATGGTGAAGAAAGGCTGCGAATTGGATAACGCGGCGTACAACGTTCGTCTAATGAGTGCTCAGAAGGAAAGCCCTGAAAGGGTTAATGAGTTGATCGATGAAATGATCAGTGTGGGGTTGAAGCCTGATACGATTAGCTATAACTATCTCATGACTGCGTATTGCGAGAAAGGAATGTTGGAGGAAGCTAAGAAAGTCTATGGAGGCCTCCAAGTGAACAGCTGTGCTCCCAACGCGGCTACTTTCAGGACGTTGATATTTCACCTGTGTTACAGCGGTTTGTACGAGCAAGGCTACGCCATCTTCAAGAAGAGCGTGTCTATGAACAAGATTCCGGATTTCAACACTCTGCAGCATTTGGTTGTTGGGTTGGTGAGGAACAAGAAAACAGATGACGCCAAAGGGTTGATTAGAACGGTGAAGAAGAAGTTCCCTCCTAGTTTCTTGAATGCGTGGAAGAAACTCGAGGAGGAGCTCGAGCTGTACTCAAAGACTGATGCTTCTTCGTCTTCTTCTGCTTAGAAAAGGCAACCGAAGATCTGATTCTTTTGCTTGAGCTTTTTAAGACTTGTTCAGAACTATGATCAAGCATGCAGGTTACTTGTAAGTTCCTCATGCGTTTTTCTTTACTCATAAATTAGCTTGTAAAAGCTTGATGTTTTTGTTTGTGGTATCTCTTGAATTCCATGGTTTAACAGTTTCGAGATTCATAGAGTTCACTGCTATGTTCTTCTACGCACATGTGCTTCGTATGAATTCAAGTTTCTTCTTTTCATGTTTTCGCATTTTCTTCTACTTGCAATTTAGAGTGTATTAACAAAAGTCCATGATCCATCCATAATCATCAATTCTCTTAAGAAAAATATTTGCTACAATGGAGTGAGGTGAGCAATTTTGAGAACTTTTTAGAACGGGCCAGGCTTATGAGTCCTATAGTTCTTTGATGGGCCAAAGCTTAAATATATCGGCCCATTAGAAAAGACGCCACTCTAATGTGAAATAATCGATTTCTAGCCCTAACCTCTACAACAAGTTATTCGATTTTCTCGATTTTTATACATACGTTTACTTTTAGTGACCACCATACAAGATTTCGGGAGAGGCTTAACAAAAGTCTTCAACTGACATGATTATTTTAGATAATATATAATATTTTTCTTTCTTTTCTGCAAGCTAATAATAAACATATGACCCCTTATTAATAATTTAATAAAGTAATATGTTCCACAGTGTTGTTGAAAAGTATGATGTCTTCATACTACAATAAGTCCAATATAAACTTTTGACGAAAGAGTCCAATAACGCCACCACTCGTCCGGGAACAGAACAGTACAAAGTTGTTGAATAAAATCTGTATCTTTTATAAAGTGATGGCTTGAATAAAATCTGTATCTTTTATAAAGTGATGGCTTGTGGAAAAGATGATCTTGTTTGATGTATTAAATGGCTTATTTTGATGATGTAAATAAATTTTTTAAAAGCTAACAAAGTTAATCCAGAAACATAAATAGTCGTTCTAACACATAATTCAACGATTGTTTTTTAACATAAACCCCCAAAATTTTAATAACAGTGTTTATAAGATATTCAACATTACTTTCGAGTTTCAGTTTTTAATCAGTTGAATTGAATCTGCTGAAAACTTTACAGACAAAAAAACCGGTTTAACAAAATAAAAACGGTAACTGTGTGACAGTGGTTCATAAAATACTACCACTAGGCCAGGCCACCACATCTTTAGTAGCTTTTGTGTGTTAAAAAATTCATAACACATAAAATTGTTTAAAAGTAATTCATGTACGACTCAAGATCGTTCGTTTCTAGAAATGTTTTTGCATCGTTAGAACATATTAAATTTTAAATAACAATTTAATTTATATCTGCTCTCTTTAGATGAAACGGGATTGAGTTTTTTTTTTTTTTTACTAAAAGTGTGTAGATTTAATTTGTTTTTGCAATTTATTCAATGGAATGATCATTGTTTTCGTTTTGAAGAAAATAGGTATTTAAAGTCATAATAGTTTTTATTGGTTCCTATACAGACGATTTAGAATTATATTTTTGAGTTTGTGATTTTGTTTGTTTGTAATTATCTGTTATTAATTATTAGTAATTTTTCGGCAAATACTCTGCATTTTTATATTTGGTGATTCATTCGTTAGATGACGTTACCACACGAGGTAATGACAGACGTCCAGCATTGATAAAATATCGGATAAACAATGCAGACTTTTCGTAGATATTTTTTTATATATATATTTTAAAGGAAGTATTATTTTCAAAAATCAATTAATTATTCAGGATATTATTTTCTCTAATTGGACCCATTTAGTTTTAGACTTCCCGATTGGTTTTTCAATGGGTATATAGGTTTTTGTACTAGGATGCATGTTTTCTGTGGATATATATATATATATATAGATAGGTTTCAACTTCCATATCAGGGGGGTTATTGAGAAAGAGGATTTATGTAGATTTTAAAAATTTTAAGATTCTATTATTATTGATTTGTTGATTCTTAAAATTTTATTAGAATTTATTGTTATTGGTTTAATGATTTGAAAATTCTATCCAAAATACTTTGTTATTCAAAAAGTTTGACTTTTAAAGATTTTATTCTTAGGTGGTTGTCCGTACATATGTACGGTATAATTTTTTTTATATACATAGTTAATTGTAATATTTAAATATTAATTAGTTTTTTAAAATATTGGTATGTTTGTATATATATATTTTTTTAATATTTTTCAAATTTTTTTTTAAAACCAATGTATTTTAAAAATTTTATTTTTATAATTCTTGTAATAATATATAATCACAAATATAAAAATTATGTTAAATAATAATTAAATTTTTATAATATTTTTTGAATATTTCTATAATATGCTTTATTTTTCTTTACACAATCTACAATATGCTTTTTACGTCTTACATATGAATTTACAAATACATATATAATATATTTTAAGTATATATATTTTTATTTATTGCAAATTAAACTGAAATAGTTTTTACTATTTTTACTTATTCTTAAGAGCGGATAGATGGTTGACACGCACGTGCAGATATATCAACTTCTTCACTATACTTAAAATAGATAAATATTTTTTAAAAATATAAATTATATAATAATTCAAATAAAAATTAGTCTGTAATCAATCTTAACAAAATACATGCACGGAAAAATTCACATGTAACTTCAACTAACGTACAATTAATATTTATGTTTGTACGCGTATTTGTAAAAAAATTGAAATATGGCTCTTAGGTATTAAAAAGTTATTAAGTGACTTTATAAAACAAAGTGCGGCATATTTTTTTTATATACTTCTATTTTTATTTCTTATTCATTTTGTTTCATCTTATTATAATTTATTATTTTGTTCGGTTATTTTTTATTTTATTTATGTTCTCAAAATTTTGATATACAATGAAAATAAATTTATGTATATATATATAATTTATTTCTATTTAAAATATAATAAGAGATAAGAGGAGATGATAATATAAGTTATGTACATTTTAGAAAACAACAATAAAAAGATGATAAAAGTTATAGAAAAATATATAGTTATATTAATATTATAAAATAATAATTAGTATATACTTCCCGATTGGTTTTTCAATGAGTGTATAGGTTTTTGTACTACGATGTATGTTTTTCTGTAGATATATATATATACAGATAGGTTTCAACTTCCATATCAGAGGGGTTATTGAGAAAAAGGATTTATGTAGATTTTAAAAATTTTAAGATTTTATCATTATTGATTTGTTGATTCTTAAAATCTTATTAGAATTTATTATTATTGGTTTAATAATTTGAAAATTATATCCAAAATTCTTTGTTATTCAAAAAGTTTGACTTTTAAAGATTTTATTCTATTAAAATCTTATGTTATTAGAATATGAATTTTAAACAATTTAACTCATAAAATAAGATTTTGTAAGACTTTCAAAATATTACCTATATAACTTAGATTCTCAAAGTCATTATTATAAAATATTTTTATAGATTTTCTAAATAAACAAACTCTTTCCAAATTTAACAAATTTTTTTAACAAATTTAACAAATTTTTCAATTTTAAAAAAGTCAAAATTTTATAATTTTATCTCCCAATAACCACCTAAACGTACATTCATATTCAGATGGGAATAAGACAATATTATTTCAATCAATTTCTTCTCATTCAATCGTTGACATTTGTACTACAGATTTTGAGATCTTTCTGTTATAATATGAATTTCATAAACTATTTTTTGGGTTTTGTTTCTGAAAACTAAAAGAAAACATGAAAATATTGGGTTTTCACAGTAAATGACTATAATTTTTAACTTAAATGGTTAAATAATTAAATGAAAATGTATAACAGAGAGGGAAATGAAAAAGTATAACAGAGAGGGAAATGAAAAAGTATATCTAAAATGAAAAATTCGTTAAACAATTAATTGAAAAAATATAACTGAAAGGCAATAATTAAATGAAAATTATTGCTGTATGAAAACGTACTACAGTTACATGAAAAAAGTATAACTGAATTTTTCTACAAATTTTAAAGCACAATTCAAATTCCCTAAATCATGTCAATCTACTAAATAAAATGTTAACATTTAAGTGAAAATTGTGTAAGCGAAGTAATTGTGCTTTGTTGAAGATTTGTCATAACGGTTCAGATTTACGAACGAAATTCTTCACATGGAATTATCTTACCATTCTATATAACTACTTAATTAACCAAAACATTTATTTGGCTTTTCAGATGACTCAAAGTGTAACACAAATCAAACCCTTTTAGATATTCAAATCCAATAGCAACTTGACTTTTCCATTAAATAATCTAAAGTTCAAACTTTGAAAATATATTAAAAATGGACCCATGACGTTTTACACTCTCCATAGTTGACCTTTGACCCCATGAGTAAGCCAAAACATGTGTTTGCTTACACAGTGACATAAATATTATAATTATTCACGAGGATAAAAACAAAAAGCAAATATTAGAAATAGTTCTTATCCCAATAATCACAGTCTCGGGTCGACCCATGTCTTTTAATCCAAAAAAAAGAATGAAAACGTTAACTTCCTTATCTGGTTAAAGAAAACGTTAGCTGGTCAAAATTCACGTTCGGTTACCCCAAAAAGTCAACTTCCTTACAGATATGTTCTTATCCAAAACCAAAACTTACTAGAAATGATGCTGCCAACTCTAATTATCAGATCAGATTTCCAAGCGGTTTAGAGTCAGAGTCTAGCTGTTACTTATTAATTACATGCATGCACATGTTATTAGGATCGTAATTAGGAGTATTTGATCGGGTCTTAAGAATCTGATTACAAAACAGATTTCTATAAATAAAAGAAAAAAGATGTGGATGACTCTTGTCCATTGGATTCAAATAACTAAATCCTCTCTTTGAAGCTTGTGGCTTTCACGAGTACTGTCTCCTCTGTGTTGTCATCTGTTTTTTCTATAAATAATCAACGAATCTTCTTTGGTAGTAAGAGAAAAAAAAGATTAACCAAAGTCTCAGACAAAGAGCTAAGAATTGGGAAAGACATAGGTATAGGTCTGTCTACTCTATAGTTTTCTGAAATAATATTTTCTGATTACGCGGTGGTGAATTAATCATGGCTGATCAAACCTCCGTCGATAATCCGGCCGAGAAGTCAGTGGAAAAGCCGGTCGAAAAGCTGGTCGAGAAGCCGGTCGGAGTTAATAGATACGCTCTTCAATGTGCTATTGTCGCCTCCATCGTCTCCATCATCTTTGGTTACGGTAAGTATATTATAAGAAATTTCCCAAAATAAAATAATTATATTCTCGAAGATCATTGGGATTTTTTCATTTAATAAGCTGTTTGATAAAATTAATATTTGCTAAGAGTTTGTAGGCTAAGATTTTTGTTGTCGTTGCTAGATTCGATTAAAAAAAAGTGTTCATAGTGTTACTTTTTTTTTTTTTACATAATAAGATAATTTATTTTCTCTATCTTTTTTGTTTATTATATTTTAATATCTATATTATTATTCCTATTTTTGTAATGATCACGAGAATCGATAACAGATGTTTGTTTTTGGGTATTTGTGTGTAGATACTGGTGTGATGAGTGGAGCTATGGTGTTTATAGAAGAGGATTTGAAGACAAACGATGTACAGATTGAAGTTCTCACCGGAATTCTCAACCTGTGTGCCCTTTTCGGATCATTGCTCGCCGGAAGAACATCGGACATTATCGGACGGCGTTACACAATCGTCTTGGCCTCAATACTCTTCATGTTGGGTTCAATACTGATGGGTTGGGGTCCGAGTTACCCGGTTCTCCTCACCGGTAGATGCACTGCCGGAGTCGGAGTGGGTTTTGCTCTAATGGTTGCTCCGGTTTACTCGGCCGAGATTGCGACCGCTTCCCATAGAGGACTCTTAGCTTCTCTTCCTCACCTTTGTATCAGTATAGGGATCTTAACCGGTTATCTCGTTAATTACTTCTTTTCCAAGTTACCGTTGCATATCGGTTGGAGGCTAATGCTCGGTATAGCCGCGGTTCCGTCGCTGGTTCTAGCGTTCGGGATTTTGAAAATGCCGGAGTCTCCACGGTGGTTGATTCTACAAGGACGTCTCGGAGAAGGCAAGAGGATATTGGATTTGGTATCGAATTCACCTGAAGAATCTGAAATACGGTTTCAAGACATCAAAATCGCTGCGGGAATCGACGCGAAATGCAATGATGAAGTTGTGAAAATGGTGAACAAGAAGACTCACGGTGAAGGCGTTTGGAAAGAACTCATTCTACGGCCGACTCCTGCAGTGCGACGGGTTCTTTTAACCGCTCTAGGGATCCATTTTTTCCAACACGCGACCGGAATCGAAGCCGTGCTGTTATACGGTCCGAAGATCTTCAAGAGAGCAGGAATCACGGCGAAAGACAAGCTTTTCTTGGTTACAATCGGTGTTGGGATCATGAAAACGACGTTTATTTTCACGGCGACTTTCTTGCTCGACAAGGTAGGTCGGAGGAAGCTTTTGTTGACCAGCGTTGGAGGGATGGTCTGCGCGTTGACAATGTTGGGTTTTGGGCTTACGATGGCTCAGAACTCTGGCGGGAAACTGGCTTGGGCTTTGGTTCTGAGCATTGTTTCGGCTTATAGTTTCGTTGCCGTTTTCTCCATTGGGCTCGGCCCAATAACGTGGGTCTACAGCTCTGAGGTCTTCCCGTTGAAGCTTAGGGCACAAGGAGCGAGTCTCGGCGTCGCGGTGAACAGAGTGATGAACGCCACCGTGTCGATGTCGTTTTTGTCGTTGACTAAGGCCATAACTACCGGCGGAGCTTTCTTTATGTTCGCCGGAGTCGCGGCGGTGGCGTGGAATTTCTTCTTCTTCCTATTGCCGGAGACGAAAGGAAAGTCGCTTGAAGAGATCGAAGCGCTTTTCCAAAGAGACGGTGATGATAAAGTGCGCGGCGAAAACGCGACAGCGTAACGTTTTTTATCATGTTTTTTCTTCTTCATCTTTTCGTTTTGAATGAAACGACTACGTTGTAGCTTGTTCTAGTTATACGACGCCGTGTCGATGTTCTCTGTTTGTGGCTTTAATGAAATGATAAACCAACGGTTACGATCGACTCATACCTTTAGTATTTGTTACCAATATACGATCAACGGCTCGTACTCATCGCCGTTTACAAACAAACAATGGCCCAGTAAGTAAGTAGTCAAGAGTGAGCTTTTCTCAGATCAAAATCGAGCCGACACTTTCGTGATTACACTGAATCCACTGATTTTGAAATCAGGGGAAGTCAGATTTGGTGTAATCCTCACCACCACGCACGCGAAACTCTTGAGTGTATTGCACCTTTTAGATCGAGATGAAGGAAGACGACGCCTTGCCGACGACGACGACGGCTACAAGTACGGCGACGGGAACAGCTATGGGGAATTCGAAGAAGGATAACTCAGACTCGGTATTTTTCGGAAGAGGCCGTTACAAGTTCTGGGCGTTTGGTGCAATTTTGCTTCTGGCTTTATGGTCCATGTTCACTGGCACAGTCACTCTCCGGTTATCCACCGGAGATCTGAACCAACTATCCGACGATCTCCCGATTCAAAACTATGAGAACCTCGACGTTCTGGTTACTCTCTCTTTCTCTCTTGCTCTTTGTCTAATTGTGGAGATTTGGGCTGATTTGGTGTGTAATCGATTGCGGCTGATTTTTTTGTGGGTTTTCAGGAAATGGAGGAGAGGGAGAAAGTGGTGAAGCATATGTGGGATATGTACACAAACAGTCGCCGGATCAAATTGCCTAGATTTTGGCAAGATGCGTTCGTTGCTGCTTACGAAGAACTCACCAGTGATGTTCCTGGGGTTAGAGATGCTGCTATTGGTGAAATCGCCAAGATGTCCGTTCAGTCTATCCGTCTTGATCCACCTCCTTCTCGATCAATGGTGATGATTCTTGATCTAAACTTAGCGTTTTTTTTCCCCCTTTTTACTGGAATCTCTAGTTTTCATTGTTGGCTGTTGGATTAGTGAGTTACACAATCAGTAGATACACTTTGAGTGGATGGTAGAACATGCCTGTGCTTGCAATACTCTGACTCTGTGTTCTTTCTCTCTCTTCATAGTATGAAGATCGAGTGTTAGGTAAAGGATATTGTAAGTTAAGAGGTAATGGTCAGCAGTGATAGACTCTGCAGTAGCATATGATTCGTTGATCATGTCTTCTTAAAAAAATATGTTGTGAGATTTCTGATAGCTATAGCTTTCGGTTTTGTTTCTTGCATTGATTTGCGAAGCTCCTCTTGTAGAAGTTGGTTGGTCAAGTATGGTTGGAGATTATGTTTAGGTTTGTTCTTTTCCATTGTTCATAATTGGCTTATTGAGTGGTTTTAACGTTTTTGAAATCTCTTCTTTTGGGGTTTGTTTTTCAGAGCGCAAGGGAATTGGGAAGAAGCTTTAACAGAATTCTACACAAAGCCAGCAGCAAGTAGCTGATGGTGATATTGGTAACGCACACCTTTACATATAAATCTACGATACATTTCTACTTGCTGAAGCCAAAAAGATGAACACTACCAAATGGATGGTTCAATTTTGGGAGATTCATATTCTTTGTTTCGAAATCAAATTGCTCCTTTTGCGTTCTATCGAGTGGTAATTATTACATAGAACTACTGTTATAAATATATGTAGAATCATGGATCCTTATGATATATTTCTCTCTTCTTTTGAAATCTCTTCAAAAACTTGGGACTCCTGAATGTGTTGTTTTAGTGGCGGATTCACCAATGCCAGCTTTATTGGATCAAATCAAGATTTGGCAATGAAAGAAAACATGATATTTGCTGTCCGGTCATCATTACAGAAACTAAAGTATTTATAACTGTTACGGTTTTACCAAGATTTCCCAAGTTTTGTAATGCAAACGCAATTTCTCACAAGAAACACTTTTGCGCGCGGGTTTTTTTTATAACCCTCACAAATGAAGAAAGACAGCGGAGAAAATAAAAAAAGAGTAAAGAGAGAAAAATGAAGTGTCCGTACTGTTCATCGGCACAAGGACGGTGTGCCACCACGAGCTCCGGTAGGTCGATAACGGAGTGCTCGTCTTGCGGTCGCGTAGTGGAAGAACGGCAGACGCAGAACCACCACCTCTTTCATCTCCGCGCACAAGACACTCCTCTCTGCCTAGTCACTCCCGATCTTCAGACGGCGGCGCAACCGTCTACGGAGGACGAGGAGGATCCGTTTGAGCCTACCGGATTCATCACCGCCTTCTCTACCTGGTCACTCGAGCCGAGCCCGATCTTCGCTCGCTCCTCCCTCTCCTTCTCCGGTCACCTCGCTGAGCTGGAACGAACCCTAGAACTCGCTTCTTCCGCATCGAATTCGACGAATTCGTCGACGGTTGTGGTGGACAATCTTAGGGCTTATATGCAGATCATCGACGTGGCGTCGATTTTAGGGCTGGAGTGCGATATCTCTGAGCATGCTTTTCAGTTGTTTAGGGATTGCTGCTCAGCGACTTGCTTGCGGAACAGAAGCGTTGAAGCCTTAGCTACTGCTTGCCTTGTTCAGGCTATTAGGGAAGCCCAGGAGCCTAGAACTCTTCAGGTAAACTATAGAATCCACATTTAATTCATCACTAGTTTAAATGGCAGATTCAACTACTGCGCCTCAATTTCCTGAAATTGCATTGCTATGTTTTTACTCTTAAGAGCTTCATGAGTATCCTTTGAATACACCAATAAATTTGAGTAATTGGTTAAATATTATGTTAGGATGCCTTTTCTTTGTGGATGGAATCATTTGCCTGTATTTGTATCTGCCATGGGCAATCTGGTGTGTCCACTTCGTTCGCAGCAATGCAATATCTGGACAGCTGTGCCTGATTGTGATTGGTTGATTTTGGATATATCAGCAATGCAAAGTTTTCGAATTTAGAGGAACTAGGACCTGTGTATGCTAGGTTTCTGAAGCTTGTGTGTTAGAGTTAGCAAGTAAGGAATCAACTGCTGTGTTGGTGTACCATTTGTTGTCTGAGCGTTGATCCTTAATCAGTAACTGTTCTTATCATCTCCCCCTGATTGTTTGATTATAGTTTTTTAACTGTTTCGCACATACATTTAGCTTGAGGTGCATTTTTCTATCTTAGAGAACATAAATTTATTATCTGGACTTGATTCTAATGTCTGTGTCTTGCTTTGCGCAATAGGAAATCTCCATTGCAGCCAATGTACAGCAGAAGGAAATTGGGAAGTACATCAAGATTTTAGGAGAAGCTCTACAACTAAGTCAACCAATCAACAGCAACTCTATATCAGTTCATATGCCAAGATTCTGTACCCTCCTTCAACTTAACAAATCTGCTCAGGTGTGCCACTAAACTCTAAACTTGTACTTCTTTCTGAATTGCCAAACAAAATGAAACATGTATACTTTTTCCCTCCTTCACTGAGATGTAGAGTCTTATAAGTGTCTTCTAATGACATTTCACCATCCATTGTGACCCATTGCGAGATCCCAAATGCTACACTGATTCCTTTTTCTGATGTGTCTGTTTAAAAATCTTTCTAGGAACTGGCAACACATATCGGAGAAGTCGTGATCAACAAATGCTTCTGCACTCGTAGAAACCCGATCAGCATTTCCGCAGCGGCGATCTATCTGGCGTGTCAGCTTGAAGACAAACGAAAGACACAAGCAGAGATTTGTAAGATAACCGGACTCACCGAGGTAACACTACGCAAAGTCTACAAGGAGCTTCTAGAGAATTGGGACGATCTGCTCCCATCTAACTACACACCAGCCGTCCCACCAGAGAAAGCATTCCCCACGACCACAATCTCCACGACCCGCTCAACAACTCCAAGAGCCGTGGAACCACCTGAGCCGAGTTTTGTGGACAGAGACAAGCCATCGGTTAAACCAACCGAAACTTCTGATCATTCCTACCTACAGCAACCCAAGGGGAAAGAAGATAAGCAGCCAAAATTCAGACAGCCTTGGCTGTTTGGAACTGCCAGTGTAATGAACCCAAAGGAGATGATGAGCGAGCCGGCAAAACTAAGTGCTCTGGACTATGATAAGCAGCAGGTCGGCGATAAGGAGACAGTGCCTGTATATCTAAGACAACCTAACCAAGTCCCTTCGAATCCATCTCCGTCTTCAGGTATCAGCACAATCAATTGGTCGTTCCGACCTTCTGGTGGCCACGGGTCTTCGACCAACTTGCCTGTTGTTCATCCGCCGAAACTGCCTCCTGGTTATGCTGAGATTAGAGGTACTGGATCTCAAACAGGAAACAAGAATGCTAATAATCCTCATGGAGACTTGTGCTAGAGACTTCAAAATGTGATGGTTGTAGAACTCTTCACTTTTTACTTTACTCAATGCATAAGACTGTTGGCTATACAGATTCATGGATCGTTGCTCTATAGTTTATGAATATAGTTATGATCATCCAATTCATGACCAATGCATCATGATCGTTGCTGTATTATGGTTGGTTCTCTTGTTTTTCAGCTTTTGGGCTTTTTGTTCTTTGAAAAAAAAATTAGGTGGAAGGTGTTTTTTATATTCACGCGCAAAAGGTGACGTGTTATAGATAAAAATGGGAGCGGGGGTATTTTCGTATATTATGAACAAACACAAAGGTCATTGATCCTGATCGTTCATACTCTGGACACGTCATCAATCCTCACCTCACGAAATCAACGGTGTAGCTTCGTTTTTGACTAACCATCCCTCTTAAGATTTGTTCTGTGTTTCTCCATTCTTCTTTCGACTCCCCAAAAAAAAAAAAAAAAAGTCTCTGTGTTTATCACTCGTATAACGAGAAAACAAAGTTTTAGGGTTTTCTGGTCTGGCTGCTCTTGATTTTTCGTTGTTGGTTTATATTATTCCGTTGCGGTCTCTATCTTTTGTATTGGGGTAATTAGGGTTAGAGAGTATTATCAAAATGGATGAGATCTGGGAGAAAGCCGTGGAAACGGCATTGGTAGGCGAAGCGGAGCCTCTGGCTGCTCGGGTTCTTACTCTGGACGGTGCAGTGAAGTGCGTCCAGGGCCATCTTCCGCGTCGGGAGCTTCTGGAGAGGTTTCAGAATCTGGAGCACTTATCTATAGCCAGTATCGGCGTCTCTTCGCTTGATCAATTCCCGCGGCTCGGAAAACTCCAGAAGCTCGTCCTCTCTGACAATAGAATCGCTGGTGGCCTTGAGTTTCTAGTCGAAGCGGGTCTGGGTTCGCTCCGTGACCTTGATTTATCTAATAATCGGATACACTTGATTGAGGATTTGGTGCCTCTAGCTCAGTTGAAACTTGTGTCGCTTGATCTGTATGAATGTCCTGTGACGCGGATGAAGGATTATCGATCTAGGGTTTTCGGGTTAGTTAAATCTTTGAAGTATTTGGATAAGATGGATGCTGAGGAGAATGAGAGACCAGAGTCGGAGGATGAGGATGAGGACGATGATGAAGACGAGGAAGATGAAGAGGAGGACGAAGATGATCCTGGGAGTTGTGAGATTGATGGTGAGGAGAGGCCAAATGTGATGAGCAATGGGCACAGTGAAAGGCTTGAAGGGGTTGTGGAGGCTGATGAGGAAGAGAGCGAAGCTGATGAGGAAGAGGCAGAGACGGGAAGGCAACCAAATGGGGTGAGTGACCACACCAATGGGGTGCGTGATGAACATCTGAATATGGACGATGACGAAAACGACGACAGTGATGAGGATGATGTGGAAGATGAATACGAAGACGATGGTTTAATTGTTGGTGATGACGAGGAAGATGTGGGCGAGGGCGAAGAAGAGGTGGATAACGATGAAGATGGGGAAGATGAATATGAAGACGATGGTTTAATTATCGGTGATGATGAGGAAGATGTGGGCGAGGGCGAAGAAGAGGTGGATAACGATGAGGGAAATCCGAGGAATTTGCTGCAAAGGGACGTTAATGGAGAGCTTGATGGCGATGAGGGAGTGGTAGATGCGAATCGGATGAATGATGTTGCTGCCAATAGTTCTCAAGATGTCCTTCTGAATGTGGACGATGAAGAAAACGATGACAGTGATGAGGAAGATGAAAATGAAGACGATGGTTTTCTTGTTGCTGATACTGAGGATAATGCGCAACATAGAAATGAGTTGCTGAGGAACATCATTATTGGAGAGATTGATGGGCATGAGCTGGACGAGGATGATAACGAGAGCGGGGAAGAAGACGAAGAAGAAGATGGTGTAGAGGAGGTGAGATATTCATCTTGTTGATATTTTCTTGTGTGTTTTATGAATTATATATTTTTGTGATACTAAACTGACTTGTTTTGACAGATTGAAGAGTATGGAGCAGCTCAACCTGTGGCAGAAGCAATCAAAGTAGATGATGATGTTGAAGGGGAAGAAGACTATGAGGACGACGATGTTCAAGTGGTATATTCAGTTGCGTCTTCGAACCTTAAGAGGAAGAGAGATGAAGATGATGATGGAAACTCTGGTTCCAGTTCTTCAGACGACAATGATGATGATGGTTCGAGTGAAGATGATAATGAGTAGGAGCAGTCTGCAGACAGATATTTTTGAAGATGGATGGTTTTTTTTTTCCTTTTTCTTTTGTCGGCCAACTTTCTATCAAAACAAAGAACACAAGTACAACAGCTTACAACATGTTCCAGAAGATTGTATAATTTAAGTGTTGTTCCCTAGCTGATTTAGCTTATCTACCTCCTGAACTACATCTCTTTTAACATACATACAGTATAAGAATAGGCATGACTTTGAAGAAGTTAAAGAGCATTGTTGTTAACCATTGTATCAATATCCGCTTTACATTACAACATCCTCCAGCTCTTCCTTTTGGATCTAACGACTCTGTCAATGTTATCATTATCAAATAGATTTTGCCATCTACAGCGAAGATATCATATGATATGATCGTGAGCAAACTATCTCATCTCTTTGACAACGGGCTTTTTAATAGCCCAGTTACTCCCTAGGCCCATTATTAAATTTTACGCGGAACAACAGTTAACGGCCTTAAGTTTTTTTACCTTTTAAGAAAAAGGTAAAAGATTTATCTAGAAGGCAGGTGAGCCAACAATACATGGAAATGAATAAAAAATACATAAATATGGAAGATACGTGAAGGAAATTGCCAGGAATATTAAACGTGCTTAGGTATGGAATCGGTAAAACACCAGCAACCCATAATAGCTGTCCATTTCTTAAAACGCCTTTTTAAATTTTTTTTCTTTTTTTCTTTTTTTCTTTTGTGTAAATCAACCGCCTCTCATTAAAAACGCCCCTAAACACGTAACCACCATAAGAGCACACTTGGACCGTAGATCTAATATCTAAGCATTCGATCTTGTCCGTCCATTAGTCCTAACCCTCTGTATAAAGTAACGCGTTTGATCTCTTGGGTTTCTCATACCCGCTTTTCTCTATACTTTCATCAAACTTTTGTTCGTGAGTTCGCTAGATTTCTCTGCTATGTTGGCGAATCGGAGTCTTCCCGATGTAGATCGACGCATCTCAGCTCCCGATCTACCGTTCGGCGTCGCATCCGCATAGATCTAACTGCTCCGGTCCGGTTTGATCATGGCTAGAAGACGAATCGTATAGGCGGCGATCTCGGACGATCGCTGGAAGAGCTGGTAAATCACGTCCTCTCGTAGCTGGATCTGACAATTGATTCGTTTAATTCGATTGGATTCCTTGTAATCTTATCTGTTTTCTTGATTTCCGATTCCCAGATCGGAAAAATTCGGCCTGGAGGTTCGTCAGATCTATGATATGCGTTTCGCTATGATGAATTCGTCAACTGTCGATCGGGGAGAGGAGTGATTGAAGAAGAGCGAAGAGTCAGATATGTGGTTTTGATATTGAGTTATGAGTTTGATGGATGTATGAGATGTTTGTTAGGGACGATACAGCCTGGGGATTTTTTGCGAGGCTTGAGTTCTGATTAACATCTTTGTCATCCGACCTTTGCCATGACAGGTGCGCTTGCATGGCAGGTCAAAAAAAATCCTTAATAAAAAAAAAATCGTTTCGTGTTGGTGAGGGGAGTTCGCACGGGGGATTATTTTTGCCCGGGTTCTCCCCTCTCTCTTTGTGTCTTTGCACTCGTTCTCACTCTCTGATTCCTTGATCTCACTCAATTCGCAAAATATCTCAGTACACACAGAAATATTTTGAATTGATCCGGGTCGAATCGAATGGTCAGCGGATCTGGATACAAAAGGAGCAAATATCTAAATCCAACTTCTCTCCATCGAGACTCAAAAGGTACCTTTTCAATTTGAATTTTAATTCTCCGTTTCAGTTATTTTTTCACATCATATACTATAACTCATCTGACTCGCAAGTATTCATTCCCATCAAATCGGCTTCAATTTTCCACATGGAGAGAGTTCTACTTATCATAATTGGCTTCTGACAATATCATATCGGCTATGTATCGATGTTATATATCATTGCTTGTCAATTGTATTCTCCATTATAGCAACGTTCAAAAAGTAAATAATTTTCAGAAACGAAATGGGTTTTATACAGTATTCTCTATTATATTTGTCTACTTTTGCTAGTTATTTGTATGTATGAACAAACAATCATTTTGAGACATTGGTATCCGTTTTATCGTATTTCATAAAGATCAGTCAGTCTATACTTTGCGCTATACTTTCAACATGTTATACTGTATTTAGGATGTCGGTAGAGAGTTGCAAATGGCTTTGATGACATGGATTCCCTCACGGCTTCATTGGGCAAGCAGCCATCAGAAGAAGCTTATGTAAACTTTGAAGCAATGAAGGTATCTAGAACAAGTAACCTGACTATTTTTTTTGTATGATGGCTTTTGGACGAAATTCCATACGGCAGCTCTTGTTTCCTGAGCAAAAGTCTTTTGTTGTTGATAGTTGAAGAAGCCCTTAAATGTTGGACTGATAATATATATCATATGAAGTTAGTTATTATATTATACATACTATATGATGGAATTGATATTTTGAATGAATTTCAGTTTTCATTTCAAGCATTGCTGGTTGTTTTGGGTCTTTACTGTATTAAATATTAATATTTGCCAGATGTTGATTGCTATACATGTTGAAGTTTGATAATCGATGTAATCTAATGGGATATTGGACTTTGCCATTCTCTAGGATATACATCGTGATGGAGAAATGTTGGAGCGAGAATAATTCCTTGGAACTGGGGAAGGTTTGTGTTAATAGTAGATCTGTAACTCAAACGGTAGAGCTCTCGTTATGAGAGGGTGGTGGTTCGAATCCACCCAGATCTGTCTTTCTTTCTACCATTTTTCACCCTTTTTGTATTTATGCTTTCACACTGAAAATTGTAATTTCAAACATGATTATGATTGGGATCAGACCATTATCCTCTGTTTGTTGTTACTGTATTGTCAAGGCAGGCAAAAAAACTACATGGGTTCGAAAAAAAGGACCTCTTTTTGCTTTGGGCAATAGGCATGTGGGAAGTAGGAATTTAATCATCGTTAAAGCAATGGCGTATATTACATAGATATCTCACTAATATGCACTAGTATCTTGATGAAGCTCTTAAATCTCGAGTAATCGTATATTGTAGCAGAAGGAGTTGCAATGTCTGTATGAAAATCTAGCATGCTATGATAGGATTTAGTATTTTGATATAGCAATTTCAGTTTCTATTTATGCATTGATCTTTGATTTAACTTGCAACCTTGATTTATTGTATGACTATGTGACTTGGATTTCAAGCAACTAAGCAAAGTTAACTCAAGTTATACTTCAACATGGTTTATATGCATTGGTTGGGTTTTGGACTGTCATACGAATAATGGATTCATTGTATTAGATCATCACGAATCAAATTTTGGGGGCGGGGGGGGGGGGGGAGCAGCCAAGACTGTTACTAAAATTTTGATGTGGCATCAAAACGATTGACGATATAACTGCTCAACTAATCTTTAATTAACATAATTGATGAGTTGTTTTTCTACCATAACTTTAGAAGAAGAAGAAGAATCGTATTAGTAAACAAAATAATCTTGTTAGGTAGATAAAGCACACAAAAAAGAGAAGAAAGTCCAAAAAAACCAGCATCGGCTAATAATAATAGTTTAAATGTAACGTGTTACTCAAACTGATTTTAAAACAACAAACGTTTTAGTCTCGAGAGACGACCGATCGATAACTAAATATATTTTGGTAGAAGAGATGATAAAAAGTAATAAATTATGAAGCGATAAGGGTCGAATTAACGTCACATGGCGTTATCTTATGAGTGATTTACTTATTGTCGCACTTTCAATGCTGTTGATTTAATCAAAGCCATATCAGCTACGTTTACCGTTTTATTTGAATAAACCCCATCATATGCTTCTGAGACGAATCTTTTTGCTTTTAAATCAATATTTTGATTAAAACGTTACATTTAAACTATTACTAGAATACTATATGTGTTATGTGCAACGTGAAATGATTATTAAGAAAATTTCTTAAAATGATAATTACAGTTTTTTATTAAATAAAATCCAAGATTTGAATCCGTATATTGTCTGTTTCTGGCTATTATGTTAACTATTATAATTTTATGAGACTATTTTTTTTTAGATCTCAATCTATTACAATTGAATAAATTTATGCATATCTTAAATAGTTTTAGAAGTGACATAATTTAGTAACATATTTTTTAAATAGTATTCAAATATACTTAACACATTAAATATATATTTTATGTTAAATTCACTGTGTGTTATCTTATCTGGATTATTATTGTGTACTCTTTTTGAAAGTAAAAATTCTCAACTAAGTTACGATTAATAAATCTGTTTTGAATCGTTTGTTTAGCAATATAAATAAGAATATTTTAATTTTTTTTTGGCAAAGTAATTACTAATTAGTGTTTTACAATAAAAGTATCATAATAAACTAAATAAATTAAAAAGTGAAAAAAAATGTGGACACACATCAACAAAAATGTCTTACCATGCATGCTATTCAATATATAGTAGATTATTAGCAACTAAGCTTGCTTTTCTATATATATAAACCACAACTCTCCTAGTTGTTGACACAAACAAAATACATTACCACATCCACATCTTTTCTAACCTGATATCCCAAGAACGACTTTAAAAAAGATCGAGGGACGGAGAGATGTCGGGAGTGTGGATGTTCAATAATGGCGTCGTTCGGCTAGTGGAGAATCCTGGAGCTGAGATGAACATTGACAAAACGAAACGAAAGGTTCTGGTTTATACTCCAAGCAACGAAGACATAACGTCGTACTCAGATCTGGAACGACATCTATGCGCACTTGGCTGGGAACGTTACCACGGGGATACTACTCTCCTTCAGTTCCACAAAAGATTCACCACTCATCTCATCTCACTTCCTATGGATTTCTCCAGCTTTTCTTCGAATTACATGTATGACATCATCGTCAAGAACCCTAACATGTTCAAAGTCAGGGACATGTAGCCAGATTTTGGCAGTATTCTATTTTACCGGCTCTTGGCCATAATATGGGTTGTGTTGTGTCATGTGTGTTGTCTTGATGTGTATCTCATGGTGTGGTTTGACATGTACTATATATGTCTCTAATAAAAAATGCTTTGTGTTTAAATTGAATGTTGGATCTTGGGATTGGTTCCATATTGAGGATCACTCCCGGAACTATATATTTATGTATAACTATTATGGATCCATATAATCCATATTGTTTTGTATAATGTTGTTAGCTTTTCTTCATCTACAACCACCAGTATTAAATCCCCAAAGTCAATAGATTTTAACAGAATTTTTTCATCCAATAGAATATTATATAAACTATTGGATTATGAAGAAGCTCTTGAATCTTGAGCCAAACCTTGAGTAGTAGTACCACTATGTGCATTAGGATCTTGAAGAAGCTATTGAATCTTGAGCTTTACCTTGAGTAATTGTATGTTGTAGTTGCAATGTTTGCATTACACTCCAGCATGCTATGATTGATCTTTTTAACTTAACATGCAACACTGGTTTACTGTATGATCAACTATGTGACTTGGATCTCAAGCAATTAAGCAAAGCTTGGTCTTAGAAACTCCAAATACTTTAACATGGTTATGTATTGGTTAGGTTTTGGACTGCCAGACGAATAATCGATTACTCAGTAGAAAAGATAATACACAATAACGAACCAAATGAGAGAAAATTGGTTGAAATGGACCAAATGGTGTTTCCATAACTTAACAAGAACAAAAAAAAAATTGCGTTTCCATTCTAATTATGAATTTTCTTAACATGATTTTTTTATCAATGAAAACGTAGAAATGGCTGTAGCTTCTGCCAATAAACTCACATTTTTCTTTTTTGATAGTGAGTTTTCTTCCGCCTTAGTTTTCTTGTGAATAGTTTTATATGTCGTCTTGTGTTTGGTGTGGTGTTGTTGCGATAACCATAAGTACATTCATTCCGTTATGGGCAACAATGAATTTTGGATGTGGCAACAATAACGATTGATGATATGTATCTGCCCAACTAGAAACCTTTTCACTTCATTGATGAGTTGGTTGGTTCGACCTATAAGTAAGAACGATAATCGACTGACGACCAAATTAACTCCATTGAACTCTTTCCTCTCTCTTTCTCTCTCTCTCCCTCTGATTGAAATATCTATAATCAAAGGTGTTCCTCATTGCGTTTTTGCTTTTGCATTCGCATTCTCATTCGCTTAATTACTTCAAATCGTACTTTTTTTTTGTTGTGTTGCTTCGATTTACAGCTTCGAAATGATAACGTTTCCTTGATTTGATTTTTCTATTACAATTCATTTTTTTTTTTTTTGTTTACTGAATATTCAGGACTGTTTTAGTTAGATTCATGCTCAATAATATTGTTTAGAAAAGTTTGATGGAGGAGGTGTTGAAGAATACGTTTTGTTTAACTAGATTTAACTATCTTTTTAAAATGAATTGAACTGATATGTCAGATCTAATAAGTTACTTGGATAAGGAATCATTTATGTCTTGGTATCTTTTGACAAATGGTTTTTATGCTTTTGTAGAAAACAGGATATGTGACTTTCTAGAGAATTTTTCGTATGCGTGAAGAAAATTCAATTAAATTCCTATAAGTTATCTGAATTTGTGCTTCGAGATTGGTTCTTGTACACAAAGAACAACTAAGGGTTATTTGGATTCAGAACTCATCCACACAAGTACTTTAAGCGAAAGGAGCGATGTCCATAGTTATGGAGTGTTGTTCATGGAACTGGTTTCAGGTAAAAAGGCGTTGTATTCAAAATGTTGTTCTTTAACTAAACTGGTCGAAACATTACGTCTTTTCACCTGAGGCGAGTTCTATGAGAATCACTCCCAAAGCTATAGACGTCGCTTTTTCATTGTGTTTGTGTTTGTGTTTGGTGGTGTTGTTAATTGCACTGTGGGCTAATTACGTTGGTGCTTACTGAAATAGGCAGCATCGAACGTTAAAATTTTGATGTGACAACAACAACGACTGATGATGTAAATGCCCAACTAATCTTTAACTTAGTTGATGAGTTGTATTTCGATTATAATTAGTATAAGGAGAATAGTATTAGTAAGCAATATTCATCTGAGAGACGACCCATATCGATAATTTTATATTTTGGTAGAAGAGATGATACATATTAAAAAAACTAATAAATTAAGAAGCGATAAGGGTCCGATTAAACGTCACATGCATTATCTTATGCCATTTAATAATTGTACCACTGTCAATGCTGTTGATTTAATCAAAGCGCTAATTATATAAGTATGTGTACCGTTTAATTTTGAATAAACCACATCATATGCACATGGTTATGTCTCTAAACCGAATCTTTAATGTTTTTTTTATATTGTAAATCAATAATATTTCGAGTAAAACGTTACATTTAAACTATTAGCCGTTACAATTTCTGGACTTTTCTTCTCTTTTTTTTTGGGTTGTCTACCTAACCCATGAAAGTGGTTTGCACATAATGAATTTTAAAAACTACATTTTCTTTCGTAGAAGGTATAACTAGTGAATTCAATAAGTCTTATTAGATCGTGACATAATTAACTATATAAATAGATATAAAAAAAAAGAGAAAGACAGATAAGACTATTTAACGTGAAAGAAGAGGTTAGGATTTTGCAAAATCACCAAATCTTTATCACCGCACGAAATTCGGATCTGTTGTCTTCTTTCTAGTAATCGTTTCAGATCTTATTTAGTTGGTCAAAAGAAAACGCCAAAAACTGAAAATTAATTGTATAAAAATCAAATGAAACAGTATTTATTATAACTACCAATGGGCCTTTCATATATATGATGGGCCCAAATTTGTTAATTTTTGTTTTTTAATTGTTTTAAAGACCACATAAGTTGGTTAAATGTCTGCAAAATCATTTTTCCCACGTTTCTAGCTTTTTAGTCCCTTTGAAGTGGGAATGATACTCGCGTGACGACCAAACACCATTGATCCCTCTCTCTCTTTCTCTCTCGATCACTGATACAAAGATCCGTATTCTCAGGTTAGATTCTCTTTGCGTTTCGATTTTGATTTCGTTTCTTTAAGAATCGTGTTTCTCGATCGTTCCTGTGTCAGTGGAACGATTAAACGCTTCAGTCGACAAATAAATTTCCGTGTGCTTCGTTGATCTGCTTTTAATGACTTTTTTTTTATGGATTTTAACTCTAATTTCATTTTTCCTAATATAAAACGTAATATAAAAAAGTCTTCGAATCAGGAATTTTGTTTTTGTGTGTGTTTATGCTTTTTTTCTAGAAGAACTATTGATTTTTCTTGAGGATTTATCATGTGTGTGAAGAAGATTCAAACTTTGATTATTTACTACTAAGAATTCTTGATCCAGTTTTAGATGTTAGATTTGTGTTCCATTAATTACTATTAATAGCCGATCCAAATTCCTATTGCTGATTCTTGAATCTAAATTAGCTTCTATTGGATCAAAACTCTGTTTTTATTTTTTTGTGAAAATCTGAATCGATTAGTATTATTATAAATGATAATCTTTGACCTTTTATAGGCTTTGAAGCTGTCTCCTTAAAGATTAAAGATTGTTTAATTAAACATGTTCAAGAGAAGTAATGCTCACCAACTCGAGGATGATTCTCAGCAAGATAACAAGGTACAATAATTAGCTCTCTTTTTTTAGTATTAACATAACTAATTTTTACAAAGTGTTTTAGCATTAGTAGTATATACACTTAATAAAAACCTCTACAACAACATTCAGGTTAGCAAATTGAAATCGGCGTTAGGACCACTCTCGGGACATAGTTTAGTTTTCTGCTCTGATGCTTCCTTGAGGAGATATCTGGATGCTCGTAACTGGAATGTAGAAAAAGCCAAGCTAATGATTCAGGAGACTCTTAAATGGAGATCAACATACAAACCTCACGAGATCCGTTGGGTATAAATTATAAAATGTTCAAAACATTCAAAAGATATCTTCATTTCATTTCATGATTCACTCATTACAATCTTCTCTGATACTCTCCAGCATGAAGTAGCACATGAAGGTGAGACTGGGAAAGTTTCAAGAGCTAGTTTCCATGATCGACAAGGTAGGACTGTGCTTATAATGAGACCAGGTTTGCAGGTAATTAAGCAGCTTTATGTAAAAATCTAATTAAATCTAATTAAACCTCTTTTTCTCCAAAGATCAAAAACTCATATGTCTGTTACAAAACAGAACACAACGTCAGCAGAAGGAAATATCCGGCATTTGGTGTATCTTCTTGAAAACGCAATCATAAATCTTCCAAAAGGACAAGAACAAATGTCTTGGCTCATAGATTTTACTGGCTGGTCCATGGCTCATAACGCCCCAATGAAAACAACACGAGACATTATCTACATTCTACAGAACCATTACCCCGAGAGACTCGGCATCTCCTTTCTCTACAATCCTCCAAGACTCTTCCAAGCAGGCTACAAGGTCTCTATAAGAGTCATCATTACACACAGTCATCAAAATTGTCTTTCTTTTATTCTTTTGCTTTAAGAGTCATTCAGTTTAACCTACTCTTCTCCCCTGTAGGCTGTTAAGTACTTCCTGGACCCAAGAACAGCTCAAAAGGTGAAGTTTGTGTACCCTAAAGACAAAACAAGTGATGAAATGATGAGATCACACTTTGATTTGGAGAATCTTCCAAAGGAGTTTGGAGGAGAAGCAACACTAGAGTATGATCATGAGGATTTCTCAAGGCAAATGTTTGAAGACGATGTCAAGACCGCAAAGTTCTGGGGTTTAGAGGAGAAACACTATCCCAAACCAAACGGTTTCTCTGCATCTGATGTTGTTCCTGAGCCGGCTACTTCTCTTGCATCAGTAGCTAGCTGAGAGTTAACTTTACACATAAAACAATAAGAGAAAGAATAAAGGTTTATTCTCATTGTAGAAGAGCCTATAAAAGTGTGCTGTTAAACTTGAAGAATTGTATACAAGTCTTTCCTCTTTTCTATTATTAGTGAGCTAAAGACTTTTCAATGTTCTAATTAGCAGAGGACGTTCCTTGCAACTAAAGTTTATCTCTGTGTGAAAACATTGTAACCATTTGTAATCGCCTGGTGTTTAAAAATTCATGATATGAGAATTATCCTTTTAGTTCTGATGTTTTTTCAAGTTAGTAATGAGATACTGTTCTGATGGATGAAACTTATTGCTCTCGACTATTCTAATGTAACATAGGGATCATATGAAATGAATAACTGAATGAGTTAAATATCTGTATTGAGCTATTATGTCACAATCGGTCCCGTAGCTCAGTTGGTTAGAGCGTTGGTCTTATGAGCCGAAGGTCGCGGGTTCGAGCCCCGCCGGGACCATTTGTCCTAATTAATATTTAAATTTTGCGATTTTTTTTTCTTTTTCTTACCAACGCACGTTCGATTGTGGAAATCGTCTCTGCTCATCTCCAAAGTGAGTTCAAGCTCAGAAATTGAGAGAATCAAATGTTGTAAAAAAAATCGTTTCTTGGTAATTATTTGACTTACGTTCATGATCCTACCGACATTTTGTCAGTTCTGATCCTCTTCATCATTTCCCAGATATTTATCCAATTATTTTTTTTCATTTTTCCTGATTTTCTAATTAGGATTTGAACAACATGAATCCTTGGTGATTCCCAGAAGAACCCAGAAAATTTTCCAAAGGTAGACGAAAGACAATGGTTCACAACGCCTATGATTCCTTTCAGCTTCTCAAGGATTGTCCCGCTCGGATCGATGCTGTTGAATCCTACGGCTCCAAGCTCTTTGCCGGATGCTATGACGGCTCCCTCCGCATTTACTCTCCGGAATCTTCCGGTTCCGATCGCTCTCTTCCCTCGGAGCTGCATCAAGAGTCTTACGTGCTCGAGAACACCGTGACCGGATTCTCTAAGAAACCGATCGTGGCGATGGAGGTTTTGGCTTCGAGAGAGTTGCTCTTGTCTATATCGGAGTCAATCGCGTTTCACGGACTTCCTAATTTGGAGACTGTCGCTGTGATCACCAAAGCTAAAGGCGCCAACGCTTACTCTTGGGACGATCGTCGTGGGTTCCTGTGTTTCTCTAGGCAAAAGAGGGTCTGTGTCTTCAAGCACGACGGTAAAATCTCTCTCAGTTTTTGAATTTGTCTCTTCGCATGTCTACACATTGGAGGATTGAAATTTGGATTCTTGTTGATGAAGAGCTGTTTCTGTTGAATCGGTGGATTGTTCAGGAGGAGGAGGATTTGTAGAGGTGAGAGACTATGGAGTTCCTGATACCGTCAAGTCCATTTCTTGGTGCGGAGAAAACATTTGCTTAGGCATTCGAAAAGAGTATATGATTCTTAACACTGCCAATGGGACACTCTCTGAGGTGTTTCCTTCGGGTAGGGTTGCTCCTCCTCTGGTGATATCTCTACCTTCTGGTGAACTTCTTTTGGGGAAGGTAGGTTTTGTATTTGCTCCGTTTTCTGAATAATTTAATGTGTTTGGTAGGCAACATTGTGGTACCATCTGTTATTTGTTGTGAGTGATAGATATTCTTAGACTTTAAGATGTTTTGGAGTGTTGTTTGATCAGTTTCTTCTCGTACTTGTAGGAGAACATTGGAGTTTTTGTTGATCAAAATGGAAAGCTACTTCAGACAGAGAGAATTTGCTGGTCAGAGGCTCCAACGGCTATTGTCATTCAAAACCCGTATGCAATAGCCTTGTTGCCTCGACGAGTTGAGGTAGATAAAGTTCTGCATAACGTAATGCCAGAGTCTGCTTCTCTTCACATTTCTAGAATCCTTTTATGCGCTTATGCTTCTTTTGTTTGGCTTTTTCTTGATAGGTTCGCTTGCTACGAAGCCCCTATCCTTTAATACAGACAATTGTTCTCCAAAATATCCGTCGTCTTGTCAGGAGCAACAATGCTGTGATTGTTGGTTTGGATAACTCTGTTCATGTTCTCTTCCCTGTTTCTATCGGTGCCCAGGTATTCACTTTTGTCTTTTACCTCACATGATACTATTTCAAGTTGCTCTTTTTTCACCTACCATGTATCCTCTACATGGCAATGTAGAATGGCTTTGCTTCAGCTCCTAGGAGATGTTTTTGAATTTTTTTGAGAAAGTTGAGTGTCATCGCAGATTGTGCAATTAACAGCTTCTGGAAACTTTGAGGAAGCCTTAGCTCTATGCAAGTTACTCCCCCCTGAAGAGTCAAGCCTAAGAGCTGCGAAAGAGAGTTCAATTCATACAAGGTGTTTAAAGCTAGAACTTCAGTATTTACGCATTAGTGGCAATGTGCAGTTCCATGGGAATATTCATGTTCATATTCGTTGTCTCTTTATCATGATACAGATTTGCTCATTATCTTTTTGAGAACGGGAGCTATGAGGAAGCCATGGAACACTTCCTGGCATCTCAAGTAGATATCACGCATGTACTCTCCATGTATCCATCTATTATTCTTCCTAAAACAACAATGATTCCTCAACCAGATAAGATGGTGGACATTTCTGGGGATGAAGCATCTCTGTCAAGAGGTTCATCCGGCATTTCCGATGATATGGAGTCTTCATCTCCTAGATATTTTGTGGAATCTGAAGATAATGAAGCCCTTGAATCTAAGAAAATGAGCCACAACACTCTGATGGCTCTTATAAAGTACTTGCAGAAGAAGAGACCAGGTATTATCGAGAAGGCCACTTCTGAAGGAACAGAAGAGGTCATTTCGGATGCTGTTGGCAAAACTTATGGAGCATATGATTCTTCCAAGTCTAAGAAGTCCAACAAGGTAATAGCTGATTGATGACTACTTGAATAATAACTTTTTGCTGAGGGTTGAACAACTTTTTTCTGCAGGGACGTGGTACGATCCCGCTTAATTCAGGTGCCAGGGAGATGGCGGCAATACTTGATACAGCTCTTCTCCAAGCACTTCTACACACAGGCCAGTCTGGAGCTGCTATAGAATTATTGAAGGGTGTCAACTACTGTGACGTAAAGATTTGTGAGGAGATTCTCATGAAAAGTAAAAATTATTCTGCACTACTAGAATTGTTCAAGAGCAATTCGATGCACCATGAAGCCCTTAAGCTTCTTAATCAGCTATCTGAAGAGTCCAAATCAAACCAGTCACAAACTGAAGTTACGCAGATATTTAGTCCTGAGTTGATCATTGAATATCTCAAGGCAGGTTTTCTCGGTGCTAACATTTTGTCTTGTATATCTTTAGATTCTTAACTGAAGATAACTTGGTCTACATTTTTTCATGTTGAAGTCGAGTATTCCTAGAAACAATTGTGACATGCTAACTGTTTGTTGGTGGGTTTCTCTTTGTAGCCTCTCTGCAGGACTGATCCTATGCTTGTCTTGGAGTACTCTATGCTTGTCCTGGAAAGCTGTCCAACACAAACCATCGATCTATTTTTGTCTGGAAATATCTCGGCTGACCTTGTCAATTCGTATCTGAAGAAGCATGCTCCAAATATGCAGGGTAGATATTTAGAACTTATGATGGCAATGAATGAAAGCGCAGTTTCTGGAAATCTTCAAAACGAGATGGTGAGGAAATAGCACTTATGGGAAGCATTTTCTTTGAGCTTGGATGACATAAGCAGTACATAATGCTGGCAGTAACAATTTGAATGATGTTACAGGTACAAATCTACCTTTCCGAAGTGCTTGACTTGCATGCTGCAAAAAGCGCACAGCAGGAATGGGATGACAAGGATCATCCTCCCGAAAGGAAAAAACTATTGTCTGCGTTAGAGAGCATCTCCGGATATAATCCACAGACTTTGCTGAAGCGTCTTCCACGTGATTCTCTCTATGAAGAGCGTGCAGTTATATTGGGCAAAATGAATCAACATGAGCTTGCTTTGTCGATCTACGTTCATAAGGTACCGATCAATAATCTTCTCGGGTACCAAATATCATTAATATCCTTCACCAAATAATCTTCTAAATGTTGGCTAGTTGTGTTGTCTAGATAATTATATCATTGTATAGATAAGTATATTGTGAAACTGTGTAGAATTCAGATATCCGTGGATTCTTGGAGTGTTGCTTATGGCTTGAGTCGTTGGTTTTTTTTATCTTATAGCTTCATGCACCTGATCTGGCGCTGGCTTACTGTGATCGTATATATGAGTCTGTTACTTATCTACCATCTGGAAAACCGTCAAGCAACATCTACCTCACACTGCTGCAAATATACCTGAATCCCAAGAAAAGCGCAAAGGACTTTGCAAAACGTATTGTAGCTCTAGGATCATTCGAAAGTTCAGACACCGCGAAGATGATGGAGTCTGTTTTGTCTTCAAAAGCTAAAGGAGGCCGATTCAAGAAAATTGTTTCAATAGAAGGTGCTGAAGATATGCGAGCTGGTCTCAGTAGCAGCACTGACAGTGGAAGAAGCGACGTTGATGCTGAAGAACCCATGGAAGAAGGAAACTCCACCGTTATGATTTCTGAAGTTCTTGATCTGTTGAGCCACAGATGGGAAAGGATCAACGGTGCACAAGCACTCAAGCTTTTACCTAGAGAAACTAAACTCCAGGTAAATGTTTTCAATCTGACTTGTGTTATGATCGTCCCTTCTTATATTTCCTCAAATATCTACTGCTTAATAGCATCTTATTGAAGTTGACCCAATCTGTTTCCAATTCCTGCAGAACCTGCTTCCGTTTCTTGCACCCCTTCTAAGAAATTCAAGTGAAGCACACAGGAACTTTTCAGTCATCAAGAGTTTGAGGCAGAGTGAAAACTTACAGGTATGTTTGTGTTCTGTGATGTTGAATCATAAACCCTTAGGTTGATGTTATTGGTAACAGAGCAAATTCATGTTGAAACAAATAGGTGAAAGAGGAACTGTACAAACATAGGAAAGGAGTGGCGCAAGTAACAAGCGAGAGCATGTGTTCATTGTGCAACAAGAAGATCGGGACAAGCGTCTTTGCTGTTTATCCCAACGGGAAAACGTTAGTTCACTTTGTGTGCTTCAAAGATTCTCAAGGCATGAAAGCTGTTTCTAAGACATCACATGGGAGAAGACGATGAGATGATCATTACAGTAACAAAGACAACAGGTTTCAGACACTAAGCCACCTTTCTTTCGACAACTCCCAAGTGCAATTAAAGAAGAAGCTCGTTTCCTTGTTTGTCAGTTTGTAGAGTTTTTTAAGCTTATTCTTTTTGGTTTTGTGTTTGGTTGAAAATGATGGTCTTGAGAAAACCAGTTTCTTGTTGTAAAATCCGTTTTGGTTGGAAGATAATTTATAAAATGATTTTGCGTGTTTGCTATATTAGACAACATACTAAAACTTCTTACAGCCATGATGGAAATTTGGTTTGTTCATCTTGATAATAAACAAACAAAAAAGTCAATAAAAGAAGTGATGTGTCCTCATCAAAATTGATAAACATTTTCAGTTCTGATCGATCAGATAATATCAGTTACGTAAAAAAAAACAATACAGTGAAACAAAATACAAAATTTCCCCGAGGATGAAGCCTTGAGTAAAAAATACATTACGATTTCTTCTTTCTCTTGGTCTTAAACCCCTTTAAAACTCTTGTAGAGTTATAACCTTTTTACTCAAAACAAGAAAGCTTTAGAGAAGGCGTGGAGGCTTGAGCAAGTATATATCTCTAACAAACCCTTTACCCATTTCGCCTACTGCCTTTAACATCTCCATTGGATTAGTTTCCACTTCCTCTTCATCTCGTTCTCGTTTCTGCAATCAAACATCACACATGTGCTTAGATTTAACCTTGTTTTTCTTCTTAATTTTATTTAAAGAAAGACATCAGAAGTTTTGCTTTTTACCTTTGAATTGTGTTTAGTCCACGTTAAACCAATCGCGTCGCCTCCTATATGATCATACCACGGCTTTAACGTCCCAAATTCTTCCTGCACACAGCCACAAAAGCTAAGAATCCCGAGAAAGCTTGTTTTCTTTGACGATGTAAACTGAATAACTTTGAAAGTTTTTGTTTTGTTAGAACACTTGCCTGCAACCCACTCATGAAGCATTTGGTCGGCTCAAAATCCACCATTAACTTATTCTTAAGCGCCTCATTGCTTCTCTTTAAATCTCCAGGCAACAAAAAAGGGTTAAACGCTGTACTCGCCTTTCCACGTGCTACATGCTTCCCTGTTCAAATCATTGGTAGAGTATATTAATTTATGGAATCAACGATAGAAACCTAAGAACGAGAGACAGAGAGCCATGACTGGGACCTTTATTAAGTTCTGACGGAAACAAAAGACGACGCGGGTATGGTAATTTGTCTCTATGGAGAAGAATAACTGCGTCATAGTTGTTCAAGGGTGTCCTGAAAAGGCACTGCAACATGTATATATGTATGCACTTTATATTAGTAAACATTATATTAATGATCTTGTAATATCATCCCAATGCAATCTCACTCACCTCCCATTGAACAGAATCATTATGTTCTTGCAATACCAGCTTGCTTAACACGTTTGCGCTGCTTCGAGCATAAGCAGCCAACCTTTTTTGTTCCTGTAACAAAGTATATAGTAAAGTTGAGTTAAAACAAGACGAGAAATACAGAGCGGTGCTCCAGATGTGCTTTCAAAAGCTTATTCTAATTACTAACCGGTAAATTTGGTGAAGTTGTTGTCCATGCCTCTGATGCCTTGTCGTAAGGAGCAGCCAAGAACATGGCTGAACTTATGTTTTGTCTGTCCTGTTCGTAACCCTTTCTACTTGACATGAAGTTATCCTACAAAAAACATAAAGCATTTACACATGGCAGTCCTAACAAATCTAGCTCAACATTTAGACCCGTTATAAAACATGGCACTCACATTGATCTCCTTCTCGTCATTTCTGCCAAAGTCGTTGTTTATGTCAACAATCAACGGATAGAACATCCAGTCATAGTCTGCTAGTAATCGCAGAAACCTGTTACACAGTCCAGCGAATGTACCGTTTTAATTGTTTCCAACACAATTACTTGATTGTTTTCAATAAAATCGAATAGTATGGTGGCGGAAAGAAACCTTAGGAATCCGTTAATGCGGGAGCAAGGAACACCAAGTGGGAGAGGTGTGAGGAAGACATGAGCAACCAAAAGTTCGATGGCCTCTTCTGCTAGGCAACCAGAAAAGAGATGCGCAGCAACCCATCTTTTTGCAAGCCTTAAGGTAGCAGACAAGGTATGGGGTTATGAAACTTCAAAGTAAAAAAATAAAAGTAAACACATGAAGTTTACCGCCTTTTACCTTGCAACTGGTGCATATGTAGGAAATCGACCTTGCAAACCATTGATCATGCTTGCATGTTGACTGCGAAAGAAGAGCATTTTATCGGTAAAGGAAACCTGCCTCACCGGATCGGCTCCAGCTGCAATTCAGTAGAAGCTCAGGAAGTCAAAAATCACATAGGCTTTCTATTCAGAAATAGAAGATATTATGAGTGCGAGAGAAGAAATCTCACTATCTCTCTTCACCAAATTCAGGCCTCTTTCATGCAAAATTCTCAGGCGAAATGCGTAACCACCTATGAAAACATCGACATTATCCTCAGTAGCTGTGCATGGTATTCCCTCAATGTTCTGCAGGCTGTCAGTAATATCATTTGTAAGAATTTCGATTAGAAACTATGACTTAATAGTATGAAGTGTTTCTAAAAGCAGTTTAACCTACTTCTCTGCAATTTTAAGGAGGAAGGCAGATTTTGTTTTCTCAATTGCCAACTCATCCATGGGCCAGTTACCAGAACCTTCTAGCTGCGAGAATAGACAAAAACTGAGGCGTTTAGATAACTAACACACACCAAGTATATACGCTATTAATCATCTGAAGAACTGATCTCACCTGAATCATGACCTCCATTGTTGGTATGCAAGAGGGCATAAGTTTATGTAGTCTTCGCACATCAATTTTTTCATAAGCCACAGGGTGAGGTTCAGGAGGGAACACAGATGTGAACCTGAGAGCTGACAAGTCACGAGGAACATTATATATGAAAAATCACAGATACTGCAAACACCAGTACACACTTGTTTTTGCTCAAAGCTCAGTGCAAAAGAGAACTACAGGAAACAAACCTGAGTCTAAAGGCTGAACGCTAGAAACCTTTAAAGGAATGCCTTCAATCTGACGCAAGCACTTTGAGAAAATCTCATAGGCTTGAAGCAAATTTCCAGATGTAGATATTGGGTCTGAGACATAACAGCATTATTGCAGAATTAGATTGCAACCATAATGGAAGACATGCGCAATGCAGAGAGAGAAGAAGTGAAAAGGTTCAAATGAGTTAAGCAATACCTTTATCCCCATAGATCAGAGAGAAGTCAAGTTGATCCACTAATTGTACAATGTCATCGGACGAGAGTGAAAGATGCCGCTTAAATATATATTCAATCATTTGTTTCATGATAAGATGTTTTGTCCACTGCTGAGTCTCCCACACTAAGATAATGAAATAGGCAATAATCAGCTTGCATTAACTTGAAACTTCTTTGTTGACCTCGGTCAATAAGCATGTATTGATAACACACCTGTGCTTTCCGCAATTCTTCCATCTTTAAACCTCCTTAGCTCAGACTTCTCCCCCCAAAACTTTCGGAACCTGAGTGCCTACAAAAATATATAAGATTTAGTACGAGTACGACCCAAGGAGACAAGGATGATAAAGAGATCTTGATGTACATACCTCTATCTTGTTTTCAGCATCTGGCCCGATATCGACTGTTCTAAAAGCATTTTCGATGGAGCTGATAGAAATGCCAATAAAAAGTGGTTCTCTGTCAAAAACTGACAAGCCCTGTTTCAAAGACGGTTAAAACTGTTAAGAAAACGTGCCCATTGTAGACGAAATGGAAATTATAATTCATAATCTGAAAAAACGTACACTCTCTACATGCCAATCTTCATTGGTATTTCTCCAAACAACACGGATTGATTTTGCTCTGTCACCTAGTCCTTGTTGCAGCAGGCTATGCACTTTCTGCTCACAGGTTCTCCAACACTCATTGTCCAAACAAAACCCTGACATAGACGCTGCTGTTTTCCCTTTTAGGTGTAACCTAAGAGAACTCATATGTTAGGATTGCTAATTGGAAAGGGAACAAACTAGCACAGGAAAGAAAAAACTAAAAATACTTAATTAAGTTGATTATATTATAGAAAAAAGAAAACACTATCAATAATTCAAATATCCAGCTATTTTGAGCTTGAAGCAGTGGAGTTGAGTACGAACAGGTGAAAAAAATTCCCTATCTAAAATTTGAAAATCTCATACTTCCACATGCACGAAACACTTTGACAAAAGTAAGAACATAACCCCATTCCCATCCCTAACAACAAAAGCAGATATCAATCAAGAGAAGTGAGAAGCAAAGCTTACCTTATGCAATGGTCATACTTAACAGGATAGTCGATCTTAGTCATAAAAACCTCCTCGAATCCTCCATCTCTGAGTTTCATACATTTAAGCGTAGAAGAAACCTCATCTTGGAGCTGTGCTGACCAACAAACAGATTACATGAACGATTCACAAAGGCCACAGCCTTGGATAAAAAATCAGAAAAGCGACAATATTGAGTTAAGAGTTCTCTCCAGTATAAGGTACCTCGTGAAATCCAACACTGGTCATCCGGAAAGCCAAATTCACAAGTGTAGATGAATCACATATTACAACAGGAAATAACTCTCTGAATTGCATTTTCTCCTGAAATTTAAGGGCTCATAATCAGTAAATCACAGAAGCAGAGAACACGACATCTATGTGCACACTTGATCAATTCTTCGTTAATAAATACTTGCAGTACTATAATACTATTAATCAAGAAACTCTAGTCCAAATCGAAAACTTGAATGTCATACACGCAAATGCTAGTGCTACATATGGGTTTTTCCAACAGTATTAAGACTTCCATTTGTAGTCTTCCGAATACCACAAGAGGCCTTATAGGCTCAAGCTATACACCACAATGACACTATAGACCAGTGGATTTTCTCTCTGGCTGTTTCAGCAGAAAATGAACCCAAATAGCAACAAAAATAAAACAGAGTGGTAGGCAAATAAAAAACACACCTCCTTTGAGACACGGTTTTCACTCTGTGGCGGGAAAAATAGACCCCTTTCCCATAATTTTGAAGTGGCTGCCAAATAGGATTAACAAATTTTGGTTATCAATGTCGCAGAATCAAATAGATACAAAAGCAGCAAATAGACTTTAGCTGCATAATCATACCTATGAAATTCAGTGTCACCCTAAATATGTCCAATGCGCTTAGTGGCTTGTTAATTTTGCCATGTGTTGCAAGGTATGATAGTATCACAGAGATTAGATACCCATTCAAGCAATCATGGACGTATATCGAGCTCCTTTGTCTAGCCCATATCTGCACACGACCAAAGACGTTTAAGGACTCCAATATACACAGAGCAACAACAACACATGTCTAACTATCCATACCTTCAGCAATATCAAAGCATCACCCAACTCCTTCCATTCTGAGAAAGTTTTCTTGAGAAGCTCAGAATTTTCCTCCAGAAACATGTCCTCCAATATGCTTGAGTTGTAAGTCGGTGTGGGCTGAGGGACACCATCTTCACCATCAAGACAAATCAGAATATCAATAAACTGGTGTCTCAAATTCTCAATACATTTATCATGTAGAATTCAACAGTCTTGAAACAAACCGCATTACCTCCACTTAAAGAACGGACGTTGTTTCTGCTCATACTCAACTTTGCAACATTAAACAGTGATGTTGCTGAAGGGATTATTCTCACGGAAAAACCAGGAAACTGATCAAGTTTCTTAGCTGCAAACACATTCTCAACGTAAATACATTGTCCGTTGATAAAAAAACTGCTCTCTTGAGCGAAAAAAACAACACAACAAGAGCACACCTACCTGGGAAAACAACTAGGACTGGCTTCCTGGCCTCGTTCTGTAAAGTCGACCACTCAACCTTCTCAACGGACGATGATGACAACAACTGCTTTCTAATGGCACAAAGATATAGACATCTTTTGGCATGGTATCGATGATTCATGTAATCCTTCTCATAGAAACATTCCTGCAAGCACCCTTCCATGGTTACATATCCGAGGGACACCCACAACATCGACGATTCTAAAATTTCGAATTGAGCAATAGAAAGTAACCTTGGGCAAGTGGACAAGAAGATCAACACAAGCATCCGGCTTAGCCATGCTACGAGTGGAGTAGCTGCCGCAGAGACTGAAACCATTTGGCTTCTTAAAACTGAACTCCACTTTATCAGCCCCAATGTCTTCAACGAAACTGGGAGCTAGCTCTGAAGTAACCTATGGATTTAGAGTTTTTCAATTGTCACAAAAGCTCAATTTTTTTTCAAATTTCCAGCGAACATTGACATATTATGCCCAACACGGACGCGGAATTGGAAGATAAGGACAGAAAAGGCAAACCTACCTTAGAATCCTCAGGGGTTGCATCAATAGCTATTCTAATCGACGAAACGAAATCGTCCACAGGCTTGCTGAGAGAACCGTAGTCTATTCGAATGTCTTTTAACAAGTCGTTCACTTTCAGATTACGAGAGTCTGTCAAAGCGTCTGCCTCCATCTTGACGAGATTCTCGGCGACTAAGGGTTCAAGAGAAGAAAAAAAATCCTTGAAATTTTATATTTTGAAAGAAAAGGTTCTGTAATTAGGGTTTTGCGTCTGAGCGAGGAAGAAGAAGAACTCAGTGCTTAAACCCTTTGCTGATTGTTAGTTTTCATTCTTTCCTCTCATTCTAAACGCCGTCGTTCTAGCGTATCATTACACGACGTCGTTTTAGTAAATTATGCTAAATCGGCCCAACGTAAGCCTTAATGATCAAGTTCAATAATAAAGTGGTTTTGGGTTAGCTTTTTAGATGTTGGGTTGGGCTTGGGTTATTTAAATAAAGGCCCATTTCGTTTTTTAATCCAAATGTGATGCTCAAATATTTGTTCACATTATAATCAGCATCTACAAATGCTACTACATTTTGAATACAAATATCTTAAAAATCTGGATATTTAGGATGTTAAAATAGACATTGCAATGTGATATAATTACTTACTTATGAATCAGATGTAGACGAAAAGGTATAGATCATTATAATAAGACTAGAAGTCACGTGACTGAAGAGACATGACAAAGTAGAGTGAAATTACAAAGTCGAACACTTAGTGTCTTGGGGTAATCGTTAGGTTTCGTGTTCCACGAAGCATAAGTGTTGTGTATGTGTGTGAGAGAGAGAGAGAAGCATCTTTTGGGAAAGCGGTGTGGTCGTCTCAATTGAACAAAAAAACACCAATCTCAAGAACCGATCCGATTCTCTTTGTTCCCTCTCTCTCTGGGTTTCTTGGTGTTCTTTAAATCTTTATATTTATACATATATATACTCCTCCCGGTTATACGTATTTTTGTCCGTTCATGTTTGGCGGCACACGTCCTCCAACATTATTATTGTATAATTAATCTCAAAACTCTGTTGATTTTTTGTTCCTTAAACAAGTGTAAACTATAATAAACTCAGTACATGACATTGCACTTATATATGTCAAAAGTTCCACGTCGTAAATAAGATGCAAATCTTAGATATTACTACTGTAATATACAAAGGACATAAGTTAATTTGTCGACTGATCTTTTAATTGAAATTCTTGCAAAAAATAATATGGTACATTAAGAGTTAAACTCGTGTTAGTCTAATCCGAACCTTTTGACTCAAATGGTTTTCAGCTTAAGATCATCAAACTCATGCGTCTTGTAAAACTCTCTATTTATCGTTTTATACAAAATTAACTCACGTCCTTAATTCAGACAACTAACTCATGTCCTTATAATTTCATACGAAATCATACTTTATGGAAAGCAAAAAAACGACAACATAAGTAGATCTGTTCTTGGAGATAACGTGACTTCTTAAACTGATACAGAAATAGAAAAAAAAAAAGACAAAAAAATGATAAAGAAAATAAGAGTTTAGAGAGCTACAGAGAGTACTCATTTGATGAATTGATGGGTTCATTCTCTTTGTAGCTTTTATATTTAATATTTTAAAATTTGAGTTTGGAGTTTGCTTCTTTGACTGATCAATAGAGAATCTATCTCTCACCAAGCTAGAGAAAGAACACAATGTTATTGCTTTTAAATCATTGAAAGTATCTCATTTGGGTCCGTCACCTTTACCTTTATTCCCTTTTATTTCGCTTCTAACTTGAGCATTGGCTCTTTTAATTTATCCTTAACTCCTTAAAAGCACCGATATCGACTATTAAGATCTTTCATGCACTGGCGATGGTAATGTACAAAGGCATTCAAAACTGGCAACGATTAAAGTCTGTGATTATCATACTTATTGGCAATCACTAAATAGATCAATCTCTCTTTAACGGTAGTTACAAAAGAAAGCTTTATTTGGACGATGTAAACATTGGTCCAGGAGTCTTAATCACACATTAGAATGCGTGATACAGCATAACTTAATTAGTGCGGTGAACGTTATCACTCACCATCACGACATATATAAAAAGGAATACAAAGACACTGACTCATGCATATATGAGAGTATTACACGTCGACTTGGTGAAGCAAACGATGACGTGTGGAAGAAGGGGAGTAAGAGATTCGGAGAGAGAGAGAGGGCATGGAGATGATCGTTGATCGTTGATCGTTGATCGTTGATCGTGATCGGAGAGAGACCAGATCCTTAGAAGACCGTGACATCCCCCAGTCACGTGGTCCTCTTTTGACTACATTCTCTCCCACTTTAATATGTAGATTGCACTTGTCATTATTATTACTTACTTTTATTACGATTTAAATATTTGACAAACTCTTTTTAATTTATTTAAACACTGTAGTTTGCTTAGCAGAGTTAAACAACATGTCGTCCGTACAAAAAGTATTGTTTTAGAGTTGTATTAATATATATACATTGTTTCACATTAAACATGTAAATCTTTCTAATTTTTTTAATTTCATTTACTGTCATTTACTTAGTGGTATATTACATAGAAGCATATTTTTGTAATTTTTTCTTAAAGTTGTGTGACATCGAAATAACAAGATGTGACAATATATATCTATGAAACAAAATAAACACGTAAAGTGAAATAGATAGAAGACCTCATGAATTGATAATTAATTAGTTTGCTACGTTAAAGACCAAAAGCGTTTTATAGGTAAAAGCTCTGTTTTGTACACCATTTATAAGAAAATCACTTAACTAAACCGGTGAAAACTGATAAAAGAACTGCTAAACCAACAATTAATTGAGCACTGTCATTGTTTGGATCACCAACCAGACAAGACCCAACACATATTTAGGATATTCATTGCAACATCTTTTTAGACAAATTAAAGGAGCAAACACATGTAAACCCAAAGAAGAAAAGAAAAACAATGGATTCACTCATATTTACAAATATAGCACCGGGACCAAATTTTGCTCTTTTTGTCGAGTTCCCAAAGCTCTATAAATACTCTCCTGCCTCCACTTCATAGATAACAGCAACGTGGACTCCTCTGTTTTTAGCTGACTCCTCTTTCACCGTTTCCTAATTATAAACCACAAACAAAATACACACACGCCTCTCATCTCTATCTCTTATTTCTCAAAACACGATTGACTTCTAGGGTTTCCAAGATCAAACTAAAACATACCTTCGTTGAACGATGGGTTTCTCAATGTTGTTCTCTTCCGAAAACGACGTCGTCCATCACTCCTCTCCTTATGCTTCTGTTGACTGCACTCTCTCACTTGGAACTCCCTCCACTCGTCTCTGTAATGACGACGATGAGCGTAGATTCTCTTCTCATTCCACCAAGTCCTTAGGCTGGGACTTCTTGCACGGTGCCAAGAAAGGCGGTGGCGGCGGAAATAACATCCTCGCTCGCCGTTGCGCTAATTGCGACACCACTTCTACTCCTCTTTGGAGAAACGGTCCAAGAGGCCCCAAGGTAAATTTTCTCGAACCAAATATTGAAACAAATAAATTTACTCATGTTTCCAATACCGAAACTCGAAAGCAGAACTTTGAAGATACATATATTACAGCAAATAAACAAATAAATTTTAGTCACGTTTACATCGAATATATATATTCCATCTTTATTCTATAAAAAAAAAGTTAGTATCCGATTAATGACTTGATGATTTTTGATTTGTTCAGTCATTGTGTAATGCGTGTGGAATCCGATTCAAGAAGGAAGAGAGACGTGCGTCGACGGCCGGAAACTCCACTTCCGGCGGAGGATCAACAGCGGTTGGAGTTCCAACGTCGGATCATCGCGGAGGTGCAAATTATTATTATAATAGCAATACTAATAATAATCATTATGCTGCATCGTCGCCCTGGATTCACCACCACCAGCAAAATGCGCAAAGAGTTCCTTATTACTCGCCGGCGAATAACGAATATTCTTTCGTTGATGACGTCAGAGACGATAATCATGACGTCACCGCCGACCCGTTCTTGTCGTGGAGGCTTAACGTCGCCGACAGGACTAGCCTTGTCCACGATTTTACGATGTGATAAATGATCGTATCATAGATTTTCCCCTTAAAAGTTTAGCCTTGGATACCTTTTTAACAGAAAAACAAACAAAAGAATCTTAAGCCTTGGCCAAATTCTTTAATTTTACTTTCTTTACATATATATATTGAATGTTTTATTTTCAGGGGTTTTGTATAAGTTTTTTTTTTTAATTTAATTTTTTTATGAAGCTACTTGTGTTTTCTTTTCATGACTTTATTAATGTTCTCGGGTAATGAACTAATGATAGTTAGTTACTTTATAACCTTTTCATGACGTGTGTCCTACTTTGACCATGATTCAAGATATTATACATATATGTCTTCCTCTTGAGTCCTTTTTTACGTATCATCTTACACGTCTAATCTTATTCAAAGCATGGAAGGGAAAACAACATTTTAATCGAGAGTTAGAGAGTGATCCCAAAATACATACATAAGAGTATCTGTTGGGAAGCCGAATGCATCATTCAATTTGTTGTCAAACTCAATTCGAAAAAATCGACACACATATGTATATATAAAATAATTGAAAACAAACGTAGACTTTTTGTTATCAACAAAAAATGTCTACAATTTTCATTTAAATGTTAAGAAGAAGTTGCATTATCATCTCTTCTACTTTAATGTTTTAATACCCCATTAGCTAACTGGTTGTTTTAACTGATTGTTTAATCACTGGCTGAGAGTCTAAGACCCCCAAAAGATAATATCTTTAAGTACTGGCCGTTTGTACTAACTTTCTTATATACTTTCGATTAATATGATTGAAACATAGGATTCCACTAAAACATTGTGAGTTCATGCATGCATATATATAAGAAAAATTCTGTTGAACCATAATTTTTGTATCTTACGCATGCAAGCAGATTTTAGGCAATCAATTAAATCTTCAAAGTCAACATCTTATTTAATCATACATAATGAAATAAAAATACCAAAAAATTAATCAATTAATGCTAATCTACTGATTTCTTCCATTACTCAGTCGAAATCATCACTCGAATTCTAATTGATGTACTCATTTTAGGTTTTTATAATATTATTATTATTATTATTATTAAAAAGGATCTGTTTATATGACAAATATGGCAGTTGCAGTTTCTACTTTCTAGAAGTGGCTGATTATATTAGAAAAAAGAAAACAAATTAGATGAACAAAGATAACAACCCAACACCAAACACATTTTAATAAATACCAAACCCAATTTTACAAGTTCCGTTAAAGAAAAAGAAAAACAAACATTATATAATGATGCTTCGCATTTGATCCTTTCGGACTTCACACAACTCTCCACGAATAAACAGGGGAACTTAAGAGAGTAGCACAATGGTGAACTTGGTCGAGGCACAAAAGCCATTGTTGTACGGTCTCATGAAAATGGCCGGTGTCGTTCCCTACACATTAGAGATCGAACCAGGGACAAAGATGAACTTTTGGGTTCCCAAAGAAACCCTCAAGAAGAAATCCCGTACCGAAAAACCAACAAAACCCGATAAACCAACCAAACCGGCCGTCTTGTTAATCCACGGCTTCGCCGCCGAAGGAATCGTGACGTGGCAGTTCCAAGTCGGTGCATTATCCAAGAAATACTCGGTTTACATACCGGACCTCCTCTTTTTCGGTGGGTCTTACTCGGACAACTTGGACCGATCTCCGGCGTTTCAAGCCAACTGTTTGGTCAAGGGGCTTCGTATCCTTGGCGTGGATAAGTTTGTTCCCATAGGATTTAGCTACGGTGGCATGGTGGCTTTCAAGATCGCCGAGGCTTACCCGGACATGGTTAGAGCTATGGTTGTGTCCGGCTCGATACACGCGATGACCGACACGATTAGTGAGGAGAGCTTGAACCGGTTAGGGTTTAGTTCTTCGAAGGATCTCTTGTTACCGACTTCGGTTAAGGGACTTAAGGCCCTCTTCACCATTGCTGTGCATAAACCCTTGTGGTTTCCTAAACGATTGTTCAAGGACTTCATTAAGGTATCTAATTAGTGCCCAAAGTTAATTCATTTTCCTTTACGTGAATATAACTAATATTAACGTATAACTGATACCCCGTGTAGATTTTTAGCAGGCATATATTTAGGCAAAACTGTAAATTATATTTTGGTCTTTCTGCGATTCTACAAGATTAAACATTTTTGAAATCAAACAAATATTTTTTTTGTTGGTTTCGCTGTCAATCCATTCGTTTATTATTTTATTTTCCACCCTTATCACATTGTTCAGACACATCTTCTTAATTAGGGATAAATATTTTCTAGTGTCGCAAGAATATATAACTAAATACACATATTCATATACATCACATTTTCTTCTATGGGTGATTGTGAGAGTTAGGTGGAACTCGCGAAGCATATTGCCTCTTTATATAAAATCTCCGAATTTGGTGTCTAAGAAAATATTTATTAATTATGTTTACTCAGTTTTCAGAAAAATATAATTTCGATTGTTACTTTCTGAGTTAGTATTTCTCGATTTAACCTTTATTTGAAAATAAATTTGAACTTAATATATTCTGGTCATTCTAATTTGTTCGCCTAACATTGTCTAAAAGAAAATGACAAACAAAATAGATTATCGATAAATATCCATAAATGGCAGCTTTTTTTTTTTGGTCCAACAAATGGCAGCTTATATATAAAATATGATATGGTAGTTTAGATATAATTTTTTCAACCACTCTCAACCAAGTCTCGTATATGGGTAGGTAAAAAAATTATTCTACCACTGGTTAGTGTTTTATTTAGCTAGAATTGCTGTTATTTATGTTCTTAATTATTGTAAGAAATTTAGTTGGAAAAGAAATATTATTAATTAATAGTAAGAACGTATGGCTCAAAATTCTGTTTTATTGGTGAAATTGGTAGGTAATGTTCAACAACAGGAAAGAAAGAGCTGAACTGTTAGAGGCTGTTGTCGTCGGCAACAAGGATGCGACAATCCCTCATTTCCCACAGGTACGCATAGATAAATGTCCACATCCGTATATATGTATACGTTTTATCCATCGATTCCGTTGAAAATTGGAAAAATTTAAAGAAACCAATCAATCTATTTTCTATTAATCTTTAATGATTACTATTGTTTAGACTTTATCTATTAATTTGTTCCGTGTGCATGCAGAAGATACATCTCTTGTGGGGTGAAAGTGATCAAATATTTGACCTCAAGCTAGCTAAAAACATGAAAGAGTAAGTTTGGAGATAGTAAAATCAGTATTTTTTCAACCATTTGAAATGATTTTTTTTTTCCTAAATTTTGCCGTTGTTTAATTTTCAGACAATTAGGGGAGAAAGCTACAATAGATAGCATAAAGAAGGCAGGTCATTTGGTTCAATTGGAAAGACCTTGTGTTTACAATAGGCGCCTCAAGAAGTTTCTTGCATCTATTCACTTTGAAGATAAAATTCTTCAATAAATAAAACTTACAATGTTATTAAGTTATATAGTTTGAGCTTCATACTTTATATCAAATAATAATCATTTGGTTTGAATTTGTTTCTCCTTTTGATTCTTCATTACGATCAAAATATTTACTATTTGGTGGAATTCACGCCATGTTTTGTAAAAAAAGTATATCAAAATAATCTATGTTGAAATTAATAACATAAAAGATACTGTAAGTTTGTAATAGGCAAGATTTGGATTTTAAAAAAAAAATAATAATAATAAGTATAAATTGAATTGTGATTACAAAAGTTATGATACTTTGCATTATTTTTAATAACCAAACGCGATAACAAAAGTCTATAAAGAACAAAAAAAGGCCAAACTGTCTTGACATCTCTCGGTCTCTCCCATGAAACAAGACACTTTGTCTCGAGATCGAGAAGGTTATAGAGACAAAGGAAGAAGATTATTCGGAGTAGCTAGGTGACATTAATAGAGACTAGAGAAGATGTGGGATCAAGACTCGAGAGAGAGAGATATTTTTACCAAAAAAAAAAAAGACTAAGAGATAGGGTAGGTAGCAGTTAGAGCATTTATGGGACCATCTCATTACATTATGAAAAAAAATCCCAAGGAGGAGAAAAGCTTAAGGAAAACGTGACTAAAAGTTTTATGTGCTCTACTGATATTGGTTTCCTCATTTAGCCCATTGTTGGCCCTGGCTTTAGCGTTTCAAATTATAGACAATAAATTTTAATTTAGCATCTAAGTTCTCATAAACTGATAGCATTGAAATACCCCATTGATTATAACAACGTTCCCTAAATATTTACAAACTGATTGTTTCGGAGAACGGTGATGGCATAGCCATAATAAGATTATGATTGCATTTCGCAGTAAATGTTTCATTATTTGGGCCCCATATCATCTAAGTACTCATATATATCCATCAACAACTTTTTTTATGAATAAATTGAGAACATATCTCTCTTTATGAATTATATCTAAAATTATGAAACATGTACTGCGAGGAATAAATGATTTGAAATATATCTCTTTTTTAATGGTTTTCAACTAAATCATATCTAAAATTATTCACCTTATTTTCTGTTACATATCTCTCTCTATGAACTTATAAACAAAACCTAGACAATACAAATCTAAGAGAGGAAGAAATGTGTGTGACCAAAAGAAAATGAGAAAAGAAGAAAGAATTTTTATATTTAGCAGAAAATTTTTTTAAAAAATTATAGCAGAAAATGGTGAACTTTGCGGTTGTACTAAGATCTTCGATGTGCATTATCGTGAAATCAGCCGGAATGGTTCCATGCACCGTAGAAATCGAACCAGGAACGAAGATTCATTTCTGGGTACCGAAGAAATCCGGTGAAATCTCCGCCGGGAAACCAACAAAACCCGCCGTGTTACTCATTCACGGTTTCGCCGGCGACGGAGTAATGACGTGGGCTTTTCAGGTTCGTTCGTTATCAAAGAGATACTCTGTTTATATACCGGACTTACTCTTCTTCGGTGGTTCCTACACCGATAAACCGGACCGGTCACCAGAGTTTCAAGCCGAGTGTTTGGTTAAGGCTATGCGTATCCTGGGAGTGGATAACTTTGTCACAGTCGGGTTTAGCTACGGTGGCGTTGTGGCGTTCAAGATCGCGGAGTTGTATGAGAGCATGGTTAAGGCTTTGGTGCTATCCGGTTCGCCTCCGGTTATGACCGATTCGAATGTGAACCGGTTTGGGTTTAGTTCAATGTCGGATGTCTTGTTACCCAAAACGGTGAAAGGAGTTGAGTTTCTTCTCTCCGCTGCTTTGCATAAGCGCATATGGCTCCCAAATCGGCCTTTGAAAGATTACCTTAAGGTGCATATCCGTTACTTTATTTTCGGAAAAAAATTCATTTGTAATCGGATTTTATATATCATTAACCACAAGGTGAAAGTTTTGCATTTAAGAGAAACTTATGTAACCAGTGATTATGTATGCACACACACAGACAATGTTCACAAATAGGAAAGAAATGGGTGAACTCTTAGAAGCTCTGATCAACAGCAATGACACTACGTTCCCTACTTTTCCTCAGGTAATTCAATATTATTTGCCTATAAAAGTTTTCTTTCCATGCTTTTCCTTAATAGTTATTAACCTACAACTAATTAACCTCAGAAATATAGTATCATCTTTTTATTTTCAAAATCTTTACAAAGTTCTTATTATATTTCGCATGCAGAGAATACATCTTTTATGGGGAGAAAACGACAAGTTCTTCAGTCTTGAATTTGCAAAACATCTGCATATGTAAGTTCCTACTAGTCGATATATACTTTCTTTTATAACTATAATATTGTATCATTTTATTTATATTTATATATATATATATATATATTATTTTCATATTGTAGAAAGTTGGGAGAAATGACAAGTATGGACACTATAAAGAATGGAGGTCATTTGGTGCACTTGGAGAGACCATTTGTCTACAATAAACTTCTCAACAAGTTTCTTGCTTCTCTTCATTAGAAAAGAAGGTGTGTGATTTTGGCGGAGTCACTCGATCAACAAGCCATCATAAAAGACTGCATTAAAGAAGAAACAGAACCGGAGGGGTTTGTCTTGCATAGTTACGTGTGTGATACATCATAAGTAAGAAACAGATCCACTCTAATTCAGATTCTGCTTTTTCAACTAAAACAAAGCAGCTCCTTCATTCTTACATATACATATATTATATATATAAGAATATTTATTTTACGTAATCCATTTGAAATCAAAATGCAACCCCTACCGTTAACGTATATAATTTCTCCGGTTCTAAAGCTCAGTACTACGGTCATTCACATATCTACCGTACTCTCCAGTAGCCTCAGAAGCCTTCTCCTTTGCACCCTCATAAGCTTCTTTTGCCTTCTCCGACATCGAATCCTTAGCAGCATCATACCTCTCCCCAACCTTATACAATGCCTCCTCAAACTTTTCGGCTGCTTCACTTCCTAATCCATACGCGTCTGTTGCTTTGTCTTTACCATAGTTCATCGCTCGCCCTGCGGTTTCTTTAACGTTATGAGCTTTATCCGATGCCATGTCTTTAGCATTCTCGGAACCTTCTTTAGTCCTTTTGTAGGTTCCATAACCTATTTCATTAGCTTCATCGCTCTTATCCGTAGCCATCCTTATCACATTATCCGCTTTGTCATACACAGTGTCCTTTGCGTTACCGGCCTTGTCGTATGCCATGTCTCTGGCTTCGCCCGCCTTGTCATAGGCTGATCCTGCTTTATCATAGGCCATGTCCTTGGCTTGACCGGCCTTTGCGTATGCCATGTCTTTGGCTTCGCCGGCCTTGTCATAGGCTGATCCTGTTTTGTCATAACCCACGTCTTTGGCTTGAGCGGACTTGTTGTTAGCAGTGTCCTTGGCCTGACCAGCTTTTTCGTAGGCCATATCTTTGGTATGACTTGCCTTGTCGTATGCTGATCCCGCCGTATCGTAAGCCATGTCCTTAGCTTGGCTAGCCTTTTCGTAGGCCATGTCCTTGGCTTGACCGGCCTTGTCATAGGCTTGACCGGCTTTGTCATAGGCCATGTCCTTGGCTTGACCGGCTTTGTCATAGGCCATGTCCTTGGCTTGACCGGCTTTGTCATAGGCCATGTCCTTGGCTTGACCGGCTTTGTCATAGGCTATGTCCTTAGTTTGGCTGGCATCATCAGCATTGTCATAAGCATAATCTTTTGCGTTTTTAGCACCATCGTAAGCAGATCCAGCCTTGTCGGATGCAAAGTCCTTGGCATAACCCGCATTGTCATAGGCTGATCCAGCCTTGTCGGATACGTAGTTCTTTGCAGATTCAGCTGCTTCTTCTGCTTCATCTTTCTTGCTTCCTAATCCTCTGTTACAGAGGGAAAAACGAAAAAAAAAAAAACAGAGTTCTTGGATCAATAATATGAACATTATGTAATTAGTTACCGGATAAAGCCTCGTCTGAAACACGTATATTTTCAAATCTAAAAAATGTACTAATTTGATTTTACACTGCAGATTATGATCTCATTCAAAGAAAGAACAATAAAAGAAAGAGAAAAAAAAACAAACAAAACTTTAAATTATAATCGAATGCGACTTACGTGGAGATTTTATCAGAAACCCAACCAGTCCAAGAGGCGGTATTGTCCTTAGCGTCTTGAGCCGCCTCGCCCGCCATTTTTTTAGCGTTCTCGGCAGCGTTTTTAGCATGCTCTGCTTCAATATCCTCTGCTGTTTTTGCTCCCCATCCATGACATCTCCTCTGCCACGTCAACATCACCACCATCACAAAAAGCATCATCATCACCTTTCTCTTCCCCGATAGTATTGCCATTTTCACTGTTTGTTTTCTTGTTGCAATCTCCATGGAAGTTTTTTAGTTATAAAGGAGAGAGAGATTCTTTCCTTCTTTCACTAGATAAGCGGTTAATGTTGGACACGTAGCTATCGGTTGTTTACGTGGCGATGAATGAGGCGATTATATTGGAAAGTAAAGTCTCACGCATTTGCCACGTGTTGACTTTTGGTTACGGCTTGCTGCGCTGGTGTGACTCCCAACCCCGAACCGAGGTCATGTACCTTGTAAAGGAAGTTTCAACTTTGAAGGTAGTGAAGTAATAACCGTTTCAAAATCGAGCCGGTGGACTTAACCGGATAATTGAAAATAATCAAACCATTTAAAGAGGCAAGTAAATAATTGGCCTACGAATTGTTAGAACATGAGTAATGAGTAATGGAGAGACGCTTCAAAAAATTAAACAAAAAAAAATATTATTATTTTAATAAAAAGAAATTTTGTAATTAAATTTGAAGTAATAAAAAGAATTGAACTAATAAAAAGTTGACATGTGTTATGAGTATCCAAAATCTCCTATATAAATCGATTCTCAGTTATTAGTATGCCACCTCATTATTTTTTTGTTCTTTTTATTTTCACTTAATCTCTTCAATACAAATGCTCTTAAACCGGTTAAAGACATCAGATCCACTGAAAAAGCATAGTCAAGAAGACGATTTCGGTTTTCTTCATGGGATGCGGCTACTTTTTTAATGATCTAACATATACTCTCTCTGTTTTATTAAAAATAATATTTTAACATATATACTTTAATAATTATTTTTTTATTTTACTTTTTAACTATTTTTTATTTTTAATAATATATTAATATTACTTTTTTTTTATTAGTTAAAAGTTTTTTTTAAATTAAATATATTATTTAAAACTTAAAACATTAATCTTTTAAGAACAAAACAAAAAACTAAAACATTTTAAAAAAAAAACAGAAAAAGTATTAAACAAAAAGCATTACATGCTTCTATTAAATCTTTATTAATTTATTTTGTATACTATTCTTATTACTAAACACTTTATTTAAATCACTTAAATTAAATTAAATGTAAATCAAATCGATCACAAATAATTCGATAATTTTATTGGTTTAATAAATTAAATTAGTAAACTGTTTTATTAGAAATGAAAATTATTTCCATGTTTTATATCTACGATCATTTATTATCTTGCAACTTCTTTTATTCACATATTATATAAACGGACAAAATATTATTTTGGAAATTCTCAAACGAAAATAAATGTAAATCTTTAGATATCCAAATATTTCAAAACTTAACAAAATATAAAATATCTTTTAAATATTTCTACAAACACTATCCCGTACGAACGTACGGGTACGGATAGTAACCTAATTTATAATAAAATAACCTAATTTAGTTAACTTTTAATAATTTACTTGTTTACTTAACCAAATCATATTACTTAAAATGTAAATTTTATGATAAAAATATAGAGTAAAGTAAGAAAATAAGGTGTTTTCATTTGAATATATGTTTTAAATTTTTAAAACTTTAAAATATTGTAGATGAATTATATATTAAAATCATCTAATATATGATATATGTTTTTCAAAATATATGATACATTCTTAGTATTTAAACATATAAAAAGAAATTTTTACAACTGGTGGTAATGTGTTTTATATGAAATGGATAAGAACTCAAATGCATATAAGTAAGGTTAATGTAATTTTATCAAATGTTTATTTGAGCACAAAATTGTGATAAGTTTAATATTTTTGTATAGAAATAATTTTATCTATATCTCATAAAAGATTTCGTTGCAAACAATCATAATCATTATTAAATTTTCATTATAGAAAACAGTACATATTTTATCTTAAACATTACTGGACAATTACTCAAAGCTACTTATGGAAACTGAATTTTACTAAATATTTCTTTCTATTATATTTTTATTAAATATACAACTGTATATTTTATCTCAGATTATGATGTGGCGATGGTATATGTATATCCCAAAATAAAATGTCTGTAAATAATTGGCTCATTTTTATAGAATGTGCTTTTTATAAACAACTCATAAAACGTCATTTTGTTTTGACAGATGCGTTTTCACGAGGAGTATACATACCATGCACATATTTGACAGATTGTTCACAGCCAAACCGATGAATATTATTTCCTATAGAAAATATAAATATAAATCTGAATTTTATTTTAAAATAGGTAAAAAATTAATAAAAAGATAGAAATTACTTATAATGACTTAAAATGTTAAATTTTCACACGTAATACACCATTATAAATATAAAGAATGTATTTGATTTCTAAACATCAATTTGTCTTTTGTTTATTCAAAACATTGAAAAAAAAATGGTGAGAAATGGGAGAGGTAGACAAAAGATAGAGATAATAAAAATGTCAAAAAAGAGCAATCTTCAAGTTACGTTTTCAAAAAGAAGATTTGGTCTTTTTAAAAAAGCTAGTGAACTTTGTACTTTATGTGGTGCAAAAATTTTGATGGTTGTGTTTTCTCCTGGTGGAAAAGTGTTTTCGTTTGGCAATCCAAATGTTGCAGAGTTGGTTTACCATTTTTTAAACCATAGCCATAATTCTCTCTTTCTCCAACAGTTCAACAACAATCTACAACTCGTTGAAAGCCGTCCACACGAAATTATTCAACGTCTCAACGAAAAACTCACTGAGGTAAATATAAAGTTTTTTATATGAAATATATGTGAAGATTCATATATATATATATATATATGTTGATTTTGTTTGCTTACACATGATAAAGTTATGCTTGCTTGCTTACACATGATAAAGTTACTTACACAAAGTGAATCTCATTGCAGGCGCACGCGAAACAGGAAAATGAGAAAAACAAGAGAAAGTTTTTGGATGCTTTAAGAGAAACCAGAGGGCAAAAGGGGTTCTGGTACGAAAATGATGTGTGCGATCTCGACCTGAATCAAACCGACCAACTAATACATGCTCTCCATGACGTGAAGAAGAAATTGGTAAGTGAGATCTCCCAATACTCTCATCTGAATGTTTCTCAGAGTTACGTGGGAGAAAGTTCTGGCAATATCACTCCAGGCATTGTTGGTGGTCGCAATATTGATGCTGGCCTTGATCTTCCTGATCAAAAAGGAATGGTGGATTTGAGTGCATTCAACTACAATCCAAACATGGTTTCTTCTAACCATGGACCGTCGTTTGGATACCGTAACAATGGAGGTATCATTCCCGGATACAATATGAACTACAACATGGGAAGTTACAACTTCAACCAGAGCTAGAGTCTGAAGCTAGAAGAACAGACTGTTATAAAATCATCTCAATCAATATTTGCATTATTTAGACAATGGCCATTGTAAGGATATTGCTTGTATTGATTTTAATTTGTTTTTATCTGTTTATTCATCATTTTGTTTTTCCAGTTTTTGTTGTTCTTTTTTTCTTTGTATTTTGGATATTTTGGGTACCAATTTATTTAATTTTAATATTATTTTTTCCACCAGAATAAATTTACATTATCGATAGAAATTTGATATTTATTCTATGTAACAAATTTGTACCTTGTTTCAATGAAATAAATCATCGTATTTTAAATGTATTAAGCGTGATAATTTGACGCAGATGGAAACAAAAAAAAAGTAAATGACGTTTTGGCTTAAAATGCTATATTGCCAGCTTTTTCCATTATTAAAAACGCCATATTTTGGCGTTATTTCTGTTTAAAGCTTTTTTTTTCTTTCTATTGTTTTTATTAAACGCCACAAATCACTTTTTCTATCAAATTGAGAGAGGATTTTTATCGACTTGACATTATCAACCAATCAGTCCAGTGGAAATATTCAGAAATTGGGTTTTCTATTATACTATCACATACAAATATTTATCTGCGTGTGCATGTGTCTCCAAAGTCCAAAACCATTGTGATTTATCATTAAAATATAAAATAAAACATGTATAATAAAAAAAATCAAAAAAAGAAGTTCAGATTCCTTATATTTAAATTAGTATGTAATCAAAGAATGACTAAGAGAAGACTAACGGTTGACAACCTTCGGAAGCAAGCCTAATCCTTTGGTGATGTTCTTCAATTTTATACTCAACAATCTCTTTAAACAGCTGCGAATCCAAAACACAGTCCTCTCGTCCGTACACTCCAGCTTGTACTCCAGCGACAAGCTTTGCGATTTCACGTCCAGAGAACCCTTCCGTCTTCTTCGCAGCTTCAGAAATCACTTTATCAGTTAGGTCTGCCTCAACGGTAATCTTCTGTGACAGCTTCTTAAACAGATGACTCCACTTGGGTTTCACGTCTTTGTTGTCTTCACTCCTCTTCAAGTACTTGTCGAGATAGAGGTTGAGAAGCTTGAAACGCTCTTCTTCACCAGGAAGTGGGAACTCAATGACTTCGTCGATCCTGTCTGTAACCGCGCTGTCGAGATCTCCAGGTCTGTTTGTCGCCAAGACAAGAACAATGTCTCGGGACTGATCACCAGTTCGGAAGAGCAACGCGTTCAGAGCACTACGCTGAGCCTCGCTCATGTATGTGCTGTTACGCCTTCATAAAACAAAACAAGAAAGAAAATCATCTTTTGCAATCTTTTTAACTGTTAGAAATAGACTGGATTTTCAAAGAGGGAGATCTTCTTACTCGCATAGAAAAGCATCGGCTTCATCTATGAAGAGAAGTAAACCTTTGTTCGATTTCTTGGCCCAATCAAATATCTGATGGATTTTAGTAACAGCTTGTGATCCCAAGGGAGCAACATCTCCTCCTGTCATCATAGCATAATCCAAACCCTGCAGCAAATAATTGTGTCTAAGAGCTCATAAATACCGGCAATAACATATGAGCTTATACCATAGTTTTTGATGATAAACTTACCGATTTCCGAGCAATTTCCCTTGCCACCATAGTTTTGCCGGTACCAGGAGGTCCATAGAACATCATGTTGCGGAACGGTGCTTGGTGTGATTTGGTATTCGACGTGGCTCTAGCTAGATGCTCGATTCGCTTCTTTAAAGAAGGGTGAAGAATAACATTATCAAGCGGCTTTTCTGCTGCAGATGCTGCTGCTGCCCCTGAGATTCTGTTCTTCAATTGAGACATTGAGCCTGCCAATGGAAATCTACCCATGGAAGATTCTCGGATAATCGAAGGCTGGCCAAGCATCCTGTTGATATAACCCCATGTAACTCTAGCTCCTTCACTGTTAAACACACAAAGGAATCATTAAACAGATTCTTAACATCACTAGAGTCAAATCAGAGTGTTCCAGAAAAAACTCCATGATATTCAATAAACTTGTGTAGTAAGGAGAAGCATACCGAGTTGTGTAAACACCTGCAGCTAATGCTGTAGCTCCTCCAACAGTCATAATCAGCCTATTCCGATCGGTTAACAGAGTCTTGAGTCCCCCTGTAATTTTCATATAGAAAGCAAACAAAGTTACCCAAAAAAATGACTGTCGCCATTTTTAAAAACCATAAGCAAGAAGATATTAAGTTCCATACCTTCGATGTGACCAAACATTGTGTTGATTGCAGCAAGCCACTTCTCCTTCTCACCGTTTATCCTTTCCATAAGCAGTCTTCTGTTTTGCTCCTCAGTAAGTTTGGCTTCATGAGCCCGACCTTCAGCTTCAGCCATGGCTTTGACACGAATCGTCTCTCTCTCAAGCTCAGCTCTCTCTTTCTCGGTTTGCCGTTGCTGAGCTTGGATCTGTTCCTCTGTGGAAATCCTCGCTCTCTCTTTCCGAATAGAAGACTCCTCTTGCATCTTAACCAATTCAGCATTATGGTGTCTCTGAGCTTCATGATCTGTCTGCATCATTTCCAAAACCAAAAATATTTGTCAGATCTTACATTTCAAAAAAGATTATTTCATCTACAAGAACACATACAAAACAAGAGTAACCTGCTGTCTCTTTCTGGCCAGCTCATCCTCATACCGAAGATTTTGGGCTTTGGTTTGCGCCTGTGTCTGCAAAAGATTTCTCTGCGCCTCGGCTAATTTCTGCTGTCTTTCCTGCCCAATTCAAATGCCCCATAAATCAAATCTCCATATATCTTCCCTACTTAATATGTTTCATGAACATTATAAACTTTGCAATCATATCAAGAATTCGCATCAAAATGATATCCCCTGTTTCTGCATAAATGAAAAAATTGAAGGAAGAGTTTCAATGACTAACAATGTCCTTCTGTGCTTGAACAGCATCGTTATGAGATTTCTCTGCAGCTAATTCAGCTAATCGAGTTTTCTCCTGCTTCCTCATGAGATCAAACACCTGATTGAAAGAAAAAACCAAGAACTCAACAAGCCTAGAAGAAACCCCAATATCTTGCGCAAAAATCAAAATCCAATTTTGAGTTAGAACACCCTTTTATGCTAAATCCCTAGTTTTCAATCAGAACATTTTATCGCTCGATTGAAATTAGATAACGATACGTCACCTGTTTGGAATGTGGAGAGCTATTAATCTCTCGAAGAGCTTTTGCAGCTCTCTCGAGGGACTCGGGATCAAAACCCGATCCTTTGGGCTCATCGCGCTCTGGTCTGGACTCCGGCTTATCAGAGATCGACGAAGATTGATTCGCCGGGGAATCAGACGGTGGTGCAGGAGGAGGAGAAGAGGAGTAGAAGGGAAACCGGAATCGATAATCGGCGTACGCACGGTTCTGACTAAATGACATTGAAGTGAACGCAGCAGCTATCGCCGCCGCGGAGCACAACCTAGAAGCAGCCATGGTTTTCGGAAAAAGCAAAAATACAGACGCGAATTTAAGAGATTTGACAAAACCCTTTTTCCAAGATTGAGATATCGATGGCGAATGACGTCGATTTCTGGGTTTTGCCGACGATAAACCCCACGGTGGCTCAGCTTATAGGGTTTAAACGGTAAAGAGTCAATAAAATGATAAAATCTCAACCGTAGAAGTTTCTCCTTTGCTTGGAGAATAATTAAAATTACTTGTGGCCCAAATCAGTATTGGGCCATTTTGTACCCCTACTCCCTAGTAACAAATCATGGCCTAATATCTTTATATTGATGTTGTTGATGTTTTATCATCTACATATTCAAATCCGGTAGAATGATATGTCAACGAATGTTTAGTAGAATGTCACAAATTAAGCAAGAGTCTAGTCTATTAACAAGGTCGATTATGAAGGAAAAAAATTCATGGTGCATGTTTTATCACCCTCGAGCATCTAATTAAAAATTTCATTATTATTATTATTTTTTTTTATCTTTCCTTTGTCTTCTCTGGTCGCTGTTCTTCTTCTTCTCTTCCACTATCTTCTTCCTTCTCTTACTTTTTGACTTCAATTTTTTTCTTTTCAATTGTACCATCTTATATTCTCCCTTTAATCCTTATTCTTTATACTAGCATCTCCAACTCGTCTTTGATATCCTTTTTAGTATTTTTTGATCCAAATTTGACGGTTGTTGTGTTTTCGCTTTCTCTTCCTATATTGTTGTTATTCTGTTATTTTTCCATGCTGTAACACTTCCACAGTTCCACCTGCTTTTAATTGAAAAACTTTGGTAAAAAAAAAAAGACTAGAGTCTAGTCCATGTGAATTCTTTAACCTCACGATTCCATTTAAAAAATGTAATGCCAGAGTAGACTTTCCCAATCCAGTAGATTCTTTGAGAGAAATACTAAAATATGATTGAAAATAGAACTAAAAGATGGGAGACACGAAGGGTCACTTGTATTGAAACATATTTTGAAAATTTAAAGTTGATTAACTAAGGAGAAGATCAACACAAAAGGATGACGGAACACCAATTAGTAATTACTCCATTAATTATGTTGGGATCAATAAGAAAAAGTTATTTTTTATACTAGTGTAGTGATTACTGATTAGTGAATGATGTTAGTGCCGAATGCGATCTCTAAAATGGAGTAACGTTCTCTCTTTCTTTTTCTTTAACCTTCAAATTTACATTCCATTCGATAAAACTGGTAAATCAGTTTATAGGATAAGTGTGAGTGTAGTTTATTTTTTTCAAAAGTGTTGGTGACCACTTTATAAGCCTTTACCGTATGGTAAACGATAAGCCTTTATATTTTATGACCATAATGTATTGAAGGATACAACCCGGGTTATTTTGTTACATTATGACCGTTACTTATTTTGTTGTTGTTCTTTGTTAGTTTGTGTGACTGAGCTGCTTAGTTTTCTTTTATTTCATTCGTATTGAATTTTCTTCTTCCTTTTTGATTTGATGAATCGATTTTGTAGTCCATTGCTGATTGGTTTAGTGTGATTCATTGATTCGATCAGAATCATGAATTTTCCCGCCGAATATAAGCCTATCAGCGTATGATTGGATGTCTTGGAGAAGTTACTGATTGGAGAATCTCTTTTTTCACTATTTGTTTTTAATTTCTTTGGTGTTTGTAATCTTGTTTGTCTACTGTAGAGATGAATCTAGCTTCGATTTTATAAAAATCTATTTTCTTTTTTGCTTCACGAATATACATAAGAGAAAATGAAAGA